CCAAAGCAAAATCTCCGCCAAGTCATATTGTGACCCACGACTCGACAAACTCTTCAATTTAGTCAATCCCGACGCATCAAAACAAGCAAGCGAACCATTTGAGGTTCATCACTCCCCTCTGCTATCGGCGCTGACTCTCCTCTCGAGTGCTTTTTCCAGGGCACACGAAGCCCAAGCGCGGAATAACTATTCGTTGTGTGTAGCACTACATGTATGGCCAGTACGAGTTCCGGATGCTTACCTAGGGCTTGTGAAACAGAGGCATCCTGTCGCGCTTGTCCTGCTGGCGCATTATTGCATATTGCTTCTACCGCTCGAGGGATCCTGGTACATGAACGGGTATAGTAAGAGGCTGATCACTCGCATTTCCGAGCAGCTAGGTAAACAGTGGCGACCATGGTTACAATGGCCGTTGGAAGAAGTTGGATTGTAATATAGTCCTTACACTTGTCACTGCCTAGGACCCGATGCTGGGATTGGAAGACGCAGTATTTCGGATGTCAAGTCTTCATTGTACTGACGGGACAGTCTAGTTATTCCAAAATTAATTCATTTCTGTAGTGTCCCTTTGCAATTCACAGAAGCTGAGCCTGGGGCTCGCTGAGCAACGCAGGTCCCAGGGCCTTGTGAGCCATCCTCTGGGATCGACAGGAGTATTTCCAGTTCCTAGGAGCTTTGTTGGTACTGAGATCACATGTGTAGTTCCAAATGGGGATTAACGCACGACACTAATCCTAATTAGGAAATGTGTAATTGTTGACTAGTATGTAACTTGCGGTTAAGTATCTAACGGGTAATATTACGTGCCATAGTAAGGTACCGGTATGGGGCATACAATGCTTCTAGAAGATTCTACGCAAACTTATCAAACAGGGCGTCTTGCTCATCTCGCAATTCTGTTAACAATGTAGCTCTCTTCTGCATCTCATAGCATGCTACTGCTGAGAGTCAGGGCATTCCTGAGGCTATCCGAAAAAAAAAGCAGGATAGATAGGGTTCTTGGTACTGGTTCTGGTAGCGCAAACCCCACTCTGCTTGCCACTATGCTTACTGAGTAATCTCCTGATTGCTCAACGCCTTATTGGGCATGAAAGATTGAAGGCTAACGTGTCAAACCACTATTATTAAACTTCTCAGCGCCTGCTTGATTATGTATCGTGTGAATTGTCAACCCAAAGGTCGATCGCGGGAGGTTGTGTGTCATCATCATAGTCAAAAGGGCTATTCGATATTTCACAGTATGCACCCACTCCGGGGAACTTTGGCGATTCCCCGTATACTCCCTGCTCCCTTAGCTTTTCCCCGCATCGTACATTGCAGCCACACCAGGCAAGTCAGCTCGGATTCCTCCCATTGGCTGAAAGGGAAGAGGGAGGCGAATACGATGAGCAGCCACTAAGATACGTTCGCTATACAATTGAATGGAAACTTACACATAAAACACCAAAAAAGTGGGTAGCGTGACCGAAAAAGATTTGGTTGTAGCTCCCAGTGACTACTGGGAGGAGTTTCTGAAAGCAGATCTCGAGATTATGTTACAAATGAAAAAGAAAGCGCCACCAGCGAGTTCGATCTGAAGGCATAAGCGGTTATTAGACAAACCCAAAAGTTCGAGTTCAGATACACCCAATATGAATACTTTGAGGGTTCCTGGATGGGTGTGCGACGGGGTTTGCATCCTCCCACGTTTACCAGAAGACCTAAGGAGAACCTAGTATATACTGATGGTCGCACTGATAATAAGTAGTATTATTGGCGCTTATGTGAGGCGGAGCAGCTGATATGCGGGGCAGTGTACGGAGTAGGGCCACAATGTCATGAGGGCAAACATCAGCCTTCTGATCGTTTTCACATCCATCGCACACTTCTTAGGGCCATCACCCATGAAATTGGATGAGAAATTGATAGCAACTTACCTCATATATCCTTTGTCGGAGTATTTCGCGATAAATACCCTGGTTAGTGAAGGAGCTGACAATCACAGTTGACATACTCACTCTGTATCTACACTCAACCTGCGCTTCTCAAAATCAGAACGCCAGAATGAACCTGACTGTCAGTGTTCCCGAAGGTTCGAGTAACCATGGCGATCCAAACCTTATCTGTACGCCTCCGAAATGGTACGACTACATCTTATTTTTCTTCACAAACTATCTCGCCCACGCGGCAACCATTGTCTCGGTGCCAGGACAAAGCGTTACGGAGACCATTTGTGTTGGTGTAGCAGCTCTTCTCGCACCCTCGAGCGGCATAATGAGAGCCATGGAGGTTTTCATAAGGCGTCCTGTGTTTCGATCGAGAAATCCTATGGAGCAGGCTGCTGCGGCCATGGCTTTGTGCATGGTCGTGAAAACGAATTGGGTAGCCGATGAATATGGGGGTGCAATAGAGATTAATACAACCGAGCACCCGTGGATGATAAATAGAGTGACCCTTGTTCGCCACCTGGCTAACATCCATGGGCATTTTCATCTTCCAGAGGGTTATTGGTTTGGCTACGTCCCGGCATCGCTCAGGCTGGTTCCTCGGGAGAAGGAGAGGAAGCACCCCTGGGCCAAACGTCCCCGAAGCGAGTGGGGGAGCACAGGTGAACCGCAAGCGCAGATTAGGCACAAGCTTTTATTGGGCGATGCTGCAGTACACACCTTGGAGGGCGTCGGGGAGCGCAGGCCAACACGCCCACCTCAGAAACAACCACAACGATTACACACAGCGCTCGCCGCTTCATACAATATCCCAAAGGCATTTGTTAGCCTGGCGCAAGCGATATGGGCTATAATCACCCTGTATCGCTCGCGGGGAAACCAGATTGATGAATATGGATACGCTGCATTCGGTCTCACAGTCGCCTCCTACGCTTACATGTCCATCATCAATTTAATCGCAACTTGCCTCACACCAGAGTATCCCGCTATCTATATGGTCAGGACATCAACCATGGACGAAGCCGAAGAGAACGGGGCCGTCATTGTTGGAGAAGTCGCAGACATCCACCTAGACCCAAATCAGGAAGTAAAATACGACGCGGATCACACAACTGACTTTGCGTGGATTTGCGGGTTCCTGTTTTCCCTGCCACCATTGGCGATTGTAGGTGGCCTGTCCCGGTTTGCCACGGGCAATAGTTCTCTACTCGAGCGGGGATTTACCATGGCTTGGTTGGCGACCGGCTTATTCGCAGGATTGTGGGTTTATCTTATCCTTGGTTATATTTATGTACTTCATCCATCCCTGACCAGACCAGGAATGGAGGCGAGGGCACATTCAATTGCTTCTCTGCTTTTCTTCACTCTCACGGTTGTCGTGCCATTGGCTGCTCCAGCTGTTGGAGGGTTTGTGGTTGTCGCGAAGATGTTGAGTGAATATGGGATGTGTGTTGATCTGTCGTAGTGGCACCATACAATTACTTCTAGCATGGTGCATATTGCAAAAAGTTGAGTATGCATAGCTCACACTTATGATGTTACGGTGAACAGCAGTGGAAAACATGCTATACAATTCAACGAGAGAGCCGAATCTGGAGCGGAAAAGGAAAGAGAAGAGGGAGAAAAATACCGTACCAGTCGCAATTTACATGGCTCTCAGCTTAATATGGCCCGCTCAATGGATGATATTACGCTAAGCTCTTGGCAGCGGGAGCCGAGGAACAGTCTCTCAAAGTGTACTGGTCAAGCAAGCCCGGCCATTTGCGATGTAGTTAGTGTTTTCTTGCTACGTATCATATGGTCAATCATTGTACGCTGCCAGGACTCATGATTTCGTGCCATTTTGCTGTGGCCTTATACGTTGATGGCGCCTTAGTTGCGTTTTCTCAGTTGAGGTGTTATCCTGGTAGTTATGGAGGGGTGTCTTTAGTACCGTCACAATACAGCGTATTCAGGCACTCCTTTGTCCTTTACCACGCATTTCAGTAACTGAACAGAAATGGTATTTTCTTCTAACCATATACAGATAGTATGTCTTGGCGCATTAGGGTTCAAAAACAAGTTTTCATGTGATGGACATGGAAGGCGAAGCTTGGTGCCACTGTATCAAACAAGCAGAAGTCACCGAAGTCCCCCACCTCACTCAAGAAGATGATGCGACAGAAACGAGACTGGCGCAAAAAGAGCCTCTTACGAAAGGCCTACGAATACAGCAAGCTGTGTGTATGCTTGCTATCGGTATGTAAACTAATACTAAATAGAAAATATACTATCCACGGCCGACTCAGAAAACGGAAAAGGATTTTGACTCTAATTCTATAACTAATAATAACTCAGCTGCAGCCGAAGACATCAAAAAGGAAGATTAGTAAGAAGATCTATAATAATTTATTATAATTAAATATACTGTGATGACTAGCAGAATACATATACTAACTTAAGGAAATAAAATAAAAAAAATATTTATATTAATTTTATTTTGGCTACGGCCGCCGAAGTATAAAGCTAATATAATAATTAATATTATCTTCTTAGTGAACTGAAGTCTGAATCTTTCTCTAAACTACCTGATTCTTGGTTTTTATTAATTAAAGTTGGTATTCTTTCATTTTCATTAGTAATAATACTAGTTATTTTATAAATATATTCAGTTTAATTATATTCTTAATAGAATAAGGTATATTTTCTTTTAATAAACTAACTCTTTAATATCTGAAATTTATTTCTGGAAATAATCAGAATTTATATTAATTAATTATCTTGATTTTATTATCTCGCGACCACTTCATCTTTTAAATTATAATATTTTATAAGAATACGCGGCTTCAGATAAAAGCTGGATACTATAAATATTTACTACTAGACAATTCGGACTTACCAAACGTATGCCATTTTGGGCCGCATCCGACGCCTTTTTCGGCAGCCATTTGGTAACACGTGACTTCTCCCTTCCACCACGCTCCCAGCCTCGCTACCACCACGCACCAGTCACACTCGCGCTCATTGCCCCACCATCGTGGGCGTTTCATCGACTTCAAGCGTCGCTCTTTCAGCACCGTCCCTCCAACCAGAGGCCGTATGAGGGAGCCGAAAATGGCTTCACTTCATCCCTTCAAATGCGCCCGGGCTCCGGCCAGGCCTCGAGGGCAACTCGTTTACCGCGGCTCGTTTCCTCCAGACTTATTTTTCCTTCTTTTAGTTTCTCCCCTAATCCATCTGCCGGATCACCCTACTTAAGAAGGTCATCTTCTAGCCCCAAGGTCTTTTCTTGCACCTACAATAGACTCACTTCAGTCTTTTTTTAAGTAACTACTTTGCTAGAATTTGGTGTCGTTCCTACTCCCCCGAATCCTTACGACCGCTGTGCCTTTCCTCTCAGTATCCGTTCCTCCATTCCTTCAAGTCCACCGATGAAGCGTACCCGTACACGACAGAATCGATCCCACCTGACGGGGAGTGACTGCAGCGAGAATGATATTGCCGGTAGAGGCCCTGACTGGGACGAGCAGTGGGATGCCACTTACGAGACAGATGTGACCGAGCCAGATGTCACCGAGCGGGATGATAGCCCGAGGCCACGAAAACGCCTCCGGTCGGATGACCCTGCTTTGGAGCCAAGTCCATCCAATGAGGCAGACGAATTCTACGACGACCCCCTCGATGACACCGGAATCGACCTTTGTGAGATCGACGATGATTTTGACAAAGCAGAGGGTACCATCGAACGACGGGAGCGGATCGAAACCCGATGGAAGCGGTCAGTGACACAGGCTGAATACCGCCTTTGCTGTTCTCAGCTAATGCAGGTATAGATATTGTAAGAGCAAAATAAAACTAGAGCCCAATGTACGAAAATGGCGGGATCCCGAAGAGGCTCTACGTCAGGCGTCGAACAACGACCTGTATCGGTTCTTGGGCTGGTCTCTCAAACTCGAGCGAGGAAAGAATGGTCGACGTAACAAGGGCATTCACAAGTCTAGCTCATTGAATACTGACTGGAAAAATCTTCGTGGTTACTACCAAAAACTGACCAAGAGCAAAATCGATGATTTAGATGGGTCAGAAGTACGGAGAGTCAGTAACATGAATTATTATTCTTTTGATTTATATGACTATCTTGTCTAACCGTCCAATCTATAGGGTATCAAGTACTTGGTGGTAGAGCATGGGTTAGATACGCAACCGAAAAAGAAGACGCCAGTCTACATTGAAGATATCGGCCCGTTGAATGAAACGATTCTCTCGACTCAGCTAAAGAAGTTCTATCTTGGATTCCAGCGTGTCCAAGTATGCCTGTTCAATTCACTGGCTCTGTTCACTGTACACCGCAGAAGTGCCCTATTGAGTCTCCAGTTCAAGGATCTACAAATCTCGCTGCAGAAGGATCCTCGCGGCGGACCTCCTATTCCTTTGGTTGAACTGACGCCCGATGGATGTAAGAAGTTTCTCGGGCTGACTAAATTGTAAGGGCACTGCCTTCCTTTCCCTTCACTATCTCATTATCTCTAAGCCCTGCTGGATCCGTCAACACGAGTCTAATTTGAAACCATTGCCCTTTCGAGACATGTCTAAACCGGGCAATGTGGGCTAACTGACGACAGGACTACATTTGCACTCCCTGAAGTGGTCTATGGACCATCTTTGGTGATATGTCCCCATACGTTACTATTCGGAGTCTTATTTCACGCCAAAGCATTCCGGAATAACTTGACATCAAAGGCCCAGTTGCGGAAGCTCTTTGTTAGCAAAGGTTGCCAACAGCTCCTGGTGCCCTTGGACCGGGAGAAGGCGGATTGGTATATCTTTTGCAAAACAGACTTAGTCAAAGGAGTTCCAACCATTCTGCGGACCCAACCCATGTCCAAGTCCTCCATGTCCAGCCTCCTGGTCACGTTTGGGGAAATTCGCGGATGGCCCGGGACATTCCATGCCCATAAGTTCCGGTACGGGGGTAGCAAAGTGCTCAACGAGAGTGGTGAGCAACTCTTTCCATACCACCTCTATCCAAAGTGCTTTTAACTGCTGACATTCAACTTCAGGATGGGTCAGCAAGGAGCAACATATGTTGATCATGAAGCACGCTAGCCCTCGGACTTTTCTCGACCATTACCATCCTTTGCAGATCGACACAGATATGATTCGGGTTATCTGTGGCCTTGACCCGGATGTGGAATTAATGCGGGCTGTCACGCGCCAGAACCGTTGGCAAGACCCGCGACGCCCAAGATATCTAACTGAGCAACAGAAGGCACAGGTGGAGGACCATCCTGAGTTGGAAGAAGCCCGCCAGAAGCTGAGGGAGCTTGGTGCCCAGTATGATAAGACCCAGCAACCGGGTCTGCTCATTCGGATGGAGAGGCAGAAGAAAGAGGTGACGAATACGCGAAAACGATTGCTGAGGGCTTTGCGGCATCAGATCCGAGAGAACTTTGATGAAGAGCAGGCTTTCCTGGATATTGAGGCGCAGCTCTCTGGCACTGCAGTCAAGGAAGAGGAAGAGGAAGAACTTTTCGAGGATGCTATGCCTCCAACCCAGCTACACCTTTTGCGATGTCTTTTGTCCTATCCGATATCCAACTCGCTGGAAGACGAATGGAATCGGCGCGATGCAGCTGCGGATGCGGTAATGCAATATTGTGATGTCCTTGAAGGAGGCCCTCTGAGAGGCCGGCCAAGGCGAGAAACTACGACCGCTGCATTGCATGAACCCATAGCTCCACCCCAGGATGTATCAGAAGTTCAAGACGGCGTCAGTACATGCGAAGTGGCACCCCCTACTGTACGGGGCAAGCCGTCGCGTGCTACCAAAGAATATTTAGAGAATTCGGAGCTGCCAGAGGCCTGCTTTCAATGCTTCGCGAATGAGAAGCTACCTGAAAAGGTTCGCTGCCGAATGTTTCATGATGCTGGTTGTGTCACGCGCCACTTTGATGCCGTTCATCTGAAGGAGGAGCCGCTCAAGTGCAACTGGTGCGAAGTGACCTTGTTGCATAGAATGGCATTCCAGCGCCACGCGATTGATGAGCATCGGGTACGCAGTCGTTGGCGCTGCCCGGACCCGGTGTTTTGAGCGAAAGAATAATGAGCCAACACACACCATACGCGGCTCTTCTTTAATAGATTCTAGACGATGCAATTACCTAGACTATTTTCCTGTTCTAGTTTACTGGTCGACGACTATCTACACTGCATTATCGACCGCCCGCCGTAGAAGAAATGCACCGCCTAGGAACTCTACGGGTGTATGATCTGTGAATGGTCTTTTGTTTCTCTTGATGCGCTCTATGACCGTTGCAGACAGACTTTCACGGCATGACTACTGTGGAAGATTCGGCCGAGTGTTTATCTCGGGTTTATTTAATTCGAAATATCACTCTTGCCACAATTGGTGTACAATGGTGAAGCTATGGTTGGGTCTTTGCGAGCATCTTTGATTCGAAAGGACTCTGTGTAGGGGGATAGACACTGTCTCCATTCATGGGGGTTCTTATAGTCAAAATATCATATTTAATGCAATGAAGACACATAAGAAGAGCTCCCCAAAATCCCGAACAATAGATGTTTGACTCATGGAGCTACAGTTTTCAATGATGTATGTTGCCACCAGCGGCTACACCATGTTTCTTGTAGTTCCTGGTGCCTTGATTGGCTGCAAGCCCACTACTAGTACTTTCTGTATTTAGTATCAGTGCCGTAAGTCCGACAACCTGGGTCAAATGCGCTCTTAAATGCCGAGAGACCACCTGGACTCCAGCTACGCAGGCCATGATTCTTGTGCTGCTAAACTACTCGATCAATCCATTAATCTATGGCTGGGCTTTACAACCTACCTCCCGAGATCTTGACAATGATCTTCCAAATTCTACCCTTTTCAGCAATTCTATCAACTTGCCTCGTTTCTCGATATCTCCATGCTGCTTCGCTACCCTTTCTTGTTTCTTCATTCAACGTGGAGTGCAAGACATCGCGGTTTCGGAGAAGATTGCAGTCATTCCTGGAAACTATCATCAAAAATGATGCCGGGCAATATGTGAAGTCAGTCTCTTTTGAAAGAATTGAAGAAATTTTGCCTTATGAATCTGTATATCTACATAAATTCTTGCCCCAGCTATCACCACAGGTACCAAATATACAGCAGCTTGCAATTTCTGGGGATTTCTATTTCTTGTCCATGCTGAGAGATTTCCCGTTCCAATATCTAAAAGAGCTTCACTGTGTACAGAGTGGACCTGCGATATGGAGAATTATCCATCTTCTTCCGCGGTTATCTCTGTTATCATTGAGAAAACATTATTGCAATGCAGTGCAGTTATCTGCATCCAATCTTCCGATCAATCGAATTTTGCTCGATGAATGCGATCTTGATACAGAATCTTTATGCATGATAATCAGAAGCTGCAAGCGTCTAGTGAGCTTGCAGTATCACCACCCTCTATCATTTCCAATCTTTCGGACACCTATCCCTCTCGATTCTCGAGACATACATGCGGCTCTTCTTATTCACAAGCAAAGCCTGAAGGAACTTATTGTTGAAGACTGTGAGAATAATGTTGCATACAACAAGACTCCTAAGTATGGATCCTTTGAAGACTTTCCCGCTCTCGAGAAACTAGGCGTTGAGTGCAATGCCCTCGATACACAAATTTCTTTACCCCCATCAATGCGGTCAATAGTCATCAGACGTTGTGATTCTGCCATAACACCAGATATACTATTATATTTAGGCAGGCATCCAACAGTGGAAGTAATCCAGTTTAACTACATGGATGGAGGCATCGGTCGTTTTATCCAACAGCATCAGGACCTGGGAATGATACGGAAGGATATTCAGGTTGAACCTGTGAATCAGGATCGGGCTCCTTCCAGATATGTGTATCATACGCGAAGACGACTTGGGCAGTCACGGATGATCAACTCGAACTGATGTACTAGTAAAGTCTTATTATCCGTCCTCCTGTCCGTTGCGGTATTACCCCTACCTGTCTGAGGATAGCGTTCTCCTCTCGCCGCTTTCACATCGCTCCCGGGCCGCTCCTTCTCTGGCTGATCTATAACCCCGACCTGGTTCCCTCCTTCAACAACTACTCGACAGAGTTTTTAGCTAGGATGGCCCGAACACGCTTCTAATTTGTACGTACATGATCAGGTGTCTTTCTAGCTGCTGGTGATTGGTTTTGAGGAAGCTAGAAACACCCCCATTACATGACTAGCCCCTATTGGCTGCTGCCTTGGCCACACGAATGTAATGGATTGTGCTCATGAGGTGAACGCTTGTCGCTGACCCAGTGAGGCGGATCTTCATTGGTGGATACCAGTAGATTCAACTAGAAAGAAGTCTGCTTGGCTTGATCCCTACATTAAGCATATATTATGATCTGATTGGATATGAGATGACTGTTCTAGAACGTATAGCCCTCGATGAACCACCTCACATGTTTTAGTTCCTCTCGTATGGTTGTCTCTCTTGACTGGACCCTCACATGGCTAATTTCCTCACAAGAAGAATCTCACAAGAGGGTTTCCCTCATAAGAGAGGCCTTTTGATCCAATACTCTCAAGTTAGATGAATTACTATGATGATCTACCTATAACATATCACACAAAAATTTCTGCATATCCCGTAGAGCAACACAAGAGATGGTTCTCATGGTGTCAACTGCCATGAGAGGTTCCTTCTAGGGCGGCCTGGCTCATGGCTGTTAAAACTGCATAAGTTGAGCCACATATTTCTAGATTGGACCTGAAAGGGTGCTCATGTTCTCTTGACTGCCATGAGACTATTGCTCGGGCAGCACTCGAGAAATCAACGATAGAAGCTGCTTGTCTTTGGTGATTCGGCCTTGGGACGCGAGCTTCTGCTCTTCATCCTTAGAGATCATAAATATGACATTACTGCCGTCGGCAGTGGCTGCGCGATAACATTGGGTGGGGCTGAGGCTATGTAGATTCCGATCATACAGCGAATAATTCTTCCGTAAATACTTCGTCGCCATCAGTTCCAACGGCCGTAGACTGGAAGCACCCGCTCGTACACAGTCAGATTTCTTCCATTCGCCTTTAAACTCCCAGAAGGAAATCTCCACAAGTGCTGGTGGTTGTGGTGGCGGTGCCTCGACCAGGATTGAAGTCCCGGCATCTGCGGGAGGACCCAGCTGTCCTTCACGGTGAGAAGCTGGCGATGGGTCTTGAGTCGTTTCAGAAACCGGTGCTACTAGCTTGTTATTATGCGTCACGTCCGCTGATTGGTCGTCAGGGGGCGCCAGTGGTGAATTCTGCCTTTCTCGTGGTCTAGGTGACGGTTCCAGGACTGGTTGCTTCTGGTAAGAGATACCAAGCTCTTCCTGGAGTCGCTCATGATCTAACTCCTCCTCTAACTTATCCTGTTCTTCCCGTGCCCTCATGATATGGTCAACGTATTCTTTCAAGCCCTGTTCTTGCCCAGCAGGGCCGCCAACACTCGTAGAATTGTCGTCCTCAATTTCCGTGGGCTGTGGCTGTGACGGATGAGCAATACGCGCCTGATCTTCAAGGCCATTGTCCAGAGGTGGACCCTCTACTGTTGGTCTGTCGTCTGAGTCCTGCTCAAGCGGGGTTGCTTCAAGTGAAATTCTCGTGCAATGGCTATGGGTATCTGTTTCTTCCGGGGCGGCAGGGCCATGTGTGGGGGCGGTTGCTGGATCGGACTGCATTGATTCGTCTTGTGGACCTTCATCAGAAAGTTCCTGGGACGAATAGTCGTACATATCCTCATCCGAGGACTCCATGCTCGGACCGTCCAACTCCATGTCGTAGTCTTCGGGCTCGTGGTCCCCTTCTCCCGTTGGATGCAACTTACGCTTGCGCATCTGAGCCCTCCGCTTTCGTCGTTGTTTAGCAACACCCCGTTTTCGTTTGTCCCTCTGGACCTGCTGGCGGCGCGGAATATGTTGCTTCTCGCCCCGTCGGGCGCCCCGCCCCTGTGGCTCTTCTCGTTCTTGATGAGGTGACCCACTGGGTAGAGCTGCTGGCCGAGCGGATCCATGGTCCCCAGATGAACCATCTTCTCCAACGAACAACGGCGACCATGGAATATCCCCGGAAGACTCTCCGGCCCGGTCACTGCTAGTGGGTCCAGGTATTGCAGGTCTTCCAAAGAAGGAAAAATAGACACAGCGGCGGACATAAAAGCTAGTGATCGTGTCAGTAAACCCAATGTCGTCGGCGTGCAAACGGTCCAGAAAGAGCAAGGGACTATCTTGCTTATGGGTTCGTGTTTGTGGCATCCCGCAGCGAGCCCGAGGTTTCACGGTGCTGTCCGCGAGAAGATCATGTGTCATGTCGGGCTGGTCGGGCACCGCCACAGCAAAACAGTCTACAATACGGCTGACAAGGATTTCAAACTGCTGGGCGTCATAGCGGAACCGACTAGGTTTCCTAGCCTGCAGCAGAGCCGCCCGTGCGATCTGATGGTCTGGGGAACCGTTAATCAATGCATCAATTTCGGGGGACTCGAATCCGACCCGGCGAGCGAGTTCAGCCATCTCATAGATCGCTCTCTCATCGGCTTTCGCACGAATTGGCTTTGCCAACAGGTCATCCACCTTCTTTGGGTCCGAAGGCATCAGAGGATAATGTCGCATTGCATACAGCCACACCTGCAAGTATCCCATTTCAAGGCGCTTCACGTCGGTCGCCCACTGATGCCGGAAAGTAGACTCAGAGGTCTGAATTACACACTCCCCTCCCTCCAAATTCGAGGACGGAATAAACATTGACCTCATGGTTTCCCACACAGACTCAGTCGATGGGCCAAAAAGTCGCTTCACACAATGAGCGCAGCTTTCCAGATATTTGAAATCTTCAAAAAACGTGTACAAGGACGGAATCAGCCCGTCAAAATCCTTCATTCGGCTCCATATGATTCTTCGTTCTTCCTCGCTGAATTCTGCAAATGCCTGGCCACTCAGGACCAGCCCACAGGCTAATTTTGCGTCGGTACGGGATCTGCCCGGTGCCAGCAACTGCAGGGCGTCGACGGTATCCAAATCAATCTTCTTCATCGAAACAGGATCTGAATCAACTATGGAGGACCAGAAGTATCCGATATGCTCAAGATAGGTCAGAATCTCCTACAGAGTGGTGAGAATTGTGATTGGCAGGACGGCAAACAGGGATCTTAGAACTCACATCGACACAACTTGTGGCGATCAACCGATGAAGCATGCTTATTCTCATTCCATGTGGCCAAAGCCCAGGGATTGGTAGTAACCGATCGAAGGCTCTACGGAGACGACGGTTTCTTTTATTGTCTAACTGATCCAGGCGGTCCTGATTGCTGGGTGACAGCCGCACAAACCACCGCTGCCGGAAGCTTTCGTTGTCCTCGCCCTCATACTGCCGGATCTTGCGATATATTTGCCCGTCAGTCGGCTTCTTTTGATTAGCATATTCCTCTATCAGGGAAGTCCTCAGTTCTTCACCGATGTCTACGTTGATGGTCAGTCTTATAGATTCTAAAGAGATGAATCCTACAAGGCGTACCGTCCACGTAGAGATCAACTGTCCACCAGCGGTCAGCCGGAGGAAGTACCTTGGCTCCCGCCTGCACGCGGTGACGGCCATGGAGGGCTCGTAGTTGCCCCGCCGCAAACCCCAGCTGGGGACATTGGTAAGGATCATTAGTCAGCAGCGATTGCTGCGGAACTTTCGCCTTCCGCAGCGCATCAGCGAGATCCTGCCATGACACGATCGCGGGGACGTGATTGTCGACATCCAGGCGACGACAGCGGTTTTTGCGGAAGATTTCACAGAGCCGATCCAAATTTTTGGGATCCAGATCTCGCGGCAACGGGGGGTCAAATTGAATTTGATAGATATTAACCTTGGCTGTTCCTAGGTATTTCAGGCGCCGCTCCGTTGCCAGTCGGACTTCTTCCTCCGTAAATAGGGCCCGCCGCATCGCGAGAATAGAAGTGCAAGCAGATATCGATAACGACAGAAGAAAAGTCAACGCCATGGCAAATATATATATGTCGAATGGGTTCTCCACTGCGGTAGCGCTGCGGAGCCTCGCTGTCCTGCATGCATGGCTCCCGCAGCGACCCCCAAGCTCCCGCAGCAACCCTTTTCCAGACCATCTTAAAACTGCGCTCTCGCTCGCATGCATTGTCTTTCATTATTGCTGTATCTGCCCACTGGGTCTGGACGTTTATAATCTCCATCATGCAGCCTGTGAAGAACAATCGGGCCACCCAATACCTAGCGGATGAAGTTCCTCTCCTCGAACAACCACCTGATACTGAAGCAGCGGTGCCATCACCACCTGAACTCAAATACAAGCCCAAAGAAACTGGCTCATCCAGCGCCCGCCCGGGCAAAAGACCCGCTACTCCCTCGCTCGCAGACTCGAGTCGTAAGATCATCCGGGGTCCGTCACGAGCCTTGGCTCTTCCGGTAACCAGCGGGTCGGGGAGCGGTGCGGCTTCAGATCTAGTTATACGAGCGGAGCCTCCAGGGGATACTTTTAAGAAATACTACGAATGCGATTTGGCTGGCACTGTTTCTGTATGTGTCCGGCGTTCCGGCCGCCGTGTTGTATTGGCAATTCGTCAGTATCCCTGCAGTGATACCGACAGAATCCTGGAGATTCTCCGTTCCACACGCCATCAAAATGTGGTCTCTGTTTCGGAGTGTTTCCGCACCCCGGATGCCCTGTACACTCTCAGCAAATTCCACCCGCTCACCCTAGATCATATCGTCGCCTGCAAAGCCTTCCCAGACCAGCAGCAGCTGGCTGCCATTATGTCCCAGGTTTTGTCTCTAGTCCCACGCGAATATACACGATCGCTAACCGTTCCCAGTTTGTTGATGGGCTATCATATCTCGTCGCCCAAAATCTCCAGCATAGCTCCATGGATTGCTCCAGCATCCTCATGAGTCTTGAAGGGGAGATCCAAATCGGTGAGCCATTGCTTGGGCCAAGCTCGGAAAGGCTTCTAACTATTTATTAGCACGGATTGATTGCTTTGCCGTCCGACCGGCAGGTAGGGTCCGAGCGGATGACTTGGTTCCCGTTGCACGGGTTATGATGCAACTGATGCAGAAATACGTTAAAGATGACGGGGCCGTTGGGATTGACAATCTCGATCGCTGGCGGAATTGCTCAGCTGCTCTTGAGTTTCTCTCTGCGACGACGTCTGCGGGCTCATTTGAGGAATTGAAAAGTGTTAGTAGCCCCCGCTTTATTTTGAAAGCTGCTCACTGGTCTCTAGCAGCGTCTCTTGACTGAAATCCGCTGGTCTCCTGGAGATTTGATTGGCCTGGCATGGTTTGCTCTGATATCTGCGCGTACATTCTACTCGTACGCGCCCCAACCGGATGAGGATGAATAAGGCACGCACGTCGCTACATGGTTGACGTAACGATCTTGCAAAACAGGCAAAAGACAGTTAATATGATTGATTCAAAGTGAGTTTACGTGGCTGTGGTGATCGTGGATGATTCTTGATTTGGAAACCTGGAAACCTAGCTTTTATATGCTTTCGGGTCGCAGAGTCCGACCGCAGACAACTGTGAGACTGAGGCTGCTTAGCTCCATAATATTCTCCAAAGGTCCAGTCCTACGTCTGGATATTATTTACTTGTATCCTAATCTGACGATTCGGACATGATTCACGATAGTCTATTGTCCTGCAGCGCAATTGAAAACCGAAAAGCCATCTGGATTGGTAAATAATATTATTCCCTACAATAACGAGAGCTGAAAAGAAAACAAGACGAGCATAGCTAAATCACGTATGCATGCACAAGTGAATAGAAGAATTAGGCTCAGGCCTCCCATAATCTCAGAGGGGTGTTACGTAAATAGTCGCCGGAATAGTACTACGTTTCTAGCACGCTAGCGAGGAATTCATGCATCTTCGCTGTCGCACATTTCTCGGTATCAATCTCTGTCCAAGGATTTTCTATCCGCTGACTCGCTAATGCCGTATTATCCTCGGCATGGGCACGAGCCAGCTCATGTTGTCCCAGGAGGCCAAAATCGTCGTTCAAAATGGCTTGGAGGTCGTCTGTAACTTCTCCAAACATGAGGGATTTGACCGCGAGCTCTAACGCGTGGAAGATGCGAATAGTGCCTGGCCGAGTATGCAAGGCGAAAGTGACGAGAGCATTGATTTGATCATTGCTGAACGTATCATTGCACCTAAACCTTTGGGTCAACTGGGCCACAAAGTGTGCTAATTGAGGAACGTACATGATACCCATCAGAGAACTGTCGCCTATCAACAGAATGCCAACTCCCCAGATTCCCGCAAGCTTCCACCACCATCTGCCTCGTCGCACATGATAACCAGATATCCTATCACGACGAGACTGCATTGGCATGGATTTGCGAGGGTCGTCAGAATAGGCATCGAGTATAGAATTAAGAACAAATGTCACCACCGGCTTTGACATGGGAATATGGTAGTGATCTTGCGGGTGACTACAGAGTTTCTCATAGTTGAAGTAGAGCAACACCTGTCCGATACGCTCCGCGACGGGGTCAAGAAACGGTTTCCTCGCGTGAGTGTCGAGTACTTGAATGTAGTTCACAGCCCCCTCTATGCCTTTCCAGACGGTGGGAAGTCCGAGTGCGTGCAATTCGAGCGACATATTGTCGTTCCACTTACTCAACAGGGGTCGAAGCACTCTGCAAGGGTTTTTCACGGAAAGCTGGACTTCCGCCTCAAGGACTTTCCGGACTCTCCGATCTCGTTTTTTCTTAGGCTCATCCGCTTCGTAAAATGCACAAGATTGCAACAAGTAGAGGATTGTCTGATTCGACTTGGTTACGACCGCCGTTGTTTTCAATTGCCTCGACAGGTCGCTATCTAGCCTCTTTCTCTTGACTGATTGGTTGAGCATAGTGGCTTCTAACACCGGTAGGGTTCGCTCCCCAATCTGTGGTGAGTCAAAAATAGTAGAAGGTGTTGAGTAGCTGGAGGCATCTCCATCGAGTCCAGGTGTGGAAATAGTTTCGGCGGGCGACGCCACTCCGGGGATTGGGTTAGTACCAGGAGGAAGTGTCTCCGGGGACATACAAAGCAGGCTTTCATCAGGCGTCTCAGTGGCGCCTAAAAGCCAATCTACCTCACTATTTAGGTAGTTTCCATGACTATACATATTCATCCACAGATCATGATCCTCACTTGTTCGTGAGATATTGTTCGAAGGGCACAGTGCTTTGGGATCGCTCGCGGGTAGGTAAGCGGCGAACAGAGATGGAGAGGGTTGTGCGACATTCGTATTATCTTCGAAAATAATGTATTAGGGTCAGATGATATCAGAGTGGCAGCAATCAGATCATGATAGAAACGCTTATTACCTGGTGAGGTGCTGTCATGGATGGCTTGCACTTGAGAGCGTTCCACAAAGCCAGCGTTTTCAAGTCCAAACCAGACATCAGCTACCTGGAACCTCTTCAGCTTCCGGAGCTGCTCCAGATCGGACCCGAGATCCCGAACGAGCTAGAAAGAGTGAGAATCAGATATAAACAGGTCTCGACCACCCAACCTTGCGAAGCTGTGTCGGTTCCAGAACGATGGGCAACACCCCCGAACATGCCTACGACATAAAGTGTTAGTTGCTGAAGATGACTGGAGAGAGCAAACTCGCCTCTAAGGTAATCGAGGCAGGAAATACATTCATGCAGCCATCCCGGTGTGTCGAGGATAGGATCCTCTGGTCAGCGCTCAGAATGTGCCACCGGATAAATCCCCCACTTTGGGCCCGCATCAAGACGTCCGTCTTCTGTGAATCATCTAATCGTCCAATCTGCTCAAACTTTTTGCCAATCTGGTTGACCAGCTGCAGTGGGGTGAGTATCATCCATAGTAAGCGTCACAAAGAGTTCACTCACGTCGGAACACACATCCTCATCCCAGTCTGGCCCGTTGTTCTGATGGATCTCCTTCAAGGGGTATGAGTGGATGAAACTAGGTTGGGTGGGTCTTGCTTACCTGGAGGCCGATTGTGATAGTGATCATTTTGATGGGGCCAGCCCGCATGAACGACCAATAACAGTAAACGAGGGAATGGAGGGCAACGAGGGAGATGTCGAAAGGACTGGTTGGGTGGAAGCATCGTGGGAAGAGAAGGAAACCGACTTTCTCTTATTAGGGAGACTAGACTGACTAGGCCTCAGTAAGAGTGGTCGCAAAGTGATGGTCCAGAGGAATTAAGGAGCAAAGAAGCAGAACATCGAAGAGCCACGGTCTAAACGCTGAATTTGTGGCCCTGGACCAGACAAAAGGACGGATGATGCAACTGCCCCACCTACCCGTTACTATGAACCTCGGGGAGCATGCCGTGCGTCCTACAACGAAACGGAAAGGTCTAATTGGCAAAAATTACATTCTAGCCCATGTCTTATCGTAGTCTTTCCCCAAAATAACAGCTACTACTCCGTACTATATTTATCGCTAAGCACCTCATGGCGTATTGTATTTGTCACCCACGGTATTGCCGATTCCCCCTGTTTACAGCACGCTCCAGCCCGCACACACCAAACTCACCGTTCGATTGTGTTCAACCAGCATTGGGCTGGTACTCTACTTCGGAAAGCACCACACCCTGATGCAGATAACCTCGTACGATCTCCCGTATGTGATCTCTGAGCTCGTCCGTTGTGGAGACTGACAAGGAAGTTCAGCACGCGATATGAACAAAGTTGATCGAGATCCTTACCCATCACCAGTGTCCGACCTTGCTCGTCTCGGATGTTCGGCAGCCTTTCGATCTGGTCACCGGATGCCTCGAGCGAGATGATACCTCGATAATCTGGCATGCCCTGGTAGAGACAGACTCGTTCATGCTCGCCAAATGGTATTCTGTTGTGTGCAAGGCCATTCTTCACGTAGATAGAGATATTGAGGATCTCAAAACATGACACCCGTCAGCATGAGGTGGAGTCTCCCAGGTATTGAGATTTGTTACGAACATAGCCTTTATCTATAATATCGTCCTCGAGGAGACTATTGAGCAGGCCCTGGGCTGAAATTGTCATGTCTACCTCATTAGCTGGTTTTATTAAGGGCTTATGGGACGTCACACTCACCAATAGACTCTACTTGCCATACTAAGTGAAGCCGGCGAATCTGTAAGGTGCAGGTGTTATAACCGTAGATCATTTTCTTAAGGTACGGGATTGTTGCGGCTATCCCAAACCCACTCGCGATCAACAAGGCGCTCTCATATTGACTGACGTCCTCACTCGTCCCATGAGGTCCAGTGAACAACGCCAAGAAAGACACCGAGCTTTCTGCGCCCACTGAGGCGTGATGGACAAGATCAGCAGATAAACCACGCCGCGGTTGTACAAGAAGCTCCAAGGTGTCCTGTCTACCGCGAGACCATGATGTGACCGTAAATGGGTGCGTCTGTGTCCATGACCATAAACAAACCGATGGTATCCAGAGGTTGATATACTGCCCAGCCTCAACCTGAATTGGTCGAGGCAAAAGGACGCGAATACGGGCAGCCGTTACTGTAAGGCCGCTATCCTTCGATTTTCTAAAGGTGAACGATACGAGGGCCCTGGGAGCACCGCGGCCAGCAAACAGCCCATTTCGATATAACAGGGACATCAGCTGCAAGCATGAGGTCAACCCCAACATCCCTAGTGCAATCCAGAAATAAAGCCTTGGAGGGCCACTTTTGGCCGGAAGATGCCGCCAGGTGCCGTAGATAAAGAAACCGGTCAGGATCTGATGCCCTCGGAGAAAGATCTCGTACGACCACTGACGGAACCATGGAATAGAAAACAGAGCAAGGGCACCCAGTGATGTAGCACCCTGACCAAAGTTAGCTAGAGCGAATGATAGCAGTGAAGATGCATACGATCATGGTAAATAAATTTTGCGCTTCACCGAGTGGAAAACTAAATTTTCGGCCCTGGACTGCTGCAATGATGTGAAATGACAGCAGAGCAACGGCTATCCAACCAGCAGCACGGTGGATTCTGCGACAAGTGCGCCAGGTGATACCAAGAAGATCAGCTAAATTGCTTAGATGGGTGGCAGATAAAGGGAAAATCAAGTTGATAAGGGCTAAGTCCCCTGCACGACGCCCAGTACTAGCCAACGATTCCATCCTAAAGAGGACGAGAAAGACGTTAATTGCGGCATATGACACGTGAAGGAGAACACCGACTCGAGACCACGGGCCCCAAAGCCGATGTCTATGAACAACGAAAGGGAGGGTCAGATGTCGAGAAATTAAAACAGAAAACAAAGTTGTCCAATTGATAAGGATAGAGAGGGTCCGGGTCAGGAAGAGCCCGGCAAAGATACCGCCAGTCGCAATTGCGTAAATGGTCAATGCATTCATGCTCTATGCAAGTACGGATCGGCTACCGAACAAAGATGGAACTGTCGAGAAGAATAAGAAGGGGAAAAGGGATGAAGGAAAGTAAGCATGCGAAGCAGAGGATTCTTATAACTTAGAGATAGCTACAGATGACGACCTTGCTGCGGCGCAGCTCCCTGAAATACACCATCACCTGCGGGACTAGAATAGCAATTCAGCTGCGGACCACCGCAGCAACCCCCAGCGGCCAAGATCAAGGTAGTTAACAGGCCTTTTAAAAGGCAGCGGAATTCTGCCTCTTATGCGGGCTCTTCGAGTTCGGAAAACTGGGCAGATATATATCCTTGTTCCATCCTCGTGAATCCACTGGCTCATCGCATTTTTTAACTTTGCCTTTTTGATTTTGTACTTTAAACATGGACTCTATTAAATTGTAATTATTATCATCAGCACTGAATAGAAGATAATCATAGTTCTCACACACTGCGGAAATAGCAGCGCTAACGTTCCAAGCTAAACAATTTCTTGCATGAGGTCAAAGCTTATTGGAAGTTAGGTTAATTGGCCCTCACTCGTCCGCAGGGCATATCCAAACAATTCGATAGTTAGTTAGAGAACATGTCTGAAATATTCCACGACTGTTTTGGCATATTGAAAGGTCGGCTACTAAAGATCTCCTTGAGATATGTCTGTGATTGGTAATTCTTTGCAATGACAAACTGCGCAACAGCCAAAAAGTTTTGGGGCGCCAGGATCTCTAGGGGAAGAGTCCCTTCCGAGAGATTTTTTTGAGAGGATTTCACGTGACCAAGGGCAATAAACCAGGTACCAGCTTTTCGGTAGCATACTGCTGAGAGGGGTCTGCCTTACATAGTTTGTGCAGGGAGCGGCACCTGACAAACTCACTAACTTATGCTTTTCAATCCGCCAGCTTATAGGATCCTGGCTCGCTCTTAACAATTTTTGTGGCTGATACTAGCTCATATGAGTAAGGCCATACATTATACTTTAGGGTGCTGCTTTGCAATCTTACAGCCATCCATTATATCCAGCAATCAGGATCGGTCATTAATCGCTAACTCCCTAAATGATGATACGGACTGAATAGAGTGCTACATAGGAATACTCCTCGGAATCTGAAGTTTAACATACAGAACCGAATTAATACGGCCATTGGACCATACATCAAAGAGACGGCATATTGATAAGCAAAAGGCAAAGCAGAAAACGGTCCCAATACAATATGAAGCTTGAAAAAACTTGCAGAGGGCTCAGGGATGGCGCATCTTTATACCATGCACCATACAATTCTCCAGGAAGCAGATATGGTTGGAACCTGGACAAGTCAAAGGAAAGAAGCTACAACCACTGACATGGTCGTGATTGCCAGGTTCCGCGTAATGATGAGGAAGCGTTTTTCTGCAGTAAGGACAGTTTAGCTCTATAAACCCGTATCGGAGTTTCAGACCCGCAAGATATATAGACCGTCATTATCGGCCAGAACAGACTCATGGACATAATGCACGAAGCACTCATGGCAGATGGTATGGCCACAGCCTAGGACTAGATCGACAGCCTGGCTGTAACATATCTTGCACAGAAACTCAGCTTCTAAGAGAAACGTTGTATCAGTACATAGGTTTCAAATGAGGTAGACGGCGACTTACGGATATCAGACAGGGGCTCTGGACCACTGCCACATCCACTGTGCCCAGTATCGTTGTCAGTTGCAGTCTCTGTGGTGCCATCATCTATGTAGATCGGGTGGTCTGTGGCAAGTTAGATGACTTAGCAAGATAAAGTGAGTAAGAAGGCTCACCAATCGTGTCACCGGCTCGTGTCAACTGGGTCAGAAAGCCATCCGTCGAAAATACGGATTCATGATCATCTATCTCAATGGGATTATCTGTAACCAGTTAATCAAAAACCAAGGAACAACACTGTGAGACTTACCAATACTGTCACCTGCCCGACTTTGGTTAAGAAGACAAGTACTGCTATCAGGCAATGAGGGACTGCCAAAGTCGATTTCTATGGGATTGCCTAAGAGCCTATTAGCAAAGTTCATGGATGAATGATGACTCGACTTACTGAAGCTTCCACTTGAAGGACGAGTCTGTGCTGGTGATGAGTCGGCTCCAGGCTGTTCACTAGCAATGGATACCTCAAAAGGGTATGCTGAAGGTTGTTAGCCTATCTGCATGACTGTGTTGATATTCTATCATACTCGAGGAAGGGAACCATGTGCCAGGCAGTCCGTTGGGAACCACTGGGCTGGTATGATCAGAGCCGCTAGATATACCTGCGTATCCTGGTGGTGTTGATGGAGCCTCAGCTCCTAGGAGCCTGTTCATGGTGGTATAGTTCGACATGATCAGAGATCGTATTCGATTGAAGCTTGATAGGGGTGAGTAGAAGAATAAAAGTAAGGAAGTCTGGGAGCGACTGGACCACATATTTATATCCTGGTAACTCTGTGTAGGTTGCTACAGAGCCTTGCTGTAGCTATTTTCGTACTGAGGGGCTATATGCACTGAGTGACATATAGACCAATTGAAGTCTTTGGCCGAGACCTACCTGCCACTCATGAAACACAGTCAACCTATAGGTTGCCTGTAGGCGGTTCTCAGTGAGGCGCTGCACTCAGGGTAGCATCATTTATGCGAGCGTGACAGCTATATTTGGCCATATGAGCCCACCAACTGGGAGAGGAAACTGTTACTTGAACTTTGTACGAAGCCCATGGCACGGGCTTGTTACTGCTTTATTATTATTCTTGATTTTCCGATCCTTTAAGAACAGAGCCAGGCACAAACTGTGCTTCGGATACCATTTATATATGAGTTGGCAAGTAGCATCTAGGAAAAATACGTAAGAATTTTTCTGCCATGCTCACTGCATCTAGTCTAATATCAGGCAATGCGTTCACATATTGTGAATTTTATAGTAAATATTCCTGTACTTATTTGGGTGGGTGAAGATGCACAGTATGTACTATGTTGAGCTTTATCAATCTCGAAAACCGTGGCCTCATCTACAACACGAGCACATATACTTGACTGCGAATGGACACACTTGCATCACAGTGCGCTTATTGGTGGTATACTCGATCTCGAAATTATAAATGTATTGGCGGCAGCATCATGGGTCCAGAAAACCACAGTTTCCTAATGGGAAGCGTGGCGTCTCGAAGTTCGTTACCTCACATATAAGGCCATGCAATCTACGAACGTTATGTATCACTATTGTCTTTGATCAATTATCCAGACTGGTACTCTATTCTGCTATTATGCAGTTCGAATGCGAAGGTCAGTGGATTGGCCCATTTGAGGTCATCAAGTGGCCCAATGTTCCCGGAGCACGTGGTCTGGGTAAGACGTATCTCCATAGCTTACAGTCCCAAGACGACTAACGTGGTTAGCCCGGAACAGAATCACGGGTGAAAACGCCGTACTAAAGGCTGGGTGGATCGGCAGCTTAAATCATGAGGCACATACGCTTCTTGCTGCGTCGGGTGGAATTGGCATACCTTTATTACATTGGTTTGAAACTGTTAATGGGATGGATGTTATGATCACCGACACCTACGGCCCAAGTCTCGAAGAGAACTTTTGCCTATATGGCCGGTATTTCAGCATGCAGCGCCTGCTTCTTTTCGCTGACCAAATACTGTCACGGATAGAGTTTCTGCATTCCAGAAGACTCGTCCACGGGAACCTAAGCCCCTGGTCTTTCGCTCTTGGCGAACATGCTTGGCAAAACCAGCAGGTTTTATTGGTTGATTTTGATATCGAAGCCGGAGTAGATGTCTCTCCTGCCGGTGATATCCATGCTATTGGCCTGATCTTGGCTTATTTCTACAGTGGTTGCGACTCATGGGTTGATTATCAGCAAAGAGGCATACGAGAGAACCCGAAGGATACTGCTCCGGTTTTTTCTTCTTTTCTTAATGCTATCTCGACCTGCAAAACAGTGGACTATGATAGCCTACGGGAAATATTCCGCGGGGCCTATCTAGATTTCGCTACCCAATTAGCCATCGCCCTCGACTTAAGGGGACCACGAGCGATCAGAGAAGGATATCAATCAGTATCGGGGTGCCTTATCACCCTAACAACACCAGATCTTTTTGAGAAGCTACATTCGAAGCTCATAGAAACCGGAAATGTGCTGACGGATGAGGATATTTCACCACATTGGGGTAGGCAGCTATTGCTTTCTCTGGAGGAGATCATGAATATCTACATTCTTCTTATCTCTCGCGATCGGCCCTCTTGTGACCAGGGAAGGCTTAAGATAGCAGCATATCACCTGCCTAACCGATTATGGAGAGACTTACGCTGGTTTCTGGCGAAAATCCATCACGCCACAAAAGAAGTCAAACTTGCATTTATCGAGAAAATTTATAGTTTTGTGGCAGCCTTGTATGACGGCGTTCCAGGCTACAGGATTTATTGGACTGAGTATCTTCTATACTTGGCACAAGAAAGAAAACGCAATTCATCTGGGCATGGGGGATCAGCTTGGACTCAAACAGTGTTTTACTGGCAGGACAGGCTGCTTAGAGTAAGGGAGCAGTCTTATGATCAATAATACAGTAAGGACCAACAGTATGATGCCGGTCAAGTTGGACACGCATGTAATGCGATAAAGATGGCTTTCACGGATAATAGAGATGCACTAGTACTTCACTTAAATGACTGCACCAAATAATCAATATTGATGATATAACATGAGTACTAAACTGTAATTATACACGGTTGACCATTCAAGGCTCCCCCAGGCTCAGATAGTTGATTGAATAGCGGCTTAGATTCATTTCAGTCTTGGTGTTCCAGGTAGAACCAGTGATGGTGGCTTTGAGATAGAGAAAAGTCGCATGTTGCGCGAACCGTCCCCCCTGTGCCTCGGTTCTAGTATGTTTGAGTCGAAGTTGTTTGGGCTCCACTCCTCAATCGGCCAACAGTCATGCTAGTTTAATACCCGTCAGAATCCTTCTATTCGAATAAAAGCATAGGACTCACCACTTTCTCAGCAGACGGGACCCATTTTTCGTGGGGGTGAGAGTTGTAGGTTGAGTATTGGATTGTACCGCGACATCCCTTTGGTTTCCGCATGAAAAGTGTATATATGCGAACTTCACGGCCCGTATCTAGACCGTCAAGGTAGAGGTCATTTAAACGCTTGTAGACCCCCCGCTTACCGCGGCGGAACCGTTCGCGGTCGGCCTTGGCTTTTCTCTTGATGTCCACAAGAGACCCGCGTGTCTGGCGCTTCTTTCGCCATGAAGTTGAATTCCCGAACTGAGGTGGCATATTGATCAAAAGCTTTTTGTGTTGTACTTTCATTCATCACCAAAAACTCCCTAGGTCTTTATAACATATTTTGGCGCTGTGAAGGCCACAATTCCATAAATAGATTGATGCTATTTTCGACTGCGCGTCACGAACATGGGCCGTCCGACCAGAACTCGCAGCATGTTTAGACAACCACAGCTGCGGCTGAGTAATATACCCTAATGTCTCCCCACTTGAAGAACAAGCTTGTTGCACACACATAGAGCCATATGCTGTCGACGCGCTAACCGCTAGACCAAAAACAATATATCGCGTCTCGTTAACCAGGCGATGGAGATATATGTACCAGCTAGGGATGTTGAAATTTTATTTTCAAAAAGCCATTACTATAAAAGTGTAATTTCACTCGAAAAAGGCGTTACAATTACAAAACATTACGGGATAATTGTGGATCGCAATCATAAGATTTGATTGGCTGAAATAAACTGAACTTTGTCCTAAAAATGGTAAGTAGATCTATATAGAGACAAGCGTGTTCTCTACTTTACATATCCAAAAAGTCGCTATATGAAATCTTGCCCAAAAATAGTGTAATTAATGAAATTAGAAATTACACTCCGCAAACCTAGTCCCAACATATACTGATGGCCACTACATTTTCATCTCGTGGCTTGTAGGGCGCCGTTAAAAGGTGAATGCTGACTAGGACAAGCCCTATCATGTGTCGGGACAACTCCCATTAAAGCTATCAAGGAAACAGCATATACGTAAGATACTCATCGGATCACCACATATCATCAGTGTACTTTGCAGACGCCAGCCTTGCTATACATGATGGTTGTGTGTTACATGAGCGTCTAAACTGCAGATCACAATATCCAAAAGACGACTGACAAAGCAAAAGTAAAGGCAGCACTTGTAATGCCAATGTATGAGTGAGCTTCCGCAGAAGAGTCAAGTGTGTAGTTAGTCCGCTTGACAGACATTGTACTCTGTGTTTCGGAACAGGCAGCTGTCTCTGTGACAGTAATCACCAGGACCGGCATTATAGAAGAGGAAGGAACTGGAACGCGGTCGCTGATCGTAGGACTAGATAAGGAATTCAAGTGACTACCGATAGATTCAAAGCTGAATGATGTAGAGGCAAGTGTTGAAGGGAGGCGGTTAGAGGGTAACATTCGACTGGTATTACCCAGTCCAGAGACAGAACTCGGCAGGTACATCATACCACTGGAAGTAGGAACATGACTAACAGTACGATGCCTGGCGGTATCGAGGAATGACCTCATCCCGTCACCTGGGTTGAGGGCAAACACCATGCCCGCATGGCAATGCGAGTAGGGATGGTCCTGCTTGCAGAAAAACCATCGCGGTTCAAGTGAAGTGACTGTGATTGTAAAAACAATTTTCTCTATTTCCGTAGAGCTAAACTCGATATATCCGGTGTCAAGCTCATCAATCGGTGAGCATGGGTCTTGAAAGCTCGACTCAGTCAATGTATGGTTGCGGCTTTGAAACACGAAACGAATCTGATCGCCGACATTGGCGTTCAGATGGTTGGGTGAAAAGATGGGGATGCCCCCAGTTCCAACACTAACGTAGTGTGTAACTTGATTTTCTGTCTCAGGGATGTCAACTGCAATTTTCTGACTGATTCTATAATTTAAGAATGTCAGAAGTTATAAAGTATTCGGGCTCGGCTGATACTAACTCGACCTTAACGGATAGTGCCTGAGGCGTAAGAACAAGAAGTAGGATGAGGATCAAAAGCATTTTTGCCATGCAGATAATCTAATTACCCAGTCCTACATTAGATATCATACCACTGTGGTGAATAGCGATCCTTAAAGTACCTTTTCACCTTAGAAGGCCACAGTTTGCGCAATGGCAACAGTTTTAGGGTCCGCAACCGTGGCCCGAACAAAGCTTACTTAAAGGCCCATGAGTGCCGGAGCTTTCATCACATCGCAAGTTCCTATATCATATTTACTGTCTGCTGGCTCAGGCAAACTGCCAATCTACGGTCGCTCTTGGTGAATTTAGTATTGATTTGAGTGTGAACTTTCTTTTTTTGCCATATACGCGTGTTTTCAGTCTTCCCTCTTTTGCCCAGACATACGCAGCATAGTCTCAATATGTCGGGCACCACATCCGGTCAACAATTACAGACCCAGGCCTCAGGCACTGTAGAGAGGGACCAAGAACAACTTTCAGATGCCGGTGCCGCCGATCCGGAACACCACATGACCAGGGATGATCTTACTGACGACCAAAAGCGCGACATTCTGAACAAGGTTCTGCGGTCCACCAATAGTCAGCTATTTCCATTTATCGCAGAGCTAGAAGCAGATATCATCCCGAAGGATTTCGGACTGTCCATGAGAGATTTGGAGATTGTATTGCATCCCGACAGATGGACAAGGCATGGGAGGGCGAAGGACGCTACGACAGCAGTTCAGAGTCAGTATTGCTATTAATTGCAGCAAGAACCATGCTAATCTCTTATATAGAGATTAAACATATGATTCATTTAGGTGTGGAGAGATTCGGTACTCGTAATGGTGACTCAGCTATGTGGATATATTACCATAAGGATCCTGGCGACACAAACACTGGTGACCCGGAACCTGATGTACCGCCGGCCCCTCCCATTCGTCTGGCTTATCCTGCAAATCAGCCTGGCAATCAATCAGGCCCTCAACAGGAAAGCAACCCAGCACCGGTATTGCAGACTCAATATAGCGTGCAAAATGGCGCACGTGGGTTCAATCCGGCCGAACTAGCCAGGCAACATGCTGCTGGTTCCCGTCGGGTCCTCTCCTTTCGACCAAGGACAGTACAGCGTCAAGTGAAGCCTGGATATACAGCATCTGGTGAAGAGATTTGTTGCATCCAGCCCCTGGGACCCAGCCGGGCAAATTTTGTCGTCCGGGATTCTGACGAAAGTTATCGTCTTGTTGACAGCTCAACTGCTGGCGGTATACCAACCATAGAAGCTGCTAAGGCGGCAGGTAAGCCGCTTACTGTGTCAGATCAGAACACGATCATGTTCTACCAGCAACGGGTCAGAAGTGGAGGCGAGTATGGCCTTTTCTTTGTAGCGCCCGGTGTCTGGGATACGGAGAAAAGTCGACTTCCACTCATGGTTGTTGGTTTCTATCATGTTTCACCTCAAACCCCGAGAGTGGAAGCGGCTGTATCCAGATCTAACCTAGGCAAGATATTGTCCTCGCGTCAAGCAGATCACATGATCGTACAAGGTATGGGTGGTGATTCCCATTGGTCCCTCCGTGACGCCTTGGCATATCAGTTATCGATGGAGGCTCCACTCGGCCCAACCCACATTAACTTTCCATCTCAACGACCTATGGCAGTATTGCCCAACCAATCAGGTCCTCCAGATTGGCAAACCCCGTATTATGGTGGGAATTGGAATTCACAGCGCATGCCTCTCGCGTGGAATGAGCAGGCGCCTATGTGGTTTCAGAAGCCACAGCAGCCTAGTCAACAATTCCCCACCCAAGAGTTCCAAAGCATCCCATACCAGCAACCTGCGGCAGTTTATCCTCAGTACACGACAGAGCCTGTAAACCGGCAAGCCTCCAATTATATGGCACCTGCATATCAGCAGCAGCCACCAATGATGCCATATAATCCTTCGCATATGCCCCCCCAGTTTCAGGCGTCGAGTCCTCAGCAGGCAAGACCGCAGGGGCCAGCAGGCATAGTACAGCCAACCCAGCAGGACCCCAATTATATGGCACCCGCGTATCAGCAGCAGCCACACATGATGCCACATAATCCTTTGCATATGGCCCCCCAGTCGCAGGCGCCGAATCCCCAGCAGGCAATATCGCAGAATCCACCAAGCATAGAACAGCAAACTCAGCAGCCGCTGCAGGTATCCGTGGAGGGGCAAGGAGACAGCAACCAGCAGTAAGAACTATAAAACACGGCCGGAACAAGCGAACATGAATTGTGACATTTGTGTCTAAATTGCCAGTAAAGGATCGCTCATAACTGCAAGTTCCCGTCAGAGACAGTGCAATGTGGTTAGACTCGGATTCTCCTAGCTAGGTAGTAAATGACAATGATAGTATTAAGAATTTGTAACGCGTTCAGTTCAACAGTCCCACTCAATCACAGCTAAACTCGCTGTGCCTTGCCTAATACATGGGTCGACGTGCTCGATACAGATGCAAGATATTATAGTTGCAGTTGTCCTCTGTTAACGCTTCTGATTTGACCTGGGTGGCAAGGTGCCGGATTTGGTCAGGACTCCATCCAAGGACGCTTCTAAAGGGAACAACGCTAAGTGGCTCAATACTTTCGGTGAATGCTTGACGGTACCAGAGACCAACGAGCCGTTCATAATCATCGTTGTGCCACTGGCCCAAAGGAAGCCCGACCTGATGATGATGAATCTCCACAAAACCAGCTTCCTGTAGTTTCTGCATCGTCCACTGAGGGCAGTGAGCCAATGGTCTCATGGCCTTCTCTGTTGCCTGGGTCAGGCTCTGATACCAGAACTGCATTGCACAGTCGTCTTTTGTATGTCTCACAGAACGCGGTGTGAAGTCAATCTCTATCTGCTCGAGCCAACCGCCATCACATAGGTGAGCATATACCTTCCGGTAGAGACCTTGCCAGTCGGATATATCCCCGCAACCCATTCGCAGATATATAACATCCCACTCATTTTCACCCAGGGTCCATGTGCTTTCAAGGTCGAAAGGAGCCCGAAAAATGCAGTTTTCAGGCTTGTTGGGCGGTTGAATGGGAGCAAGATCAACACCAACAACAAAAGCACTAGGCAACTGCTGTGCTATGTCAATAGCCCATATTCCCGTCCCGCATCCCAAGTCAAGAAAGCGACCGTTTTTGGGATACGGTACATGGACTATCTTTTCAGACATCAGCGCAATAGAGAAGACCTTATGAAAAAAATCCAGGCGGTCTTGCTCCTGGTCATCAAACGGTGACCCTGTCTTCAAAAGGCGCAACTTTCGGCCACTTTGCCCATATTGTTCCCTGGGATGATTCATCATCAATCTGCGTATTGGCGGGCTAATGTATAGACTTTCGCCTTTCATCGACGGGACGTGCACTTGGGACTGAAATTGCCAATCATGATTCCTAGGCAAACTCGGAAGGGAATGATTGACGGTATCGTCGTCATCGTTCAAGATATTCTCAAGACTCATCAGCTTTCGTATTGGTTGGAGCGACAATTCTTCTCTTAGCATTGTTGTACGAGTAAGCGCACGGGAAGGGTGGACGTAATGACTAGAGTATGCTACGGTTTAACGCAATCGGGCGCCGTTCAGGGAAACAAGGTAAATGTAGATTAAGAAAGGCGACAGCAAAGAAATACCACCAGCAGGCTTTATAACTCTTTCTTAGCAGACAAGGATCCCCACAAAACCTCCATATCAGTAACAATTTCTTCCAGTCCTGACCCATGATAGTCCCACCGACTAATCTCCTTGGTCCTAGAGGGAATTATCATGAGTGCGCTGGCTCCATTCCAGATAATGCTCTAAAAGATCAATGTTCTTGTGGGTCTAGCCACAGTCAGTTGGTCATCCATGTACAATGAGCGCGGCTTACGACTTACTCGGTCCACGATCATTTGATCTTCAACAGTGGGTAAGAGAAGGACGTCCATGTTATCGCCAGCAAGCAGGTCCCTAACCAATGCGTCCAACTTCTCCCTCCTTAGTCTCTTTAAAAGCCCGGTACTTTTCTGTATTGCTTGTAGCATAGAAGAAACAGCGACCTCGGTACGAGAGAAGTTTCTCTCCCGGAGAAGCTCAACAATAACACGTTGTTGGATGCCTAGGGATGAAAAGTATATAACAAGTGCTTTCTCTTGGTCTGTCCAAGCGTACCCGCCCATGATGAAGTGATTGCATTCGCAGTGTAGAAGTCGACAGCGGCTAGACTATTTGACTGAAAACACGACCGTCAGACTCAGCATTTAACCGACGATAAGCCAACCACCCCACCCTAGTATCACCATTTATAGAAGCCACATGCGATAGTAAATCACGCTTCGCATGATTGGTTGAATTTAGGCTTGCGTCAGAAGACTAGACTAGCCCGCTACAGTCGAATCAGAATCAGTAGTCTCACTGCGTGGGGATAAACCTACTCTCTTTATCATCGCAAGTTCGGCAACTGTGAGACTCAGGAGGTAGTCGAGAAGGCCATGATCGATACGGTTTTCAGAGAGAAAGCGGCACACGGCTTCCCTATTCCACTGACCAAGTTCTTCGCTCCAAAGCTCCGGGTGTGTGTGACGCATACGGTCCAATTTGCTCGCAACGGAGGACTTTGTACGTTCGTATTCAGGTGTAGTTGCCGGTATTCCAGCCACAGCACCTTCCTGGACACCCCGCACCCAAGCTCTCTTATTCGTTAGCACCGCGGCAATTGTCTTGTATTCGACACCCCACATATCCAGGATGATTGCTACCGCAGTCTCGTCGACACTCCAAGTGGTACCCATGTTGTATTTTTGTCTTTTTACCATGACAATTGAGCGGTAAATGAAGCTACTTATAGGCCTCTTTACTAGGATAATTCAGCACTTGGGTTTACCATAACTTGCTGTGCCGCAATCACGTCGAGTTTGCTAATCACCCAAGGTTTCTTTATGAAGCCCATTGCTCTCAACTAGCTATTGCGGCAATAGGAACTTTATAATTTGCCACAAGGCTACGCTGCATCCTAGCGAATGAGATCTCTGGCACAGTAGATTTAGTTGGACCGCAGTCAGTGGTGCTCACATGGAAGTACTAAGGCACAGCTGATGATAGGCCCGATGTTCCCGATCAATTGCCCTGCTCGAGGTGTGATAATGCAATCTCGCTGCGCCGTGTAAACTTCCTGTTTCTGGTTGGCCTTCCCGTTACTGAGCTAGCAAGGATAAAAGTACTACTGGCGGTTTGGATAGCGAGCCGTGATTCCGTCGGCCAACCAGGAGCCCAAATTGGCGCGGCTGTGCCGCGAGAACCGAGAGACTGCCAGGGGTAAAGTAGACGGCCTTTCCCAAAGAAGTTTGATTCGAGACAGTGTCTCGTTGTTAGAAAGAGAGAAACTACCCGCATTCGAGGAAGATGCGACAAGGCAGAGATGGGTGCCGCAAAACCTCCTCATAATGATTGTGGATATGATTAGCCACACACTCCAGCCCTCGTGTACTTCGAAAGATTTTCTGGTCATCTTCTGATAGATACTGACAGGATGTTGACCCAGGCAAGATCTACTTGGCTGCCAGAGGATGATCAATTACTGATCATTGTACGTGAGGAAAATATCCAGTGCACATGGGAAGAACTTGCAAGGTTATTTAATAATCGCGTCCCTGACGCCCGCTACCGATCGGCCAATGCTATAAAGAAAAGAATGAACAGGTAAGCTGTGACTCCATTCCTCTGCATCCTGTCGGCGCCTGCATCCTCCCTTGGGAAGACCTCGCTCTGGTAACTCCGGGAAACGATAAAGCCAGCGGGCTTCCCTTCTTCTCTTTCTCGAGTCACCAACTAAGCGCATGCTGCTAACCTCTGATGGCTGAAGAGAGCTTCGCCACCGCTTTGTCCAGCGGGGAGATTACTATGGAGGTAAGTATGTATGCCTTCAATATAGCCATAGCTCATGTTATTACAGTTGTTCCACCAGCGTCATATTACCTACCTGCATCAGATCATTCGAGCGTCAGCCCACAATGGTGCCTTGAGGAGGCAACTCTGGATGGCAGATACCGAGCGCCAGCGCAGGTTGATAGGCGAAATGGCAGCTGCGAACCTGTCCCACCATCAGCAACTACACTGGGAAAAGGTCGCTCATGCCCAAACCAGGCAAGCGTTGGAGGTCGAAAAGAATTTACATCTCCAAACGAGAACAATCATTGATCGTCAGGAGCATACGCTTTCTAGTGTTCGTGCAGCCCTCAATGCTACCGAGCAGGCCTTAGGTCTTGAGCGGGAGCGATCGGAGGAAATGGCAGCCGAGTTAGATCGGACACTGAGGAAGTTCCACTTGGTGGATACTTTAGTGGACACGATGCTTCTTCAGGAGGACATCCAGTTGGATATGCCTGACCGTTCCAGACAAATCACTGATTTGATACTGGACTTGGAGAGGAAAATGGAAGAAAGGTATCGTGCTGTATTGAGCCAGAAAGATGTACAAATCGCACGGTTGCAAGACATGCTTGGAAGCCTACAGAAAAGGGCATTGCCTGGAAGGGCACAGAGTGAGCCGGCTAGCTGAGGCAACTGGGTGTCTCCATCCCTGCGTCTAATCGAATACTATCATTGGTTGATCAATATACTGAGTCCGTAGATCCTGTAATAGGCCAACCGATTTCGATTTTAGCTGTAGAAAATCATGGCCCTGTCGCAAAAACCATGGCCCTTGACAACATAAATAGCTGTCAATCCTCCTCAGGCTCGGAACATACAAATGTTCACAATGGCAAGATGCGAACACTCATTTTTGCTTGAAGTAGCTGTCGGCCAGGCTGCACCACAGTTGGTATACGGGTGCCGACTTGCTCGGCTGGCCAGTGAACTGTCTGAGCCGTCGACCCAGCTACCCCAAATGATCTTCTTCGCAGGCCACCGTCTGAAAAACCAGGCACTAAGGCAGGTGTGCCACAGTAATTATAGAGGCCACAGTCGTCATCAGCGATGCATCAATATACGCATGGACAACCGTACATTACGTTCCCTGCAGCCACGATTCTTCGTGGATTGTGATCCTACCGGCGACTTCACATCACAAGCTTTTGGGAGCCCAAGGATCTGTCACCCAGAGAAGGTTTTTCCGCTCGACACGTCCTTCCAGGGACGTTACCTGCAGGATCTCATACTCTCACGTTTGATTTTTCCATTTATCGACGTGCTCTGTATCTTTGCTGAGGATATAGGTGGACTGGGGGCAGCCCGTAACTTACTCCTGGCCTGGGCGAAGATCGGATCTGCCTCTAGCCTATCTCATGCGGTAAGGCCCAGGGTGGTGATTGTCGTTAGTGCCACTCAAAGCACCACGCATGACATCCTCGACGACGGGGAGTTTCTCCACGAGCTGCTCGAAGCTGGGGATGTGCCGTTCCTGGCAGCCTTTGGGGAAGTTAGGATATGCCGTCTTCCGCCCGAAGGTATCTCGCCTGAGGCTCGCTTTTTAGGGTTGGCAGAGGATATTTCCAGGGGGCTCCGGGACATGAGGCGTATTCGTGATCGCCACAATGTTCTCTTCTCCGCAACACACCTGGAGGCCTTTTTCAGACTGGCCTTGGAGCATATATCTGCATCGCTGCTCTCATCATTCGACTTTATACGCGCGGCCCGGTATCAGAATCCATTAGACGGTGCATTTACATCTCATATCACCAACTTCCTCAAGCTGGGAAACAGAACACGAGCCCCCTATAACATCATGGCATCTTACATTGCGTCCGCCATCTTAATGGATGCCTATCCCACGGGGATGCACCGTACGTTGGATCTCTGGTAATCTTTTGAAATATGTTGACAGCTGTAGATTTCTGTCCTAAACAATTATTTCATACATTATACCGTGACGCATGCTATAGAGCACTTCGAGGCGTGTATAGTACCGATGCGATGGCTTCGCTGCAATGCCGAAGAATTGAGCAGCAACTCCTGACCTTGTTTGAAGATATGGTAATGAACCTGGTTCCATCTTCGCATATGCATCGGCACACCCTGGAAACCCAAAGGAAATATTGGGTGTGGGCCAGATCCAACCAGACATGTCTATGGTGCCTCCGACGTCATCCCGAGCAGCCGCTCCCATGTGGACATACTATATGCGATACGTGCACGGAAATATTTGGCGAGGGCACGCTTCACCTGGACTACGAATACAACATCCGGCTGTGTATACTGTGTGGAGGTACGCGCTGTCTTACTGTAAGACTAAAGCCACCGACCGCTGCAGCTCGGGTATTAAGTATTGACGGGGGTGGGCCTCGATGCGTTATTCCTCTTCAAAACCTAGAAATACTGCAGGAATTCATTGGCCCAGATCTTTCTGTTGCAGAAATGTTTGAACTCAAGGTCGGAACCAGCTCGGGTGGCTTGGTAGTCCTTGGTCTTGATATTCTTCATTTAACGGTGCCCCAGTGTCAGTCGCTTTTCCAAGCATTAGCCAGGAAAATTTTTGATCCCACTCGACGAAGACGACTTCTCAGCATTCTACTGGCTGACGAGGTCTATGATACTGCAGTATTTGAGGACACCCTAAAAGAGTATTTTGGGGCCAGTCGCCGAATTCTGGACGTCCAACCGTCACTGCTGTCCACAGGAAAGGTGGCTGTGACCGCCACCTCAATCAATGATGGTTCTTTGTATATCTTCACAAACTACAATGGTACTGCACCACATAGAGCAGAATCAGGTACTACTGTGTCTCCAGTTAATGGGCAAAAAGGACTGCTAACTCAACTTAGTTTACGAAAGACTACGGCCTGATATCGAGCATGAGCCTTTTGTTTGGCAGGTGTAAGTAAGTAAATCGATGGTAGTAGGTATGATTGCTGATATTTTCTTAGTGCTCGTGCAACATCAGCAGCCCCACCGTAGGTATTCTACCCTGTGCTGTAACACTGCTGCTAATATCCCGCAGCTACTTTTCAACTATTAATATACCCGGCTTGGGCACCTTTCAGGACGGTGGCATGGGGCGGCACAACTGTCCGCTCAATGTAGCATTATCGGAAGTTAAACACTTATGGCCCAGCGTGGCAGACCCTGATGCTGTTATCACACTCGGAACTGGGAGTGAACTGGCTTCACCAAGACTCTCACGCTTCCGTAATATTGTGGTCGATGGGTGGATTCCACGGGTATATCGGTCACTGAAAAATTCATTCGACGGCCAAACAACATGGAAGGAGGTAAAGATGCGTTTACATGACGATGTACAGAATGGATACTTTAGATTCGATGAATATCTCTCAGATGGGTTGCCTGCCATAGACGACACCAAGTGCATGGATTCATTAACTGCCCAAACTCGAATGCAGTCGGGAAGATATCACGAAGAGGCAGCACTAACATTGCTTACTACATGCCTATATTTCCGACTAGATACTCTGCCAGAATACCGGACTGGTCTCTACTATTGTACTGGTACCATACGATGTCGCATACGGTCGCGAGCATTGATCAAGCGACTGGACACGATTCCTGGCAACAAGGATATATATAAAGATAACCATAACCTCGGACTTCAGTTATCAACTGATGATATTTGTGGTGTTTGTCAACGCTATTCTCTTCCAGTTCGTTTCTTTGTGCGTGATCTCGAAGAAAATTTTATTCTATCTCTACGGCTCGGTTCTACAAAACGCCGGTTAAGTGCATTTCCAAGGAAAATACAATGGTTTATTGATGAGCAAAAGCTCGACTGTCCATTTGGGACCTCCAATCACAGCATACCGTTCAGAGTGGACTGTCCAGCTTGTGACACGCGAACCAAAACTCGAGGTCAGAAGAGGAAGTACATGGATATTTAATGGTTCAGCGGCCAGAAACCCATTGCTCATTCCTCTCTACCTTCCCTTTTCAGTGCCTTTCCAAGCTCCCCGATACATTTTTTGAGAGCCGAGCCTTGTTCCTCCAGCAATAACCTGAGTTGCTGGTTTTGCTTGCGCAATTCGCTGATCAACTCTTGGTCTTCGGTGTGGAGTATTTGGAACTTGTTCAACTCGGCGATAAGATGTGTCATTTTATGTTCGAATTCCACAATTTGCACTTCTTGCATTGCAGCAGTTTAATGAAGAACTTGCTTTCTGTACAGCCTTAGCATAATATATTCACTTGGACCTGTGCCATACCTTAGGATCTCCGTGGAATAGAACTTCGCACTGATAATGCATCAATGCTTGATATTCTTGATGTGGAGGGGAGCGGCACGCAGGGACCTCAGGATAGGGGGTTACGGCGCTAGCGTTTCCTAGTACCGAGGACTCATGATAGAGCCGCGCGAGGGGCCATGGTTTGAGGGGGCGTGCACCATGGCCAAGTCAGTTTAAAACGGCCTCTGCACTTTGGTCCTAACTTTCCTTTGCTTTTGATTCACACCATTGCAATATGGAGGAACAGCAGCTAGATCTGGAGATTGAACAGCTGTTCAAAGAACTTGAGAATATTCCTGCACAAAGTGTGTATGATCCTACCTTTGATGCACTTTTATTATCTGGAAATCTTGATAATTCCACCTTCACCCAATTCCCTGCTCTCCCATCACTGGAAGATAGCTCGACCTACCCGCCAGAGAGTACGTACATTCAGGCTCTTGAGCAAGAGAATCAAGAGATGAAGACGGAAATCCAGTCACTGAAGAATGAGTGCGTTTAATTAAATCCTACTCACTATTAATGATATCTAATACTGGCCTAGATTAGAATATTTGAAAAGGTCTCTTCTGATTATGTATCTGTCAAGCCATTAATGTTAACATAATACTAGTACTGTGGGATCTCTAAGGACATATCTGACCGAACTGCAGCCATGGATGCTGGAAGTGACCGATGCTCTCGACAAATTAGGGCAGGCGCCGATGTCCGCTACGGATATAGAGTTCGCTAGTGACCTGGCTGATTAGGCGATTTTCATACTGTTCTTGGGTTCTTCATTCACTTAGCCGGAGCCATAAGCCCGAAAGGGAGGGGGAGATGCGCCTTTCTACATGTTTCATTGAGTACTATGTACAATCAACTGCTTCATCAACTGCTGAATCTAATCGAATTAAATCGAATTCGTTGTACAGGCGCAGCCTCTTCACTCAGCTTCCGACTTTAGGATTTTCTGCCTCAGGTATCCCAGCGCCTTGATAAAGGAAGTACGTTCTGCCATGAGATAACTGGTATTGTTTGCCCTCAATTCTAGTTGCTTTATGACTCTGGAAAAGCTTTCATTAGCTCCACGAGACAGAGCTTTAGTTTTGATTACCTTGGTTAAGGCAGCCACAGAGAAGGTATCCAGGTCGTCAAGGAAGAGGGAAGAGGACGACAAAACATCAGCCTGTTGCGTAGGGGTGCTAACGGCATCGAACCTCCCGATAATCATTTCCAGAATATTATAGATGTCTGAGTGTAGATCTTCATTGCATATATCTGGGTAGTCTTCTTGGAGCTTGAGACCATATAGTGTTGAAGCAAGCTGTGCAGGTGTATAGAAATGGCCACCAACAGCAAGGCAATCCTCTGGGGTGAACACGGCATGTGGGCAGCTAGGCGGCATAATGCTATAAGAAACCATGAGTTTCTATTTCAGACCATTCTGGAAGAGCACTTACAAAAGATCTCCGGGGCATAGCTCCACGCGTGCCCAACCGTCCTCGTACCCTTCGGTATGCTGCGAGCCCGCAGCGGCCAGTAGTCGGACTGCACCGAATGAAAGTTTCCGAGGGAAGTACCAGATTTTGCGGCCTTGGAGTATCAAGATCCAGGTCAGCTGGCCTCCAGTGTCCACATGAATCGAGGATATGGCATTTTTCCCGCTAAGGATGAAGAATTCTTGTCGGCTGGTCCTCCAATCCGAATCAGTTCGGCCAACACTATCCAGGGCCCTACGCGTGAGCTTCTCGTAAAGGTCACACGCAATTATTTCAGTCGGGCAGAAATCACCAATTCTATTCTCAATATCCAGAAGATTAAGAGCATGTCGATCTCGCTCCGGAAGCTTCCAGTGCTGTAATATATCCTGGACTGTCATTGTCCGTGTCCTTAAGGATGGGTCCACCACGGAGTAATCATAAACATCAATAGCCTTTCCTGGTTGCTCTTGTAGATGAGCCCAGAACATATCCATGTTCAGTTTCCGACCACAGAGTGAAGTGTCTGGTGATCTAGCTTTATGGAGCAGTGGCCGGTCAAATTTCCTATCAAGCCAGTGAGACAGAGCTTGAGAGTTTTCGAGAAGGATGACATCTCCATCCGACGTCGGAAAGACTGAAGGGACTAAAGCAACCATCTCAAGTGGGCGCTTCGACTGGTTCAGCTCTCTCATGGCCTTTCCAATGATATCTGCTCTCGATACTGCCCAATTTGCGTTCTTATCCAGCTCGCGCATGAACTTCCGAAGCTCTTCGATGCCTTCATTGCCATGTGTCGGGAAATCAAGACTATAAGAGCCCCATTGTATGCCTTCGGGGATTTGAAGCATTTGGCGTCGCTTTCTGTACTCTTTCTTCCATCTCTTGCGTTGGCTTGTCTGGGGTGCTAGGTCTTGGCAATTCATTGCAGGGTATAAAGAGATGCCACTCATCAAATTGATAAAAAAAAGGGGGAGGAGTTCTAGTAACCGACATTAGTGGCGAAGGCATGCGGGAGACCGGGTTAAATGGAGGAGCGATGTTCTTTTGACAGCTAAGTTGCCTCACACGGAGGGAAGTTCCCTTGCGTGGGGGTCAAGCTACCTTGGACACGGGAAGTTCCCTCCGACGGGCGAAAATTCCCTGCCGTATACATGGGGCGGGCACACTGAGCGCTTACAGAATGAGTCCTGACCTCGCTGTCGGCTGTCGTGCACGCACCTCTAGGCCCTATCGCACGTAGTGAAATGTGTGACCAAGTCGATTCCGTTAGCTCTGTGGCTCACCGTCGTCGCCAACTTAACACAGAATATTGTGGCCTTCGAGCCAAAACCGTGGCTCGTACCAATGATATAACGACAGACCCTTGCCTTTGATTGTTTTTTGCAAGCTTCCACCATCTCTATTTATCATCCTACCACAGAGGTCACCAACGCACATTTCTCTGGTTGCTTGAGAACCGCAACTAATCCCAATTCAGATTCTCATGGGCAAACCAAGGACCTTGCGCCACCGGCGATCAGATAGCGCCAAATCAAGACGCCAACAACGGTACCGACGGAGGACCTTGCTTCTACTAAAAGCGTTCGAGTTCTGCAAGGAGTGTGAGGCGGATGTTTCTCTAATGATTCGCTCGAAGCATAACGGCGAGATCTTCTACTTCAATTCTGATAACAGCTGGACGCTATCGCGTGAAACATTAGTAAGTGTACCGCTAATTCCAGAAGAGAATCATAGTCTAAAGCGGTAAATCAGGCCATGCACTATCCAAGACCCAAACAGGTCACATGGCAAGAACTTGCCGCTCACTACTCTGATCCTTCAGACGTAGGAAGATGATGGGGCCAATGGGATTTCCGACAACAGTATTCACAGAAAAGGCACAAGGGTATACTTCCTACTCGAGTACGATTATAAGTCTTCTGCTGATAGAGTTACTGGCCAAGATAGTCAAACAGCTCGGTAGTTTCCTAATAGCGCGGACAATCGGTTTTTCCTAAAGTACTCTAGTTATCTATCATCTTAAAGCGGTTGATATATGCGAATCATCAGGTCGATGGGAATGGATATCGGAAGCAGAAAAAATCGTTACACCGATCAAGGGAGGAACCTCCGATTATGTGGCCATGTCGGCCAAATTTTAGTTAGATAAACACTCAAGCACTCATGCTTTGTACTACGTTACTAGAAAAATACGAGTTTTCAAAGTTATACTAACTGCGTGGCTCTCGTGCAATTAGGCTATTCGACTCCCTCTGTCTATTCCCCTGAGCAGACCTTCGAGCACAGGCTCTTCCCCAGAGATCCACTCCAATCCCCCAGTAAGAAGGGGCATTCCATTTTCTATTGTTCAACAAGTTAAAATTCTGCCATCACCCTCGGTCTGCTTTTTTGGGGCGATCACGAGTCGGCTAAAACACCATCCACTGTCTTCCCTGGGTACTGCTTCGCAGGCCGGGTCGTGTAGTGATGACAAAACTAATGAATCTAGACTGCTCAGACACCGTCCACATACAAATACTCATAGGGAAAGGGCTGTCAAGAGTACCAAACGGATAATATCTGATGACGTTATGGTAATGGTAGACCGCTGCGGGAGAAGTGTGGATAAACTGGGTTCTGACCTCATGGATTGAATGTACCATTTAAACCTCGAACATACTGGATGGTACGAGAATTTCTGGCTGAGGTAACGGGATTTAACTGGCGGCAGTGGATGTTCCAATGACTTTTCGTTCTTATCCTGGGTCGTTCACTGTAGCAGCAACTTATCTAGTCGTTCTTGAAGAAGTTCTAATGTGGCTCTGTTGTTGTCCCATCTGCGCATGGCTTCATCGTATTCTTCATGTGAGACCCAGCCATCTTTACCAACGATATTCGTTCGCAGGGTGTCAAATTCGCCAAATGCATCCGCCCATTCTTTTACCTGTTGTCGGCTTTTGTCAATTTCATCCTCTGTGAAAGAAATAGGGCATGGTGTCGCTAAGCCTCGGCGCTCCATGATTTGATCCCATTTCTCGTATATTTGTATAAGGAGCTCTTTGAGTGGGAGTGGACCGTCCTGAGAAGATTGCTCAACAATATGAAATATGAAAGTAGTGGGATCATCGTCATTTCTCATAACATCCATAGCCATGACAAGAGGCTGGTTGAATTTCCTTGAGGCCAATTCATAGAACTTTTTCAGCCTAAGCCTGACAAGTGTGTCTTTAGCTAACTCTTTCTCCGATTGCGAGAGGGTATCGAAATCCTTCGGTAACTTAGGCTGAACAGCACCCCATGGGTAGGGGTCATCGCAATCAAAGATCGAAGGAAATCTTGCCTGCAGGAAGAGCGGGGCAGCGTAAACTCCCTGCCAATCAATTATGCTCGATATTTTTGTTGGGTCTGAGAAATCAACAAATATATTGTCCGAATGAAGATCATGGTGCAGCAGAGCGGGACGAAGAGTTTCTTGTGGTGGTAGTATGTGAGGTAGCACTCTTAGAAACTGTTTAAGAAGATATACGTGCTCATCACGACTCTGTTTTGTTTTTCCCAGTAGCATGGACATGTTGCTGGATATGCTAGGGCCCAAATTTTGGATCACGGCGATCTCGCGGTTTGCGACGGATGAAAGGTATTCCTGGGCAGTCCCCCCTAGATCAGACCCATCAGTGCGTGGAAAAATTAAACCAAGAGATGCGCATACATGGCCCTCGATCAATATGTAATTCTCCTTTCTCATCTTCCCAAAAGGATCGCTGGGTTGTTGGACCAATAACAAAATCCGATGTAACCTTCTTTGCCGGTTCAATTGGATCAACGGTATTTCCGCCATGATAGCATGTACTTTTATAGTACAAGCTGCCGTGGAGCGGAAACTTCACATTCACAAGCTTCTGCTCGATTTCCACCAGGCTTTTCACCAGACCGAAGTGTTGAGCTTCAGACATGGCACCCCAAACCTCACTTAACTGGCGTCCTTTGACTCTTTCCATGAAGATATACTCTGCACCCACCGGATTATGTTGTGACGGGGAGCTCCAAGACAGAACTTTGGGAACCGGGATATCGAGAACGTTGCGAAGCTGCATGTCAATTACAGCACAAAAATTAGCCCAGGTGAATTAAGAGGGGAACCACGGCATTACGCACAAAATCAAGTGTTGCGACTTCACTGGCGACGACACGCTGTGGGTGACCAGCATTGGGGTTTGGAATTCTCGCCAGGATCTCCCTGCCATTCTCCATTTTCAAAGAGAACACCTTGTTGTATAGTCCCTCCGGTATTTTCGTCATTTCAACACACCTACTGCTGGCTATACGACCAGCAATCTGCTGCAGGGCTGAAACATTGAATCTAATGTATCGCTTCTTGAGTTGCAGTGGCTCATTGTATAGCCAACGACCAGACGTGTAGCAAAAGAAGTGGTTGTTTGATTCGAATCGCTCAATGTTCGCAGAGCAGTTCTGCTTGAGAGGTCGCAAATCCCTCCTAGAATCCATGAATAATCTTGATTGCTCACGAAAAAGTTTCGAGGCTTTGTAGAGCCCTTGCATCGCGATCTTTGGAAGCGAAACGTTGTTATAATGCGAGTCCTGTTTCCGTTGATAACTTGGAGTTGGCCTGAACCACGTGATTAAGTTAAGTGGGCACATTCCGTCATTACAAATTCTACCTCCAGTCTTTGTCCAATAAGAATTCCCGTTCTCAATCATGTGATCTTATCAAACCGAATCAGCTTCCAACTTTCGCGCCAAGAACTGGTAAGCGCGCCCTCTTGCATGAATTGGGAGGCCCTCTTGTGCGAATTGGGAGGCCCTCTTGCATGAATTGGGAGGCCCTCTTGCGCGAATTGGGAGGCCCTCTTGCGTCAATTGGGAGGCCCTCCAGACGCATGAGGCCGCGTCATTTTGGCGCACGGACAGCTCCAGCTTCTCGCTACGTACGGATTTGGGACGCGCTATCCGGTGGGAGGCCCTTCTAACTGTAGTCAATTCTCTTTGGGGAAGCTTGGGAAGCCCAAGTCGCTCATACGAGCGTGTATGCATGTTAATCTTTCGGGCGGTTGCCGCAGTTGCAATTTCCTTTCCAATATGATAGGAGCAGAAATGACCATAATGGATGCTTTTTCTGACCCCTGCGGGAATTGAGTATATGGTCATGACCAGACTTACAGATATAAGAGCATTCAACCCTGCCTGGAAGCGTGAACTTCTGCCACCATTTTCTCCGAGTCTGAAGGTCACAGTTCTCAACATACTGGATTCGCACCGGCTATCGAACACACTAGTTCGTCAACCATGTTCCCCTCTTACCAACTCCGCGCTAAAAAGAATAGGTACGTCCCTGAGAGCCAGCCAAGATGGGTGCTGTTGTGGACGCCCTCCGTGCTCTTCGCCAGAGGGCCTTAAAAGTATCGTCTACGAAGCAAAAACTCCTCCGACCTGCTGTTGGAGACAACGCCGCTGCCGGCCACCGAATCATACCTGCCCGAGCGCACGACGAGTCGATCGGGGTGCGCATTGACAGGGGTGTGCAAGTCGACAACCGTATTAAAATCTACGCTCAGCCTAACAAAAATGCGGCAAACCCCACAATCAAAAAAATGGCCCAGGAAGATAGCCATCAGAATCTGGCAGAAGCTTGGGTCAATGTCGAGGACCCCGTTGATGACTCGACCGTGGATAAGGTCTTTGATGCTTTGATGGCAAGTGCTAAAGAGAAGGGCCACTGAATTTTCAACCAGATCGTCTGACCCAGGACACATTACATTTGGGGTGAACGTGGAAGAAGTACGATCGCCGGAGCTTTCTAGACAACTTCTGCTGGCACGGCGTTGATCATATACACCTGGGAAATGAGACATGCCTATGTATCTAGCTTCAAACCATCAGTATTGACCCGATCATACCCATCCATGCTCTTTCATCCACAACAATAAACGACGTAGATTGGGCCGTTGGGTGCCCCAGCCAAACAGCTTAACGGGTTCTACACTGTTGTAGAACCAAAAGTAATCAACCTATCACGATCTACAGGTAAGCGCCTTTTAGTTCCTTGCAAGAGCTGATGCCGACCTTGCTAAAGCATCCATTCCCCCTGACACACGACCTTTAGAAAAGAGATAAAGTCTCATCACCGCAACCTTCCCATCCCTGACGCTGCGCCCATCTTTTCATTTGGACATATAAACGGAAAGTTCTTGTTCATTTCGGCATGGAGCAAAGAGTTACCCCGTGGCCCTGCCCTTACTGCAACTTGACATTTGCGACGCGGAAAGATATCCAGTTGCACTTGCAGTCTAACAAGGTATCTTCTTTTATTTATCTGACTGCTGTACGAGATGCTTACCCCTCTAGCAATGTATCGCTCAACTTCTCGCTCAACTTAGCCAGCTGCTTTGTACGCCAAGCTGTGAAGGGCCCCTCATCTCCAGATCGACGCCGTTACAGTCATACACAACAGATCGGAGCCAGGAGAACCTTGCTCATCCAACAAACATATCAGATGAGACGACGCAACATCTGCGGTGCCCTAATTCTGCGTGCGTGGGAAGGCCTCCGTTCAGTAAAAGGAACCATTTGCTTCGCCATTACAAATCTCGTCAGCTATTCACGAGTCACCTGTGTATCGATATACTAACTCCTAATAGATGTTTCTTGCGATGTTCGCTGCGATTGCGGAAGTGTCTTCAACCGGGTCGATAACCTCGAGAAACACCTTACGAAATGCCAATATTCCAGTCATAGGCGGGCGATCGGCATGAAAAAGCAAGCCAATGGCTCAGTCCTGGATCATCTGAGAAAGGAAGAGCAAGGGAAGAGACCCTCTTCTGGTAAGCAACTATAACGATGAGCTTGTGGAACAAGGTCGAAGCCGTGGCCTAACATGTGGGCAGAGGACGAGATACCAGAAAGTGGGCCTAGGAAGCAAAAGAGGCTATTATCCCTACCCGATCCTCAGCTGGAACAGCAAAGTGTGCAGACCAAATTCAGTAATTGTGGCGCTCACAGGACTAACAGCGGCAGAGGTACCCACTATTCCACTGTTGCCATACGTCTGGCTAATGCAACCCTAGATGAAACATTAGCTGGAACCCAGAGCTTTCTGCCAACATCTGCACCCTTTTCTGGGGGTTATTTAGAACGCACATGTGGAACATTCGCAGATAGTCAAAGCCAATTGCGTGGACCAGGAGAGCCAGACAACACCCACGTATTTCGTTATCGCCATGGCGATGGTGACGTCACCCCACCAGTGCGTTTAGCGCAGGACTTTTGGCGTTCCCATCCTTCAACTGACCAAGAGAATGGATGCTCTGGTGGTGTCCAAAGGCCACAGACCTTTTCATCAGACGCGGACCACCAACCTGCCAGTACATTTGATTGGGATCTTACATATTCAGATCCCAGGGCTGGGGGCTTCATAGGGCGAAGTCACTTCGGATCAGGCGTCGTTGGTGGTAGTACTGCTTTTACTGGTGGCGAGCTATCCTTCAACGTGCTTGCCACGGAAGATCTTAATAATCTGTGGAGTGACTTTAATGCACGTAACTAATATTTAGAAATAAACTAGACACTGGAAAGACGAGATAATTGCAATCAGCTTGAAAGATTTGTCTTCGACTATGATATCGTTTAAGACGATTCTCAGTAGAGTTCCTCGACAAATTGATCTCAGAAGCTTTCGACCAACCCAATATCCTGTGAGAGAATTTTATGTCCAACGCGGTTGCACAATGCTCATTCGAAATCCAATCACCGTAGAACAAGACTGTAAGTATCTCTCCAGAAGAAGTTCATCTTGTTGTTAGGCTAAGAACATCAATGGATTACCGAAATCCAGCAGCATTGGTGGAGGCCGCAAGAGCAGGAAATACGGACGATGTATGGTTACTATTGACTCGAAGTAACAGGATAGAGATAACCGAACAGAATAGTCGAACACCGCTACGACTGGCTGCTGCGAATGGGTACGATGGCGTTGTCATGGTACATCTTGACAGAGCTGCCACCACTGAGACAAGATATACGTTGGGTAGGCGGCCAGTCATGCAGCAAATGGGCATGAGGCTTCTCGGCGAAGAGCATAGGGATAATAGGGCTCGATTTAGGGACGAATGAGAAACAGACAGATATTCTACATATGTGGGGCGCGCATTTTGCAGTACAGGAAGTTGTATGTCAGTGTGGTATCAGGCCAGCTATTGACCATCGGTTTGAGTTGGTGCCCAATGATCCGTAATCTTCAATCACGTGCCAAGTCAACTCATCGGGTGCGTTTGATAACCCCGCCATGCCATCATTTCAACCCCACTTCATTTGTTTTCCCCCTACCTTTAACATCCGAGTCTCCTCTTTTCTCGAAAGCAAATCACTCACTAACTCTAGCGGGAGTACAGCCTTCATGATGTCGCAGACAACATTAGACACGCCACATTTATTTGAGGACGACCTACCAGAAAGTGCGGATACAGAACGAAAGATCTTCGCGGAATGGGCGTCCTCCGTTCCGTTCAAGAAGCAAGCCGAAGATTTTGAAATTCATAATTCAGCTGAATTAGACATTAAGCTGGCTCCCTTCCTACGATCTCTCAAAATTCCTAGCAAGGTATACAATTTTCCTTACATTCAGAAAATACAGCTGACAAAAACACAGGGGTATTCTTTGGTACAGATACCGGGACCGGAACATGCACCATTCCACCACAGCTACGGCGATGCTTTTATCATTCCGATCGAAATACTTGACGGTAGTCCGAGCGCCTCAGGAAAGCCTCTTCGAGAAGGAAAGCGGCTGCTTATGAAGGCAAACCACGAAGTGAAGATTGGACCTAAGCTGCGCCTTCTCTTTATTTTACTCTAGCAGACAAATTACACAGCTTGTACTGCAGGAATAGTGATAAAGAAGAAAGCTCATGGGAGTGATATCTGGTGTTAAAAAGGTTGAAAGCGGGCTGGGAACATCACCGGGCAATGAAGGACACAGCGGTGGGACAAGCAAATGCGGTTGGGCTAGAACACTTGAGGGGAGCCTGGAGAATAGACTCAGCTCGTGTGACTGACCGCGGGAATTGGAGTTGCTGGTCAAGACGCAATTAGCATCACTTGTATTTCTAGAGAATTGAGCCAAATCGTGCGACCCGGTGTTGGACAACATCCTATCCTCTTCAGATCTGGCTTGGTATTCCATGAATGAGGACTGTAATGGCATTCTCTGGCTGTTCGACTCGGCGCGAGGAAGGGTGGAGAAGGTCGTGAGTTCATGAGAGTCTATACCGGGGTAGACTGTAGCATTGGCTTGACGGCTCAAGTTTTCGCTGTTATTTGACGGGCGATCATCATGCCATGGCTGAGCGTCCACAGACTCATTGGCGACATGGGAAGTATACTGGGGCGGATTTCGTCGGCCGCGTTTTGGTGCGTGTGAGACCAATTCGAAGTCTTTGGTCATCATTTCAAACCACTCCGAGATTTCGTGCTCTGATACAAAGGTGAACTCCGTGTCATTACTTCGGGCCCCCTCCATAGTCTCAGAATTTCCGTCGTAGTCTTTCAGTAAAGATTTGGCGAGTGATGATAGTTCCTCAATTGGGATATTTTGGAACAAAACATGTTCAAAAATCGTGGCCCGAGCAAGCATCCCCTGGACTGCCCCTTTTTGGACAGGCGTGGTGGAGACTTCATGCATTATTTTCAAGAATAGATGCTGGATGATTCCTCTTCGAATTCCCTTCCGTACAACATTTTGGTCCGACTTCGGGTATCCATGGTCTCTGACAAATTGAGTCATTCTCCCAGCACGACCAGTGGCTGCAGTTTTGTCTTTGGCGCCCACAGCTCGGATCTTCTCGTAAAGGGTATCTATCATGGGCTTCCAGCCGTGCTCAATCTGCCAGGCGGTAAATTGCTGGGCCAGAGATAATTGACTAAGACCTTTTAGAAGTTTCTGTTCTTCGCTTGGTGTTTTATTGCCGTCAACTTGTTTCAAATGATCGACTCTCTTATCTGCAAACTGCAGCTCGTATTCGTTTTCTAGGATGTCTAAAAGAGAAGCGTGGTCCTTGCAGAATTTCCAAACGGAAGGGAGCTTCTGTTTCACGGATTCGATCAAGTTGGCAGAATCTTCGGCGGACTGTCGCTTCCGTTTTCTCGTTGCATCTGGCAGAGTTTGTCGCTTTCTTTTTCCTGTTGCATCTTGCAAAGTATGGGTCGAAGACAACACAGGGGTTACTCGGCCCGGTAAGTTGGCAGGTAAGTTGATAGAACCCCTTTCACGAGCAGGCATACTTTGCGAAGAAGCTTCTGCCCGAGAAATCGTGGGCTGGAGGATGGCGGCATCTTCTGAAGAGCCATAACCAAGTTCCACCTCAACGCCATGCGGAAGGCACTCGCTTCCATTCCAGCTGGCATTTAGCACACGTCCAATTTGAGTCAGAGTCTCGAGTGCCAGATGGCGATGGAGACGGAGAATTTCACGAGGAGTATCGCGGAGCAGGTTCAACGCTGATATGACTTCGGTTTCGAGTGGTGCCATAGCGAGGATCTTGGTAGGTAGGAACTCTGAGAGACTGCGAGATGGGTGCCACAAATATAGTTCAATAGAGGGGTCATGAGCGAGCGGGGAAAGGGGAAAGGCTCAAACGCCAGAAAAGGCCTCACATCAAACACACCAATCAAAACGCAGCTTGTTGGCCGACGGCCAACAAGCTGCGTTTTGATTGGTGTGTTTGCCCATAGTCCGCCGTGCACGGCCCCTGGTTACCAAGCCCACCCAACTTTCACTCTTAGTAGCCGTTGGGTATCCCTGTCGGTAAACCACTTAACAAAGCGCCTGCTGGTGGGCTTTGACTCATATGGAAAGGATGCCGGTGCATTATTAGACTGCAATAGGTGATGATTAGTACGTAATCTGTATGCATGGCTAGTGTACGACAATTGACCATTGAGACCAAGGACCACATGAAGATTTCCGCGATATGAAATCCTAGGGTTGGGTATTGGAAGGATCTCTTCCCTGTTGTGCGATTATCTACATTTGTCGTCGATCTTGATAATTGGGGTTCATGACTAGAATATAGAGGAGATATTGGCTATAAAGATGCCAGCCTTTTCTTATGTTCTCACCGACTTTTAGCACGAACCATTTCCGAGTTTCACTGGACTTTCTAATCTCATAATAAGTGCCTGATTACTCCAGCATGGCTTGGTATAGAGCCTTACTCTCGTGCATACCGCGGTGGTGGATGATCCCGGGGGAAAAAAAAACCAACAGGAACAAACGATCAGTTGACGACCTTACATCATTGACAGATAGGACGACTACACTTGAAGAGATAGTAAGTCTCTGTACCGTACGGTTGCTTTCAGAATTCTAATTATGTTGGAAAGACTGTACCTGCAAAGCTCATTGACAGAAAGCATGTTAAAACACCATTTACCATACAGACCAAGTCAATTGAAGACCAGCAACATTGCAGCCTGGGTGACTCTAGTTCGATTAGAGCTATGGCGACCGAACCTGACAGAAATCACTTCGATACTACGTCATGCGAAAGTACAGTTGTCGGGGAATCAAATCACAAGTCTCTGGAAGAGCCTGTGATCTTTGCCGTCAAACCTGCAGAGTTTGATAAACCAACCAAGAAGTGGATAGTCAAAGTCTACTACGAGCATGAACTGAGTCTCGATGACTATGAAATCGAAGAGATTCAATCGGGTATCCCGGAATCAAAGGACAGCCTAGTTGAGGTTATCATTCGCTATCGGGGAGATAACATCTGGGTAACCGTTCCTCGTCAATATGTTGCAGCTCGTGAGCTAGTTTGATTACTCCACTGTTTTCTGCCTTTATACCTAGCTGCTACTTCTTCTTTTTCCATGACCATATATGCAGTTAATGAAATTAGCTTTCATCCCTACGTATATTTGTCTAGAACAAACACTTTCATATCCAAAGAGAAGATAGGTCACCAATATTATCCTGTCCCACCATACCATCGTGTCGGAGTCTTTCTCGTCTCATATCTCTCACCCCAATCTATTCCTCTTTTATCAGTCCTGGTTCCTCATCCGCATCATGCAAAATATGAACTCAGTAAGCCCCTCTACACCATATTGTGACTTTCAGGGCTGATTTGCTACAAGGGAACGAGAAAACGGCTGAACACTGGTGCTCGAATGGAGGATCTTGATTCGAGGAAGAAAGAGAAAGCGGGATACGAGAACGTGAGAGACTGTAATTCTTCTTAGTATCGCTAACTGATAGACTATAGCAGGAAACTGATGATCACGCGTCCCAAGACAGCTACTCTGCTGGCCTGGATAAGACATTCATATGGTACAAGAAAGCTAGGGATGCACCGAAGCATGGTTGGGAAAAGAAGCCACCCAATATGCGGCGAAGACGGACCTGTTGTAGCTGTGAGAAAGAAGTACCAGCAGGCTTAGTCTGTCGTATTTGCCACCATGAGACATGCCCTGAATGCTTGTACAAGCAAGAGCAAGAAATTTATTAATTTATCAAGATTGTGTTCTGCGAAGAATAGTGACCATAATATTATACAAAGTTATTACATATACTTTCCCAATTTAATCGCGCATACCAACACTTGGAAAGCCTAAGATACTCCTCAGAGGATAATTCTTAGTTTCACTATCTCCGATAGATATTATGATTTGAGCTACGAAGGAGTAGGACTAAGAAACTATATAGACCAGCCCTCTCTTCTCACTCACCGCAATTTAGCACAGACCAATCTATCTGTTCACAGTCTTCCTCTAAAATAATGCTCTCTTCATCAAATATATTCCCCACTACGAGACTTATCAAATCCTGGAAAGGCCTTTGGACTGCAAACGCAACCATGATCAATGCAAGACCAACAGCTCTCGATGTGACGAAAGAAGTTAGTGCTAAATACAATATCATTACACCAAACTCCAAACCAGAACGGCCAATAGAACAGCCGATTGATGTTATCAAAGCCGAGAAAGAATTTAAGATAACCTTTTTGATGGGTTACTCTATCCTTATCAAGGACGGGAACTACTATATGATACTCGCAGCTCAGTTCCAGGGTCATCCCCATAAGATTTATTGCGTGTCGTGCCCGCAGAAGATTTGTGTTCACAGTCTCTCCAAAGATAATCAAATACACCTTTCAAAAAGGCTGGAGAGTATCAAGGAGCTTATACCAGAACCAGTCTGGCAAAAGCTCGCAAAACGTTACAATATTATTAAAAAAGACTGGCTTGTGATTTCTGGAGAATCTGAGGCTTGAATCCATTTTGTCACTTCTATCATCGCAGCTTCAATTCTTGGCGTGGGGAGAGGGCTGGACTTTTGCGACATGCAATCCTTCCCTATCCTTCCTAGCCTTGTTAAATCGGCAGGATCTTCCAGCAGCAGCGCCCCCCACCGGCGCCCCGTGAGGCTTATGCCGCACATTTAAAGTGATTTAGTCAGTTTTATTATCATTTCTTGGAATACGAGTCTGCTATTTTTCTCCTTTTTTTGAATTTACTTTTTATGGATTGACATACGTGTGCACTGGTCCTTTAGCGCAAATGCTAGATAGAGGTTCTATTACCGTACAGACCGTAGACTTGCCTATATATTAATCTATTCCTCTTTATTTCAGTGTCTGCTCGCATTATCTGTCTTTTCCAAAGCCATTACTAAAGCCATGGCCCCGGTTCCGATGAACAACCAAGACCAAGTGCTGCTTTCTATGCCATGGAGCTATGTGCTATCCTCTTACATATCTTGGTTCTTGTTTTTAATCAAGGTAGGCCTACTTTGGCTTTACCGGCCCCCGCGCGAGAACCAGAATTTATTTATACGGCAATATGTCTTATATATAGCCTTGTTTCTTATTTCCTTCTTCCTGGTCAATAAGTTAGGGCAAGTCCATCCTAATAGAAATCCTACGTGACTCAGGCTAACTTGCACATCAAGGGATATTTGCACATCAAGGATGAGTTAGGTCCCTGAAACCACAACATACCGCACTGCTTGTGTCCGGTACTCTTGTTTATCCAATTAAACTGCTTACGAATGAGAACCACTAGTTGGGGTACTGGGTTGGAATCCAAAACACATCCAATGTATGCTGGTGGTCATTAGACCTTATAATAATCGCGTCAGAATCTTTATCTTACTAGATATATCCAAATCGGGTGAAATGTCCATCAAACAGGCTGTGTCACGACCCTCTTTTTTGATTTCCTAGCCTCTTGCCAAAATAGCACTCTCATTTACTTTTCATCACTTTATTAGGAGGCGGGAACAGAAAGGGAGGACAGGTTTTTGGTAACTGGATAGGACAAGTATAGTATAGGCTCTATGGAAGCATGGCAGGATTGTCCCTGCGAGTTAGCTACTGAGATGGGTTGGCTTAAGATTAACTCTAATACCATAGAGCAGAGCTCTCCCCAATCCATGTATACTCTACTTTCCAAACTGGGGTTTAGCCTTCTGGCGTATGTAGTCAAATAATATGTCTGAAGAGATGACAAACTCGGGCCAGGGAAAAATCCAGTGATCGCTGCCTATGGCATAGCCTCGCTTTCTTTCGGCCAGACCAGCATTTGATCGGCAAAGTTCAGCCACAATAGCTAGTGTGGTGCTCAGCTAAAGGAACGGGATCCTTCCATCATACTTCGTAGTAGCGTCTTGCTGCAACAGAATTTTCACAAAAATGACGGATATTACTAGAGCCTGCTGCGGTGGGGAACGTACATGATAAGGCCTAATACCCTGTACCAGTAATCCAGTAAGAATATCCCCTCCCAGCATCAGCCCAGTACTGGTCTAGAATACTCTGCATGCCTCTAGTTTCATTAAGATGAGCCCTTGGCTGTATTATGGCTTAATCTGCCGCACGAGGTTAACCAGCTTGCGAAGTTACTTGAATCGGGCTAAGAACGAGGTCTAGATGAGTGAATGGACCTACGCTCAGCTAATAAGAAATTACCTCAAGTAACTACACTGTATCTATATAAAGTAGATCATTATTTGTCTGCTTGGCCGCTTAATTAATACATGCAACAGCGCTGTACAGTAAGTACTCCGTTCTTCGATTCTTCCTTTTTTATTTTCAATCTTTATTGACTTTTATTACAAGGACAATATAGCCTACAGATTCTCTATACAACCAATCACCATTCAGAGTATTTAAACCAATTTTGTCTCGAGGCGCATACGACTCTACAGGGGTGAAAAAGCCAGGTGCACCACCTCCGCCGCCATCAACTCGGTAGACAAATCAAATGACCGTGATGCTAGGTGATTGGACAAAATTGGAGAAGGAGTGCTTTTTTGCTTGTGTCTGTAATTATTATTATTAGCTTGCGTTGTGCTAAGAGTAAAGAAATTCAAAGAGACTGGTCTTCCTTTGAGCTCTGGGAAGCTATAAATTCGTGTAGCCCAATCTCTCAATATCTAATTTTGCATCCATTGATGAATTTAATCCATCATTTTCATACATACTGTACTTTTCTGTCATCAATTTCCAATTGCTTTATTCTACTTAGTTTGGATCCTCTTACTTACGGTCATCTCAAATTTCCAAGTGAATATACCTTTTCTTGTTTCAAACCACTAAATAACACGAAAAGGCTCGATTGACTGATATGCCCTCTTTTCAGGATGTGCTCCTATGGTCATGTTGAATACAGCTGCGGCTATCAGGAACCTAAGCCTCGTGTCGTTTTATGCGTCCCGGTCCTCAGTAATAAATGCCCGGGGTCAACTCGAAAGGACATAATATATATGAGCTATAGGTGTGGGAAAGAATACTGCACTGGTATGTACCTTGCTGGCCTAATAAGTTTAAGCTTACAAAATAAATAAGGAAAGAAGAATTCCTGTGCAAATCTTCATGAAGCCACCGAGCGACCGGCGAAGTAGAGATTTACTGTCGGGCTGTCGGCGTTTCAACCCGGTTTGGTCACGAAGGCGGAAAACCTTAGCTATTCTAATATATAAATTTGGTTATATACCAATCCTTGTCTAGCGTGTGCATCGAAAATGACTAGATACACATAGAAAAGGAGGCTGGCTCATCTAGATCAAAATTTTGCCAGCCTCGCGTGTTTTTATATCCATCGTGGCAAGTCTCGCGATGAAGTATCGGGTTAGATATAAGAACAGCTAGTTCTCCCCGTTTTATTTTTTTTTGCTAATAGGGAATAAGATGCGTGACAATATACAGTAGGTTTACCACAAGCAGCTTATTAGAATTTTACTGACAGGCTCTCAGGGACCTTATCAAAGCCATTCCTGGCCTAGTACCTGAAATAGCTGAATATGTATCCTGTCAATTATCTGGAGGGACAAGCTACCAGCATACCTTCCAGATTACTGGTCGCCAACTTTACACAGCGTTTCTCGAGAATGCCGATCCATCCAAGTTCCTCATCGGCATTGGAATACGACTTACGATGTCACCGTTGACCATCGTCTCTACAGTGAATTTCCAAAACGCTTATCACGCGATGCAGGACTTGCACCACACTATCAGGGGTACAGATATTTCTGAGATTTCTGTTATGGGCGTTTTGGTAAAGCTGGCCGCACATGCTGTAACACAACCACATCACGCATCAAAAGAATCTCAGGAGTTTGTCGAATTATGCTTAGCACGGCTACTCATACCAGAAACATTCTTAACGGTCTGTACGGCAACTGAACAAATCTGTAACTATGGAGACAGACGACTGTCTGGTGCAAGCCACGAGGTGGCCTGTGGCTTAGTGCTCCCGCGGCAAGTCCAGGTAACATTCTTTCTGCAGGACCTACATCTTTTCCTTGATGAGGTCCGCACAGTCTATCTAGTAGGCTTTCAGAGTGATCGATTAAGCCTACACAATATCCTGTTTATCCTCATCGAAGCTTTTCCAACTCTCATAAATGAATGGTTAAGCAACCGGCCAAACCCGATACATTTCGACCTTTATTCACTTCTCGGGCTACTTTTTATGTTGTTGGGTCATTTCCAGAAAGGGAATCCGGACTCATTCTACTATGCCATTTGCCTTGCCGTGAATGATCTCGAAAGAACATTGGACATACTCAGAAAGGAAATGAGCATGGCCATACTCTATGGTGAACTCACTTGGGATGGAGCAACATATGCTTCTATAACATTTGGCGCATACTTGGATGACTTACGGAAGCAACTACTGCATTTGCAAGACCACGCCGACTAAGTGGATTAATGGATTATATGGCAACCCTTCATGTACTTTCCTAGACGTAAAAAGTGTTTTGTGTTCCTGTAGCCTACCTTCGAGATGTCTCTGCAAAGTATAGCACAGTTCTTTCTATTCTTGACTGTTGCCGAGCGTAGTGCTTTCACACGCCTGAAAAGGTCTGCCAATGTTGCTAGAATGGTAAGGGTCTTATATATAGCTGTGGAACCAGATGAACATGAAGTATATCGCTGCAGTCGCACCGTAGTCACCCCTCGTGCAGTGGTAACGGGCTTCATTAGCCTAATTTAGGTGACGGGCAATAACAGTACGGTGTATTGGGCGACTAAGCCGAAAGTAGCAAAACTAACTCTAACGAGAAACTCACAGGTCCGAGAATCACGTTGGACATTTGTACACTACACGAGGGGAGAGAATAGTGTAGGGGAAGCCATTACAGTAGCCTCTCGTGATTTGTGCTCCGGTAGACCTGAATCGAACCTTGACTTCTTCCCTGATATTGATCCGAGAACAATAGTCACAGTTGACCAAGGAAGCCCCCGATTCCTTCTCCACTAGGAGTTCCTCTTCCTCTGGTTACCATGGCTTCTTCTTCTAGAATTCTTGTGCCGCGTTGAATGATTATTCCGAGTTTTGGGGTTGGCCTTCTGATTCTGTGTCTGGCGGTGGGCTAACTGTACATTTTCTTTATCGACTGCACATGGTTTCGACAAGGCGTGGGGAGCACGTTTGGTGCATAATAGCCCATCAGGGGCCGACCGGGTTTGGACGTGAGATGGCGGATGATTAACAGCATCTGGAAGGAACGTAAGGAAATATGCGTGCCGCTGGCCATGTGGTTGAATACGGATGATACCGCGGCCGAAAATCTCCTGTGTCTCGCCAGGACTAGTGAGAAAGTCAACTTCAGATGAGGCCTCAGGTGTGGTTATGGAGCCTTTAGAGTGACAGCTGGCGGAAACCGAGGTGTTCTGAGCAGTCTTTGAGGTTATATTCCGCCGACGCCTTTTCCGCGGGTGTTCTCCGCCATCCGCGGGAGCTTTTCCCGTGAGGATATCTGTTGGCTGGTCTTCTTTGCTATCGCAACTCGCATTGGCTTGGTGAAATCGGTGCGATGGCTGCTGAAGGAAGTCCCTGGAAGTTCCTGCCATCGAACTGGCCGACCGACGGACTGGAATTACCACAGCAACAGAAGGTAACCGATCGCGCCGGTTGGATTCTGAATTCACTCGAGAGCGAAGTACACGGCGGGGAGGCGAGTTTGCCCTCAGTTGCTTTCGCTTAAGATATGGTTGCAAGTTCAGACTAGGAAGGACATCGATGTTATCTTCACGATCAGTACTGGCATCTTCGCTTGAGGCAATGCTGGGCGTGGCAGTTGGCGAATTAGACGTACTAACCGTCAAGGCTCTCGTCTGCTCTTCACAGCATGCTGCCTCGGACGGTAAGTCCTCAAACATGACTCCATGCTGTTGACCAGGTGGAGCGCGAGGCTTGTTCTCAGGTGACGCAGGGTTCGACAAGGCCGGCGAAGGTAGCTGAGAGTTGTGATGCTTTGGAACACTGTTGTCTGTCGTTGTTGTCTGCTTTTCGACCTCGCGTCCAGATAAGGACAACTGACAGTCTGAGTCACCCAGTAAAGTATCATCGACTGCGCTAACAGATTGTACTGCCATGTATTTATTAGTGCTGGAACCAAGAGGACGAGGGGCATAAGCTACATACCAGCTGAGTAGCCCAAGTCGGCTTCTGCTGCAGTGACGATTGAATCAGAGCAGACAGCATCACCTCGTGGCTGTGGGCATGTGTCTAGCTGGTCTTGCAAGGCCCCTCTTCGGGTGGCTAATTGATTCCCTCCTCCCTCATCTCCCCCGTCTCCCTCGCAGTCATCGGTGCCTGCTGGTATACATGGGAGCACTGACCCTCTTGAACTAGTTACTGCCCGGAGCATCAGCAGGGACTCCCCCAATACTGTCACAGATATTTTCCACGTACCGAGAGTAAGAGAAGCATCCTGGCGTTGATCACCAAGGTCATTTCCGGCTTCGGACCCGCTTTGGTGGTCCGCCTCCAAGTCGGTCTCTCTCTCAACCAGGCTTTTTTCTCGAGTAGGGACTTTCTCGAGCTCAATATCAAATATATTGCGAGGGGAAGCGTATTGGAAGTGGCCTTTGATCGTGGAAGTTGGCACAGCTGTTACAGCGGTAGGAGGCTTGGGGGGAAGGGGACGTGAAAATGAAAGGGACTGGGGAGCAGAGGGCAGATGGTATGACTTCCGGCTGGAAGAAGTCGAAGTGTGGGTGGGAGGTTTGGGGGGGAGGGGATGAAGGGGATGTGAAAATGAAAGGGACTGGGGAGCAGAGGGCACATGATATGACTTCCAGCTGGAAGAAGACGAAGTGTGCGCGGGAGGTTTGGAAGCAGGAGGATGATGGTAGAAATTAATATTATCAAGGCTGATCATGGTTTCTCAAGGTCTCCTGAGAGGACTCTTTCTTCTCAACGGGTCAGGGTAGCTGGAAGCTGATGCTGGAATAAAGTAGCCAAAGGCGTTTCGCTTGAATGGAAAACGATGAGAGGGGGTGATTATTTATAAGTAAAAGAAGAGAGTCCTCGCAGCGCCCGAGTATCACAACACATCGATCGGTATTATAGCAACGGAAGACTCGGGCTGGCTCATCCTCTCTCACAAAAGTCTAAACACGCCAAAGTCACTTCCCACGTACGGGCTGAAATCAGCCCACCACTTCACCACTTCCGGATGATGAGGCTGTCTAATGGACAGAAAAACGGAAGTCACACAATACGGGACACGCAGTCAGTGGAGCCATCGCAATTCCGCGGCAGAGGCGTCCCTTGCTGGTCAAAGTCCGAATGTAACCTCACAAATCCAGTCCGCCAATCATCGAAAGCGTCGTGTTGTGGAGGAGTCACACTGACGCCGGGAACGGGCCTGCCACGTCGTCCTCCGAACATGAGGCATTTCTGCTATTGGCATATGGGCTTTCCTTTCCAGGACGGAGAATGGGAAACGGATCCACCGTTCAGCTGAAGTGGCCCGGTGTAGAAACGGGGACCATTGCCAAGGGACGCCGAGTTGCCCCAACTGGAATCTGCGTGAGGGCTGTGCATCGAGGTCAGCAGGCAGGCTGTACTGATCATCTCGGGACTCCCAGTGGGATTGGTCCACGCGCGACTCGTCCCCTCAGCCGGTGGAATCGACTGGCGGCCTGAGCCCGTCGGGGTCGCCGAAGGAAGGGAAGAGAAGAGAAAGGGGCTGAGCACTCATTTCCAACGTAACAGGGATCAAGGGGGGCCGGTGGGCCGCGCGACCCGCGCAAAAAATGGAAGTTGCGAGGGCAGTTAGCAGACGAAGGAGTGAGGGATCATGAGGCGACGCACCGGCGGTCTTATATAGTTGAGGAAGCGACGAAGGCGGCGCGAGGCGGCAGTTCTTCTTCGGGAATAGCGTTACCCACTAAACCCGATCTGCTACGCACTAAACCGTGTCGGGGTCGAGCCAGACGGGCGCTAAACCGGAAGAGGACGGTTGCCGAAAACGGCGACCCTCTGGTAAATGCGAATTGTCCTTTATTATTAACTAAGAATTCTTTAGAAAAATCTTAACTAGTAATAAGTACTTAATATATAATAAATTTTCAAATATAAGCTGTTCTGATAGTAATATCTTTTTCTAATTTTTTTTATTTTAATTTTATCTTTATTTTCTTTTAGTTTTTTTTAAATTAATTTACTTCTTTTCAGGAAAATGATCACACCTGAAGTGCTGATTATATTTTATTTATATTTAATTAGTAAATAACTGATATTAAAATTCTTATTTTTCTATTTTTTATCTATTTTAGATCTTTGAATAAAAGTCTTTTTCTTGCAGAAAACTGCCGTATATATTACGGATATAAGAGGGAAGTCTATATATTACTGTATAATAAAGAGAAGCAGGACTGTCTTAATTTATTTTATAAGTTATTTATAATAATATAGATATCTGTGAGCTTAATCTATATGCTATACTCTAAAAATAGTAGATTTTTAGATATAAGATATGGAATTAGGATCTGGGCTATTAATATTATTTATAAATATTCTGATATCTTTGTTATTGGGATGGATTTAATATTTATATAATTTTCTAATTATTCTAAAAACTGCTAGTTTTATATATTTTTTAATTTTAAAAGTTTATTAAATATTTAGAAAAGATTTCTGAGATCTCATTTATCTATAGATAGATTATAGTAGTATTATAGATTAATTAAATTTTTATAAATAGATTTTAAGATATCTTTATCCAGGGGTATAGTTTGAATAGATAAAAATAAATTTTAAATTTTACCGTAATAATTATTCTTTGAATAAATTAGTATTAGATTAATAGTATCAGTATCTGACTCAGGCAAACCCGACCCAATCCAACACTAATTAAATTAAAACACATACAGTGAGATTAAGCTTTGAAATAATAATTTCTGGTATATTAATTCTGCTAAATAATATTTATTTAATGATAACAGATAGAGAAAGATGAAGTACTAGTAGATATATTAAACAGTAGTATTAGGACAGAAATAAAGCTGAATTACTCGGAGACCCGAGATCAGCAAGATGAGGCAAAGTAACAAAAACAACAACTTATTATCAAATTAAATCAAGTATGAAGAAGCAGAGATCAAACAAAGAAGCAGAGAACAAGGTCCTTGGATACCACAAGGACATGCTACCATAATATAGCAAACTACATGGTCTTGTTATATGATGGATTATGTTAATTCTAAGAAGAGGTGAGGAGGTGCCTCTGTAGATACATGATGGTTAAACTATACTAACTAGGAAGGAGCGGTAATCATGTGACACCGAGTTGCATGATGTGGTTCGGACTGGAGCATGATCCACGGATGAGATTAGGCACCAGGATAAGGCTAAGCATCAGACCAAAAAGCTTGTCGGGCGGGAAACAGACATCGGAGCGGCTGAACGGTCGTCCTGATGGGGCAGAAGCAATATAATCATAGGCCGGTTGGGAGTTGGAAGGGTGGCTGTCGGGTTTAACTACCCTTCTAGAACTTGAGCTAGGTTCTGGCCAGTCTGGTACGCCCGAGACAAGGTGACACTGGACCACATGGAAGAAGGGAGGCTGCCCTTCATTTGCCGCAAATCTTTCTCTGCTACTAGACGTCCGACCGCACCGAACATCTGCAGCAGCGAGGCAGGATCATTAATTGATCGATTTGTTCTGGTGTCTGCACTGCATGAGCTCACCGAAGGTGGGTTATCTTTCAGACTGGGGCAATTACGAAGGAAATCGATCAGATACACTTCATTGCAAGGATTGCGAGATATGACACGTAACCAAAGTGCAAAGTAGAACTGTAGTACTCTTTCCGGTGGCATCCATTGTTCTCAAAGTACGAGAGGTTACCTCCGGTCGTGACGGGCGTCGCAAGTTGAAAGTGTCGATCACGCTATTCTTGAACACCAGATGGCTCAAAGGCTCAAAGCATCAGGGGCCTCCACAGTTTGCAGATGATGAACCCACTCGTTGACGCTGCACTGACATTTCCAGTCACTTCAGCTTACTCTGCAGAAGATGTAGAAGAAGAAAGGACCATCACTAGGTCGTATTGGGATTGGGGTTAATGGTACGATCGCGAATGATTTCTGTTCATTCTTTAGATAGTTAAGTGCCCTTCCAATGAACCCTGAGGATCAAGGGTAGGGGGCCAGGGTGTGAGCCCCTCCTAAGTAAATCTCCCCTTCTCTCGATTATATCCCGATTGCAGAAAAACAATAATCAATGGATTGATAGAACAGTGGATGGTGGTGGAATGAGAGAGAGAGAGACAGAGAGATGGATGCCTAAGGTAGTAGGGAGGCACCACCCAAAGGGGAATAGCCTCCTCTGGCGGGTAAACAAATAAAACTTGGTTGACGAGTCTAGTAGGAGTTGATTGGTTAAAATGCTACACTAATAGAAGCTAGTGGCGTACGCTAGGCCATATACGGGAAAGCGCGTCCGGATGGAACTTCATCCCAATCGAGCAAATTTCCCGGTTCGAACTGCTGCCTGAGTCTTCTTCGGTCTTCTTTGCAAATCTCTTTCCCATCATTTTCTGTCGGGTCGCCGGCCGGATTGACCTCCCCAGCTTTTCTGACATGGTCTTCTCTGCCAATCAACTCCAGCTTAAGGCGGAGGATCTCCTGGCTCTTGTTTTCTCTAGCTAGTAGCTACCAAGTACTCCTCCTCTTCGTTCTAGACGAACCAACTACTCCCTACTTACCTACCTAACCAACTGATGGACCTGAATGGTGGTCCCAAGTCCTAGTCTCCCCTACTAGTGCTTCTATCATTGTACATTCCCCTCTCCACCAAGTATGCGTCTCCCTGTCCACGCGATTAACCACTTTGGTCCACGGGGATGAGATGGTCTACGTAGGCCTCCCCTCTCGGACAACGGCAACCCGTCAGAGCGTGAACATTCGTCTCCGCTAAGTTACGTATGTTCGGGCGGGCCCTGACAGCGAGGACTCGCAGGCGACGAAGCCATTCACAAAATGGTTCGGCCACTAAAGGGGGAACCGATCGGGCTAAGCTTCCTGGATGGGGACCTTTATCGGAAGTCTTCTCTCTGCCTAGGCTGGCTGTTTGTCCCCTCGTTCAGCGAAGCCCCCCCTGCGGAAGCAGGGAAAAGAAATGCGAGCCTTTTGCACATAGCTCCGCATAGTCCGCGGGCACAATCTTAAATGGCGTCGATGGTGTCGTCTTAGCCCTTTCTGTCATCCTCTCTCCTCTTCCATCCTCTTCATTTTCTTCTTTTCTCCCTTAATCCGCCGCTCGTTGTATTTTTTGCCTACACCAATTATTAACCCCGACACTCGTTTTTTTTTTGGGTTTATCGCTCGTTCCCTGGCAAGGATTTACGGCCGTTTCTGCAGACCTTATCTCATCACCCCAACGCAGGTTGAAATACCTCTCAAATATTCATAAAACATAATGTTTGATGCTGTGATGAGCTGGTTCCGCCCCTCCGGCCAGGAGGAGGTGCAGGAGGTGACTTGGGATCCCGTCACTCTCACCATGAACCAACCTCAGAGCCCGGCCGCCCCCACCATGGATGAGATCGTCACCGATCAGCCTGTACGTGCTTGATTTCTTTTTCATCTTGGACCGCTGCAGACCTGAGGACTAACAAACAGCACTTCAGACCCTCAGCGAAGGAATGGACTTGCGCCTGCGTGGTGGTGACGGACCGGAGGATGCGTGAGTGATCGGCCCCCCCAACACATACGAGGAATGCCCCTTTCAAACCCCTCCTTGTGCTGACTGCTCGGTTTCTCTCAGTTGCTGCTTCTGCTGCCACTGCTGCAGCTGCTGCGAAAAGTGCATCGGTGCTGAATAATTGCCTTCCATCCGCTTCCTTCCCGAGTATACCCTTTTATTTTTCGCGACTCCTCGATCGACATTTTCACCCAGCGTCCCAAGACCGCATTCCTTATATACCTATGCCGCCTCGACGGACTCTAATTTCGCGCTCCTTAATTGCCCCTTTCTCCTGTATAATACTTTCGTCACGACATACATCGCCAATAGATTACTTAGAAGAATGCGCAAAAATTCAGTTGCATGCATGACAGCCGTCCTGGTTTTTGTACGGTTAACCTTCTTCCCGCACTCTTCAGTATCTACCTATGCGCACGTCTGTATATGCGATGCCCGACATGCCCATGTACCAGGAAGCGGCCGCATAGCTTGAGGGCTCCATTTTGCACATCCTAGTAACACTTGCGGGGGAAAGCGCAGCGGCAGGCATTGACCTTGACAGTCCTTATAACTGTGGATAATCACATAAAGACACGAACAGAGTCATCGGAGAGTGGCCATCATCTCTCGGTTCAGCCTTCTCTCTTCCGCCTGGTAAACTGCAAACTGCCCTTCGCCCATCTCCTCAACGATCCAGTGAATCTCGGCTATTAGAGCTTCGGCTTCCGAGCGCCTCGACGGTCCTTGTCCCCACACGGCTTGAGCGATAAGCCGACGAGCGTTGAGCGCCTGTGGGGAGGACGGCCCTAAATGCGGCCGGGCATCCATCCATGCGCAAATCGGTCTCTCGGTCCACTCTGCCTCCTCGTACTTCCCAACCTTTACCAGGTGCTCCGCTAGCATATGCGACGGCACTGGGTTCGATTTATATGGTGTCTTGTCCACCAGCATTCGAACGGTCTGTTCCGCTTCGGGAAGGTTCAACTCGTCCTGAAGGGCGTAAATCCCTTGCCATAGTCGGTACCACTGCTGGTAGTTGCTGGTGTAGAGGCTGCCCGGGGGGGAAGTGGCTGCTTCTTCCTGATCCAGTTTCTCCTGCAGGAGTCGTAGCAGGAGTATGAGCTTAGAGTGCTGGTCAGCGGTGCTCTCCTGGTCGATGGGCAGCTGTGCCAATTCAGCCTGTGTAAAGTTGCCGAGAAAATTGCGAGCGATCGAGTAGTCTATACCATTCCAGAAGAGACTAACAGGGACCGGTTCCTCCCACTGTGAATCCTTAAACATCTCCAAGGTCACAAGCATCTCGGCGGTGAACCGGGAGGTTGGTGACTCTGCCGCCATGTTGATTAGCGATGTAAAATTTCGAGTCGCTAACACCGTCCACTTTCGATAGTCTTTCCATCTGACTGTCAGGCTGCGGATTCGCCGCTATTAAACTATATCCTGACTAGCCTTTTCCAACGTGGTGAATGGCCGCTGTTGCCTCTATCCCGGTATTAGGCGTCTGATTGGGAAGAAGCGCTCCAGATCCCACTTCTTACCTTGGTCTATCTTCCCCTAGGCCTTGTGTCTGCTCCGCTAAGATCTGCCATGGATTCAGTTTTCGTTTCTGACCGCCACCATGCAGTACAGTTACATCGCCTTCCTTTTAGTGCGAGGCACCCATGCTTGCGGACAACGCCGGGTCCAGTTGTTGCTCATCTATCCACTATGCAATTGGGGTGAGGCTCATCTGGAGCGCAGTTGATCCAATGGCTCTCTAGCCCAATATGGAGCCTCCCGGTCCCGCGGTGTATATTATTGCTTTCTCCGTTGCCGTACAGAGTCAACGATACACGATTTCAGTATCTTGGAGCCTGATCGCTGGATCTTCCGGCTTCGACTAGGATCCCTACCATAACTAGCACCTAGTGCGATGTTAGCGTGCGCCTAGAAGTACTAGAGGGATCCTAATCCTTTCACGACACCAGCCCAACGTGAGATCTGTGACAGAGACCGCCAAAGCAATCACTGCACACCAGGCCAATACTTTCCGGTAGGCTTGCTCTGGTGACTATGCAGCATTGGCATAGAAGGTGGCCTGCCGTCGGATAAGTTAAATACGCCAAACGCGTCTATCAAGGTGCCAGTTGGTCAAGGCTAACCCCTCGAGTCTTGCAAATCGAAGCATACGAGAAGAGTGCACCGTACCTGTCACATAATCCCCCCCCTACTAGTCCCGTAAGCACGGATCTCCTGTCGGACCTACAGATGCCTGCATCTATCCGACCAATTAACTCGGGACATGTCAGAGGCATCGGCTGAGCCGATCCTTGTAGCAGCACCCTGGGGCTCACCAATGGAAGGCTGCATAGACTGTTAGGTCATGGTAACCAATCATAGACTGGAACTGCAGGAAACGCTTGATCACGTTTCTGATTGCCATGCACCAAAGTGACCATGACGCACCCTTGTTCTTTCATCGACAATAAGCTCTACGGCCACGTCAACATCCATAGTAGATACGTCATCGTAAAAGACTCACCCAGGACTGTTTTTGACCGACAATTTCTCCCAGGCAGCAGTTCTAGGTTTTAAGTATCACTTCTGTAAATGGGAATTACCATCTATTATCTCCAACTATCTATCTGGTCCCTGGAATCTGTCGTGGGGCTAGCCTATCTGGGCGTAATAGAAAGCTATATCCAGTGAAGGCTTTAGGGCTGATGCTCTGACCCAAGAGAAGCCTGCTGCAGCTGTAGCCTGGCTGGATCATGCGCATGTGGCGGCACCTCTGACATGCCCTCCTTCATCAATTCAATTTTCATTTTGAGGTCCCTTTCGAATACGGCTCTAGCATCTTCGAACCCCACACTGGATGACCTTTCTCGGTCTAGACAAGGCAATCAACACGAACTGTTGTTTTTGATGGAATTGCTCAATCCGGGCGTACAGAGTTCGGCGGCTCTTCGAACAGTTCAAGACTACCTTGTGCATGATTCTACCCGCCGTCAGTTGCCGACACCACACTGTGAACATAAGTCTTCATACCACTGTGATACCACAGGTGCATATCAAACAGCAGAATACGGGGTTTCCATTTATTTCGAGAGATATGCTATCCAACATAGTAGTTTAGCTGGTGTATACTCCGAATAGTTACAGAGCCTATATCTTTTCCGAGTAAGCTACAGCGCTTCTCAATTAGGGATATATTTCTCGGTGGGCCTGCCACAGCGCACTGCAAGCTATAACTAAGTGATAAATTCAACAAGATTAACTCCAATTCTAGCAATCACGTATGCCAAGTTTCATCTCTTCGAAAACCCCCTCGCCATATATCCTTGGCACCATCTATCTTGACCGCGTTCATTTAATGCAGTAGCCAAATGTAGGCGACAAATTCTGTCTGTCACAAACAGATTTTGGAGCTGTAGTTCTGGGTCAAGACGCCGAAGATTGACACGGTACTGCTACTTATCAGCCATGTTCGATCATTAGTTATACCTAGTCAAGACACAACTTACTCGTCTTGTTTTGTAAGTCCAAACACAAACCTGCTTGTACGGCATGGCTAGTTCCGGTGAGGTCTATAATCTATGAGCTGCTGGGTTCCTGTTGTATCTTATGGTTGAATGGGTTAACTTACTTGCAACGTGTTTGGTCATATTCAACCCGATAGATGAGAATCCAGTGGGAAGTAACGCAAGAGAGCCAATTAAGGCCAGTAGCGAAGTTATCTTCATTGTCTAATCTATTGACCAAGGTGTCTGGGTGGAAGAGTCGGAAGAGATATCTAAGATCAGGAACGATTAAGTGGGATTTCGGCTGCTTTTATATCTTCATATGCAGAGCTAGAGGTGATATGTTTGACTGCACGTTGTTTGAGACCGCATCTAACAACAAATACTCATTTTAGCAGCGACATCCCGTCGGTTACACATCGTTCAACCCATGAGTCTTGCAGATTGTATCCCAATGTTGTGATCTGCGGCGGAGATGCCTGATTATCTACTTCCTTACATATTCCAAGCGGCGGATGTCAACAAGATAGCAACCTAAGGAGCTCATGCAAGGTCTTGAAATAGACGGCAGGGGGAGGTACTTCCCCAGACCTACTGGGACTGGGAAACGTCGTGCTATTGTGTGGCATTCATCACACCCTTGCTTATGTCGCTTGCGGGGTAAAGCAACAGCGAAAACGCACTCAATTTTTGGTACCTCCCATTTTATTTGGCTCTATAGCTAATACTTGTGAGAGTACTGTGACATAATAAAACAATTTTCGGCTACGTCATGTCAGAGGTTGGAGAAGAGCGGAAATCTTACCAAGTTCATGCCATCTCTTCTCTCCACAGTACACCTTCAACGCGGGGTAGCTTTACTGCACTCGTGCATGGGGCTCGTTGGCAATGCCAAATCAAATCCTTGCGTGTTCTGGGTTCGGGTTGGATTTCTGCGGTGATATGTGAGGGATAAAAGGCACAGGCTTCCTGATGACTTTTAACAGTCTAAGACAGTATACATCAACGACAAGGTCCTTCCAGTAATAGATGCCAGATAAAGACTATGGTGTATTCCATAACACACAGGTTCCAGAGTTTAGTGTTTTGACAATCGTCCTTTGTAACCATTAGTAGCTTCCTTCTAGCCCAATTTTGAAACAACCTTCCAAGGCAGTAGTGATATGTCGGCTTTAGTTCCTTGCTGTAAGTAAGGAGACGGGTATATGTCAACGTAGTATAAAGTGAAGCAGGCGAATTTTACAGAATTTGCAATGGCCCATATGTGTTCAATCTTCGCACAATATTTAATTACTTTATATGATTTGTCATAGACCCACCAACTTCAACTCGAACTACATCACTTGGACCAACATCACGCGTTCAACATGGACAAGGGTTGATAACCCGGGATGCATTCTTTGTCTGCCTCAAGTGTCGCTACTAGTTCCATCTTTTGTAAATTTTGGATATGTCCGTTTTCTTCTATCGCAACAAGCCATCCAACAAGAGAATACCGACCTGGATCATGTAATTCTGGCATTGGTCAACAGCCCCGTCCCGCAGCGCATACGGATTCTTGTTTTGCGACCCCCCTGGAACGATATAATAATTTCGCAGTCTCCACTATATTCCGGCTCGGGAAACACCCTTGGGTCCTCTTTAGGCACGACTGATTGATAATGATATCGTAAGAAGTACAACTTTGGGCTGAGGACCTGCCACCCATCTTCCATGATAAGACGTCTTTCTGGACGATCATCGCTGTCACAGGTGTGACGGGCCAGTATGAAACAAATCACATCGAAGGCACACATTGCGCGATGAAGACTCTGCACTCTATTGCGTCAAACACGCAAAGCATTATACCTGAAGCATCGCCTCGTGTCCTATACGAGTCGTTAAACTTTTCTTCCTCTATTCTGCCCACTTTTTATTTCTCTTATACTCCCGTTCTTGCTCGATCTCCACCGCTTCACACCGACAAACCTCCGGCTTTCAGTTTCTTCTTACGGTAAAACCAAAGCACCCCACGAGCAAGCTAGATTCCACATCAAGTAACTTCAGTCAAGTCAACAGAACCTCAGTGGGTCTCAAGTTGAAGATCGGCAGTATCATAACCTCGTTGCGAGAACTCGGGGGAAATCTCGGGGAATCCGCGCTGAATCTCCCCCCGCGAACCCTAAGCGGACTTCCTCCGCAATCCTCAATTTCCCCGAGGATACGGACTATTCATCCAGCATTCCAACTATACTAGTTCTAGTGATCGGAAATTCCCCGACACCCCTGTATCAACAGAAGCATACCATATATAATGTCACTTTTTCCCCTCTGCCAAGGGAGGGGAAGTGAGTGTCCCCTCCTCTGCTATTCCTCGCCATGAAGCTTCAAACGGCTTCCGTACTGCTCGGCAGTGCTGCTGCTGCCTCGCCTTCCATGCAGACGCGGGCCTCCGTTGTCATCGACTACAATGTCGCTCCTCCAAACCTATCCACTCTGCCCAATGGCTCCCTCTTCGAAACATGGCGTCCCCGCGCCCACGTCCTGCCCCCTAACGGCCAGATCGGTGACCCCTGCCTGCATTACACCGATCCCTCCACGGGCCTCTTCCACGTCGGCTTCCTTCACGATGGCAGCGGCATCTCCAGCGCCACCACTGATGATCTAGCCACCTACAAGGACCTCAACCAAGGCAACCAAGTCATTGTTCCCGGGGGTATCAACGACCCCGTCGCCGTCTTCGATGGCTCCGTCATCCCCAGCGGCATCAACGGCCTCCCCACTCTCCTCTACACCTCCGTCTCCTACCTTCCCATCCACTGGTCCATCCCCTACACCCGCGGCAGTGAGACCCAATCCCTCGCTGTCTCCTCGGACGGCGGCAGCAACTTCACCAAGCTCGACCAGGGCCCCGTCATCCCTGGCCCTCCCTTCGCCTACAACGTCACCGCATTCCGGGACCCCTACGTCTTCCAAAACCCCACCCTCGACTCCCTCCTACACAGCAAGAACAACACCTGGTATACCGTCATCTCCGGTGGTCTGCACGGCAAGGGCCCCGCCCAGTTCCTCTACCGCCAGTACGACCCGGACTTCCAGTACTGGGAGTTCCTCGGCCAATGGTGGCACGAACCCACCAACTCCACCTGGGGTAACGGCACCTGGGCCGGCCGATGGGCCTTCAACTTCGAGACCGGCAACGTCTTCAGTCTCGACGAGTACGGATACAACCCCCACGGCCAGATCTTCTCCACGATCGGCACCGAGGGCTCTGACCAGCCCGTCGTGCCCCAGCTCACCAGCATCCACGACATGCTCTGGGTGTCCGGCAACGTCTCTCGCAATGGTTCTGTCTCGTTCACCCCGAACATGGCGGGCTTCCTCGACTGGGGCTTCTCCTCTTACGCAGCTGCCGGAAAGGTCCTCCCCTCGACTTCTCTGCCCTCGACGAAGAGCGGCGCCCCGGACCGCTTCATCTCGTACGTCTGGCTGTCCGGTGACCTGTTCGAACAGGCCGAAGGGTTCCCCACGAACCAGCAGAATTGGACCGGTACGCTGTTGCTTCCGCGAGAGTTGCGCGTGCTGTATATCCCCAATGTGGTGGACAATGCTCTGGCTCGGGAATCTGGTGCCTCGTGGCAGGTCGTGAGCAGCGATAGCAGTGCGGGCACCGTCGAGCTGCAGACCCTGGGTATCTCCATTGCCCGGGAAACCAAGGCCGCCTTGCTGTCGGGAACGTCGTTCACCGAGTCCGACCGTACTCTGAACAGCAGTGGTGTCGTGCCGTTCAAGCGCTCCCCGTCCGAGAAGTTCTTTGTTTTGTCCGCGCAGCTGTCCTTCCCTGCTTCGGCTAGGGGATCGGGACTTAAGAGTGGGTTCCAGATTCTGTCGTCGGAGCTGGAGAGTACTACCGTCTACTACCAGTTCTCGAATGAGTCGATTATCGTCGATCGCAGTAACACCAGTGCTGCGGCGCGCACGACGGATGGTATCGATAGCAGTGCGGAGGCTGGCAAGTTGCGCCTGTTTGACGTGTTGAATGGCGGAGAGCAGGCGATTGAGACGTTGGATTTGACTCTCGTGGTGGATAACTCGGTATTGGAGATTTATGCCAATGGTCGGTTTGCGTTGAGTACTTGGGTTCGGTGAGTATCTTCCTATTTTATGAATGAAGTGTTTGTGATGCTAACGTGGGGATAGTTCTTGGTACGCCAATTCCACGAACATCAGTTTCTTCCAGAATGGCGTGGGTGGTGTTGCGTTCTCCAACGTGACCGTTTCCGAGGGCTTGTATGATGCTTGGCCGGATCGTCAGTCTTGAGGTGATGCCTAGTAGCAAGGATTACTCCAGGTCAGGTCATACTGATCCGACAGTTAATGTCAGATGCATCGCGTTCAAGAAGAATGGCAGACATTAATCATGAGGTGCAGCAAAGAAGGGTCTCCCCGTTCTTCGCAGCACCTACCATGAATGCCGATTAGGCCGGGTCTATTGACAATATTATTCTCCTTCTTAACTGTTTTATTATATCACAAGAATCAAAGAAATCCAAGCCAGAGTGCAATTCCGTCAACAATAACGCCATCGCTATGTAAATTGCCCCATTTGTTTTCCCTTCCCGATAATTTACTGAACTGATACACGATGAAGACTTGTACTCGACGTTCGCGGTGAAATATGAGTCGGTCGGAGAGGAGCTACTCCCAGCTCGTCAATCTGCGGAACCGGCTTCCTTTGTCCGACAAGTTGCGCGGACCCGTTCCCTGACTCTGAGGGAGCGGAATATGAATGTGAACGTGGTGTCTGTGGACCGGGGTATGCTATGATACTCCCCCTCGCTGGCTGATCAGACACTGGCGAGTATGTGCTTGGCGGTTGATACTGAGCCGGCGGGGTCAACGTTGTAGCGGGCGGAGTTTCGGGATCCAGGTTCAGCGAGACCTGCGCCCACGGAGGTGGTGCAAACTGACCGCTCGGGGCTCTCGAGGTAGAGGTAGAGGAAGAGGAAGAGGGATTGCTTGCGGGAGGAGTGATGCTCGGTGGCATGGCAGGGCGTAGAGTGAAAGGGACGCTTTTTCGGAAGACATTCGTGGCGGGTTGGACGCGAAGCACCTCATCCAGCTCCTCGTCCGTCCAGGTACGTCTGATGCGGACTTCGGGTGACGGTTCTGACGAGTAGAGATGGCCTAGGATAGAGGTGCGACACCATGTCTCTGCGTCTTCGGGGGTCGCGAAACCAATGACCAGGCCACTGCTGCTGTCGCGGAGATAGGTCATGGTGGAGGAGTGAGGGAGGTAGACGGCGGTGGGCTCGGCGGCGAAGATGCGGCCCTCGCGGTTTGATGATTGGTATGCATTTGCATGGGTTGTCGAGTTGAAGACAAGCTTCAGCTCCTGTTTCTGGAAGATGAAGTAGACGTCAAACGCAGGGACGTCGTGGTCGGACATTTCTCGTGAAGGGACACAGAATCGTAGTGATGTGTTGTAGTGCGTACTGTCAATTGAGAGAGAACCGGGTGTTTTGATGGCTTAAAGGGGTAGGATGATAGGTCATCTGTTCAGGGTTATTTATATCCCAGACAAACTGAATCTGACAGGGTCTGACACTGCTACTAGTCTACTGCTAACTACTGGGGCTGAAGCTGTGGCGGCTTTACCGCGGCCCCAATGGCTGCACGATCTGAATCCACTGCTCCGCCATCCCTCAGCCTCGTCAGGTCCAGTCGGGCACATCTCACGTCATCGATGCGGATTTCTTTGTGGTACTCTTTGTATGCTGCTCCCAACTTGGTGTGTCCGACGGTAAAGGGAGTGATGGTGAATTGATTGGTAATAATAGTTGATGAGATGGTCTGAGAAGTACTACACTACTAGTATTGAAGATGATGATGGAGCCCGACAAATTGATTGAGGATTTGCCTGCGTTATTGGCTCGAGATGGTTGCAGCTGAACAGTTGGACAGACTGCGCAGGATGGATGTCCCTGTCAATCCGGGAACCTGCATGAGAAAGTCAGCTTATGTGACAGCCAAGTTCATGCTTCTTTTATTTGTTGCACATAGGGCAAATAGACGCTGCTTCATACATCAACCAGCTTCTATGGCTCAGTTGGTAGAGCGCATGACTAGTAATCATGAGGTCCGCGGTTCGAATCCGCGTGGAAGCATTTTTTGTCGTTTCTTCTCTGTCCTTCTTGTTTGGCTTGAAGGGTGCATTTTCTGTACTGTTGGGCGATATATATTTTTATTTCTTTATATTTTTTTCCTTTTCAAAGGTAAGGGGTGGTTGTGCTGTCTGCAGTTGTTCCAGTAGTACATAGTTAGGCCGATGGCTTAAGTTTTTAGAAGACTATTAAATATGAACAGATTGGAATACAACTCTGTACTTCCAATATCTCAAAGATTTGTTTATAGCAGATTCTATGACGGAATAGTCAAAATATGATATAATATGAAGGGTCCGAGTGCTTGTTTCCCTTTCCATGAATTCATCTTAGAATTTGTCAGCCTCAATCATTCGCTTACTGAGCAGCTGCCGGACCAACGATATTCCGGACTACCCCTCGTGCCAAACTTTACCCCGCCTGCTTAAATCCAAAATTTTGTCTGCCCGAGCGGCAGAATCTCATAGAACCTTCCAAAAAAAGGGCGGTCAGCACTCGGTTGGCAGTTATCCCCGCTTCCTGATTGGTCAGCAAGCCCACCGCCTTGGGCTGGTGCGTTCTTCCGTGGCGTGAATCATCACTCAGCACCCGCACTCCGATCAGATTTTCTTCAGGAACTCATAGAACATTGTTACCCGTCTCGATCATCTTTTTGTCTCCTACCAAACATACCACAATGTCGGCCGACGCTGATACCACGGAGTCGCAGTTCCAGAAGATCGGGGATATCGTTGAGCGGAACGATGACACTGGTCTCATGCAGGTCGAAAGTCTCTGCATGAACTGCCACGAAAATGTATGTCCGATTGTACCACTGGGATGCAATATGATGTCTCAAGGACCTGCCTAATGCGATGCAATCTAGGGAACTACCCGCCTGCTACTCCTCCGTGTACCTTTCTTCCGTGATCTCATTCTCGAGTCCTTCGAATGTCCGCACTGTTTCTTCAAGAACAATTCCATCAAGTCTGCCGGCCAGATCCAAGAATTGGGATGCAAATATACCCTGGAAGTTGAGAATGCGGAGGATTTACAGCGTCAAGTCGTCCGAAGTGATGTAGCCGTGTTCAAAATCGAATCCCTTGGTATTGAGATGCCGAAAGAGGGACAACTCACAACCGTCGAGGGTCTCGTTCAACGGATACATGAGTCCCTGTCGAGTGAACAACCCCTCCGCAAAGTCCAGGCGCCTGAAGTTCATGACGCCCTGGTGCCTCTGATTCAGAAACTAGAGGATTACCTCAACGGGACCGGATTTCCCTTCACCATTTCTCTAGATGATTATACGGGTAACTCTTGGATTGCCCCCAACACCGCAGATAAGGGCAACAAGTACAAGCGAAGCGAGTACCCCCGGACTCAAGCACAAAACGAAGAGCTTGGCCTTAGCTCTGATGCCCAGCCCGCTGGCATCAAGCGGGTTGACGGATTTGGAGATCCCGAAGATCTGGATCTTGTTGATGGGGTTTACTCCTTGCCCGCTAATTGTCCCGGCTGTGCGAAGGACTGTGAGGTCAACATGCAGAAAATCTCCATCCCGCATTTTAAGGAAGTATTCAGTATGGACACCTTATTCTCATATTCATTTCTCACGGTCGATACTGACATGGAATACTAGTTTGGGCAACTGTCTGCCCCCATTGTGGCTATAAGTCAAACGAAGTCAAGACCGGAGGCGCAATTCCAGAGAAGGGCACCCGTATCACATTATCCGTTCAAAATGAGGTGGACTTGAACCGAGACGTCCTTAAGTCTAATAGTTGCTCTATGTACAGTGAGGAGCTGGAGCTTGAAGGTAAGCCCTTCTTCGTGATGACCTAGGTATATGACATGGTACTAAGATCTTCTAGTTCAATCCGGCACCCTGGGATCCCGATTCACCACCATCGAAGGTATTCTGACTGAGATTCGTGATCAACTGACCTCCACAATCTTCGATGTTGAGGACACCGCTCGGCAGGGTGGAGATAGTATGCCTGGGGAGGAAAAGAGCAAGTGGGACAGCTTCTTTGCACGCCTTGAGAAGGCGATCAGCGGTGAACTGAAATTCACGATCACCTTGGTGGACCCGCTGTCAAACAGTTATGTGCAGGACCTGTGCGCGCCTGCGGCTGATCCGCAGCTCACGGTTGAAGAGTATACCCGGACTGAAGAGGAGGAAGAAGAGTTTGGATTAAAAGATATGAAGACTGAGGGATATGAGCAGGACGCCGAGGATAAACAGCAGTAGAGGGGGGTGTTTGGGTCTGACGTCGACTTACTAAATATATCCAGATCAGCGGTGAAATAAATACGATTATTCTAGTAGAATGCTGATATTTCTTGGAATATCTGCCAGTTTCTTTGGGCTCTTAATAATCCTTGCATCTTATTGGTTCAAGGAAACTAAATGTATTCCTGATCCCAACCATGATTTCGGGTACTGATATATATATACTAGTAGACAACAGTAGTTGCAGGTAAATATGATATGATCAAAGTACGATGTGATAGTGAAGTATTAATTTATAAGAGATTTCTATAATTCGGGAGAGACGTAGACGAGAAAGGAAATTGGCTATAATATTATGAAAGTGAAAAAACCATACTCTAATTTGGTAAGATTGATTATTGATTAATAGTATACTACTATTGTTTTCATCTTAGATACTTATTCCATAACCCTCTCTGCGCGACCCTGCGGGCCCCTATGCCCTATTCAATGTCTTCTGTTGTTGGGTTGGTTGTATATATTAGTAGTTCCTCCGCAGCAACCTACTAGGAGCTTCAACCTTGAGATTTCGATACTACTTACTACTAGCTCATACACATCATCAGCTACGCCACCTTATTCCTTCAACATCTCTCCAATTTCGAAGCATTCATCAAATACGGTACTACATCAAACAGCTACTCATAGTCCTCATCCTAAGAGCGAATCATCCTGAGGCCAAAAAGGCAGATGCGACCGTGAAGAATACACGGCAACTGAAGGGTTCAGGAAAGCACGGTCCAAGTTGAACCCGACCGACCGACCCATTCTAAATATTGTCACTGCTTACGAGGCGGCCTGCGGTATACACATAAATAATTTAGAGAAAAAGATTCCAATTTGCATCATTGCTATTATTACTATTAATTACATTCACCGCATGACTATACAAGACTTTTTAACACGGTGATCGCCACACCAATTAAACATGAATATCAATCGTCACCATAGTACTTCTATCTTATCACTCTCCATTTAGTCCATAGCAGCACCCTCCTGGCAAGCAATCGGGCTAGAGCGGTAGTTCAGCTCCGTAGTGGTGTTGTAGTTCCACCAGAAGCTCAGATGCTGCGGGTAGGATGCAGACACGTTGCAGGTGGTCGTGTAGTCGGGCAGGTCCTTGTTCAGGATGGCAGTGTAGTTGGCCAGAGGGCAGGAGTAGCCTGGTCCGGAGGTGCAGTCGTTGAAGGGGAGAACGGCCTCGTTCAGCACCAGACGCACGTAGGTGCCCTCGTCCGATAGAGCGGTGGCCTGGCAGCTGAGGCGCTCGATGGTCAGGTGGCCACCCATGGGCACGATGTTGCCGATCGAATAAGGATTGCCGAAGGCGACGCGGTCTAGAGGCAGGTCCTCGTCGGGGATGAGGACACCCAGGGCGGCGAGGATGGGGGTGATGTTGGTGTCGTGGGCGCTGTAGTATGTTAGTGAAGGGTTTCTTTGACTGGGTGAGTCTGCGTGAGACGTACAAGTTGAAGAATAAGGAGCCGGCTTCCTTGGGTCCTTGGTTCAGGAGGGTGAGACTGGCATTGGCATAGACAGCGCCCACAGCGGCCATGTTTTTGTCACCGGGACTGTGTTGAATGATTAGCTGCCCATCCAGGTTTAATTTGAGGAAGGGAATAATCTCACCCTGCGCAGTAGTAGTAGTTCAGATCCTCAACGTAGCCGAAGCTGACCCATTCGTCCTGGGTGAAGGCGTTGATCCAGTTGGAGAAGGGACGAGCATTAAGCTCAAAGGAGGCCATCACTGAGACATTGTCAGCTTCCGTTTAGATACAAGTTCTCAAATACCACACAGCAAGTGGCACATACCCATCAGGTTGTAGACATCGGATGCGGTGAGGTTCATGCCGGGGTTCTGGGAGTTCAGACGGGCAGCAGCAACCTTGAACTGGGGCAGCTGGTAGGTCAGGTCGTCGCAGATGGTCTGGTCGTTGTCGGTGTCACAGGTGGGAGTGAGGCTGTCGGCACCCATGACCTCGGACTCGGAGATGATGTTGAGGGCAGCGTTGGTGGAGTAGTTATAGCCAAAGAAACCCTCACCGAACTTGCGGGCTGTCTCGATGACCCGTCCGTAGCCACTAGAGAAGAAGGGCACGACAGTCTCGCCGTCCCAGAGGTGGCCGTAGCGAGCCTTGTACTCGTTTCCATGGGTGTAAGCGTCCAGCAGACCGGCGTAGGGGCCGCTAGTGGTCTCGGCGTTGTAGTAGCACTCGTTGGGGACATAGTAGGTCCAGTCGTTCAGGAAGGCCAGATCGCCCTTGTATTCGGTAGTGTTGATGCTGTAAACCTTGGCCAGAGCCTCCTCAATGCTCTTGCCAGCGGAAGGGGAGGGGTAGCGCTCGCCGTGACGCTTGACCATGATAACCTGATCGACCTCGCAGCCGGTCGGGGGATCGCGAGCGATACCGTAGGACACACGCTCGGAGTAGGGTCCGTTACCACCGTAGTGCTTCAGGATGCTGTAGCCATCGCGGAACTCCTGAGAGAACTGCTTTTCCTGGGTGGACTGGGGAATGGCAGCGCCGTAGGAGAAAGCGGATGCGCCCGTGGCCAGGGCACAGGCTAGGGTGAGGATAGAAGTGCGAGGCATTGTGACTTTACAACAGGCAGAAGCTGGAGAAGGTGCCTCAAGGTTCGCAGATAACGAGCGGGGTACATTTCGAGAGGGGAGGGGTTGAAGGACCTTTTATACCCTGCGACCGATCGGAGATTCATTGCGAACCGGCATGCAGCTGTGAGCTAGTGGCCTCATGCGAGCGAGGAGTCGGCTCAAGATGAGCGAGCTAGAAAAGTAGCGGAAGCGAGGAGGAGAGGATGTCTACCAGTGACAGACTCACAGAAGAGCCCACGTGCTCAGCATCCCAAAGTGAGAAGCTCCCAGCTCGACGTAACAGGGCTGAATTCCACCTCCCAGTGGGACTCGCGGAATTCGAATCATACACAGGAGCCCAGAGGCGTGGTTTCGGTCAACTCTCCCATTGGCAGGAGGGACGGGCGGGACGAAGACAGGCACGGACTGCCGTTGGTCAATGGCAGCAGCTTAATCTACTAGTAGTTAGTTTAGTAGTCATGCCCCCGGCAAGGGCTTATCTCCGGGGTCGCTGCCGGTGTCTTCCCACTCCCTTCATCCCTCGCGTCCCCGCTGCTCGCATTGGCAACGGAGTCACCGACGTAAAATCAGTCTCAGAGCATACCTTAGAGAAATAGCAACCTGGTAAGCTAAGGTACTGACACGCGAAGATGTCCCTTCTGGATGTCCTGCTTTGCAGTGGTAAACAACGGCTCGGGGTTGCCCGCCCGGGCAATCCAGGCCGAGCTCAAGCTTCCTTGGCCAAAGCTTGGTCTTGCCAGCCAAGGCGCCACTCCCTCGGCCACGCGGTTCTGCCACGCCATGTCACTCGCTATCCCATGGCTTGGGACGTCTGGAAGGAACGGAAGACCAATGTAACAATCACACTCTGCGATCGGAATCGATCTAGTGTCAGGCAACTGGATTAGCTGACATGCGGCATTTGTCGCTGAAAATTTGCGCCGTTGGCCTCACCAGAACAGGTGGTGTAGGGAGCTTGGGGAAATGGGACCAAGCCGGGGCGGATGTTTCCTTTCAGACCCACCGGGCCAGTCTGCGTCAGGCCTGCCTGCACGTGCGAGTCACGGCTTGTTCTGCCAGGGCGATGAGATCCGGTTTCTCGCATCGCAAATTACATCCTGAGTCATGCCAGTCCGGGTGTAACCGTAGAGGGAGTGACAATCGCCTATGCATAAATCGTGTGACGGGACTGGAGAGTGCTCAAGTGAAGTCGCTCTGCTAGGTTGCAAGTGTTACCCTGCAGCTTCAATGCGCTTCCCCTGGATCCTAACCTTAATCGTCCTTGAACCGTTTGACGTACATGTCCCTATCGCTTGACATATCCCCGACACCACCTTCCATGTGGGACAAACTCTTACTCTTATTTGCCGCAGGAGCAACACTATCGAATGGTAGTTTAGGTAGCCGTTTTCCCGAGACTAAGTACGCTGTGAAGGATTGAGGCAATGGGTGCTTCTATGACGTAGGAATAAGATTGTACCAGCCAAAGACCCGCTTTGGCATGGCAGGGACATAGTTGGGACACATGGCTACAGGGTGGAAGTGGTCGTCTTTCTAAGGCTGTGTTTCTCACAAGAGTAGATGAACGACTCAATTCAATCAAATCCTCAGAACGGAGTCTCGAGCAATAATCGGAATCACTATGCAGTAAGAATCTGAACTTTGTATTTGTTCTATCACTTGGCTCAAATAGTTCACCCATGCAGCAACAAAGCTAATAATTCACCCAAACCATCCGGAAGTGGCTAATTCCAACGAGGCTCAGCTACTTCACTAGAGTTGAGTATAACTGAAGACCTTAACACCGTCTTGGCTCCGTGGCTCCGTATTTGTCTCGCATGATTGGCAAACGGCCAGTGAATGTTGTGGTACGCGTAGCAATGCCACATGGCAATGGTACTGGTACATGGGTTAGATATTCTCTCATCACATCCATCCATCCAAGCACTTACCTCCAGAACATGAATACACATCCGATCCAATAGAACACTAGCCCAGCTACTGTCCGGCCATCTTTTCCGTACGCCAAAGAGATCCAGTTCCAGTTGCCGCGGATGGCTGCCTCTTCATCCGCTGACACGCCGTGTATCTGAACTCCCTGGGTCGCCACGATAATTGTCATTACTATGCATGCTGCTAGTTGGGACAGACTTGCCGCAGCAGCACCAAGTTTCCATGTCCACTGAATGCAACGGGTCTCTTTCCGCCCCGGCCAGAAAGAGTCGAATATCAGGAGGAGGCTCAAGACGCCTAATGGAATGATGCAAGCGCACATCCCGAAAGCGAAGCTGCTAAGTAGATTGCTGGTGTCAATCTGAGCATCAGGGAAACCCGGTATAGATTGGTCCTGTAGTTCATTGTAGCCTATCAAACCGTCAGTATAGATGGACAAGGGGAGAAAGGCAAGCGTACGGTTGCTAGCAGAGATGATCAGGAAATGTCCAATGATAGTGGCATGGTCAGCTAGGTAGACCACGAACTTGGTTCGCCTGAAGAAACAGATCTTGTTGTACGTGCAGGAGCTGCTGGAGTTGACCCATTGCACCTCCTGCCGGGAGATGTTGCGTATCAAGGGGGCCATGACCGAATATGCTGTTTTGACGCTGGAAAAGTCTCTGCTGATGCGGAAGTTCGCCCAAGATCCAAGATATAGACAATGACTTTGAGTGAATGATCCATGATGTGACATGACTGTTAGTGAATGGTCCATGATGTATACAGGACGGTTATAAAATGACGAGATGATACGACTAGTGTATGTGTGTAGAGCCCCGTGTCCGGACTTGGACTGCCAGGGGCACTTTCCGCCTCTAGAGCCGTTGCTCAAGCTCATCCTGCTGGCACGAAGCTTTCGGGAAGGCACCATTCTTTGATCTGCCGATCTTTCCTGGACCTGACTCGGGTTTCTGTCTCCCAGCAAACCATTGCAAGTTATGCGGCACGGAGTTCATTCCATCATGCAGCGGACGGTGCCTTCTCAAAAGAAGTCCCAAATGAGCATGTCATGGCTCCTCGTGACTGGGACGTGGTACTAGATAAATTTGTGCTGGGGTCTGACGTTGGAGCGAAGGCATCGTCAGCTGAGCTGTACATGACATTTTATAACCGGTTGCCATAGTGTAATAGTCCCGGTATTTGATCATGCATAGAAGCTCAGCAATAACAAGATAGAACCCGGCAACTTCTATGATAAGACGCGTTTCCCCAGCGGGCATCCATGGCAGGTTTAGAATGAGGCGTATATCTACGGTGTCTCCATAGAGTGCGGATAAACAGGCCTGCCACAGAGCTCTTCCACGAATGGCCTATTAGATCCAGCAAAATGAGCCAAGAATAGTAGTGTCCTCCTCCAACTCTCTTAGATCGGGATTATCAACATTGGGCATACTGGAGTTGCTGTCGGCCGTGACTTGGGCCAACGCTTCCGAGCTATTCCCAGTGCCAGCTGAAAGGTCCATGTCAGAAGTAGTATCTCCCGAAACCTTGGTTTCTCGGTCTAAATGAGCATGAGGGGACGAATCACGGCTGTATCTTCCCGCCATTCCTGACGTGTGTGATGCATGACTGGCAACGAGAGCGAATGGAGAGCACTTGAGGATGATTCGGATTGTTCGCTGTTCTGCGGGAGCCTTTGTAAGGCCGGTGATACCTCCTACATGGAGCAAGCTACATTCTCCATGGCCTCAACGTAACGGGCCGAGAGGAGTAGGCGCTTGCTTTTTGGGGTTGCGGCGGATGATGCGACACGTTAGATTGGCAGCGATGTAGGCGGAGCTGGAAGAGACACGGTCGCATTTGGACTACTAAAGTGCGGTTTGGCCAGGATCCAGATATGCGCAAGGTTCATTGTGTTAGGACGAGTGTCTCACCTTGCGACTCCGGCACTAGTCACAACTGGACACCCTCATCAACAAATCGATCGAATGAATCGGCAATGGCCAATGAGGTAAGGCATGCTAAGGGATTAGACGATGAGAGTCCAACTCACAGCCGGTCTTTTGCTGTTTGCACGGGTGCCGATACCGACCTCCAAAGTGCGGGACATTGGCTGGTCTACACCGTACGCTCTGTGGTTGCATGTGGGGGAGGGTCGATCGGTGCAACTCGCGGCGGAACCGGAGCTGCCAGGCAGTTATTCCAGCCCCATCCAGTAGATAGTAGTTGGTAGTCAGATCTATGCAGATCAGCTGAGTCAAGGCTAGCAGTGTGAGAGACTGCCTGAGGCAATCACTCTCAATATGCTCTTCCCTCTTTGGGAGGGAACGTAGGAGTTGCCTCGCCATCGGGATGCCAACTGGAAAGGCCGAGATTGAGGTTAGCGCGGGGCCCGCGCTAACCCGAATCTCGGTCGGCACATTTCCCCATCGGGCAGTCCTCGGATTCGGAGAGGGGAACAGAAAGTACTATGCCCAACATGCTTGCCGACCAGAAACACCACGGTCCGTGACCGGGGACTAGGGGAGAGACCCATCCAAGATGATGCCGAACACTCGCAATTCCATTCGCATAAGGTGGTAGAGAGGTATAAAGTCACCGGGAGAAGTCCATGGTCTCATAGTCAAGCATTCCAAACCCTTCCGACCAAGTCCCTTGAACTTCCTCCCCATTTCCCACATCACAATGACCTCCTACCCTCCCAGAAAGTGCTGCTTCCAGGGCGTCAAGCATGAAGGCGACGCAACTGGGGACTTCATCACCATTGATGACTTTGAAGTCTACAAGAAGGCCCCTGAGGGTGCCGCTCCCGAGAAGGCAATCATTCTGTCTGTCCCACCTCATTGCAGTGGTAGCAATTCGATAGTCTGAACTGACCGCAAAATAGACTGACTGATATCCTGGGCCACCGGTTCAAGAATGCTCAGTTGATCGCAGACCAGTTCGCCGCCAATGGCTACTTGGTCCTGATCCCCGATCTCTTCTATGGTGATCCCATCCCCATTGGTGGCTCCGCGGGCCTGGACCTCCACAAATGGCTGGTGGGCGAGTACCACGAGAAGAAGATCGCACACACTCCCCCCGTCATTGACCCCATCCTGGAAAAGTGCATTACTGAACTGCGCACCAAGTACAACGTCAAGGTAGGTCCAGCTCTCCGCTGCTAATAGCGGGCCGGACGAACACTGGGACTAATGTTCTGACAGAAAATCGGTGCCATCGGATACTGCTTTGGCGCCAAGTATGTCGTTCGTTTCTTGAAGCCCGACCAAGGCAAGGTGGATGTCGGTTTCCTGGCGCACCCTAGTTTGGTCGAGAAGGAGGAATTGGAGGCCATCAAGGGTCCCCTGGCCATTGCGGCGGCCGAGAAGGACCATGTCTTCCCCGCCGAGAAGCGACACGAGTCGGAGCAAATCTTGGAAACGCTGGCGTTGCCCTATGCACTGACTCTCTATGGCGGTGTTGGACACGGGTGAGTGATTTTTTTACCCCCTAAACCCAATGAAATACACATCAGGCTGATCATGTCATAGATTCGCGCTGCGGGGAGACCTCAGCGACCCCAAGGTGCTGTTCGCCAAGGAGAATGCCTTCATCCAGGCCCTGCAGTGGTTTGATGAGCACTTGACGGTGTGAGTGGGCAATTGCGAGTCGGAGGGGAGGGGGAGATTCGGTAGTTTAAATAGCTGCGAGAAGTAGACTAGTAATGGCTGATGACTACGCTATAAATATCATGATGGCTAGAATGAATGTGCATGAAATCCGTCCCCACTTGTCTGTCTCTTACTCCGGGATCCGTTTCCAAACAGGGTTATGTAGCATGATGACCTTCAATCCATGACTCAATACGAGTCCAAACTAATGAGTCCTTGTTTTTAGTATCATGTGAGTGAGGAGGATGTAGAGGTACTATCAACTGAAGGCCTGGGCACTCGGCCCCCATAGTATACTAGTGTACAACATTCCCTGAAGTGAAAGGAAAGAATTCGAAGAAAGGGAAGATATTTGAATTCCGCAGAGCAAGATTGGGTAGACAGCCCAGACCGAAACAAGCGTGACTTGTGCGGAGTAGATATAGGAGAGCCGTTGGACAGACAAACCGACGATGTACAATAAATAGTACTAAGTACGTAGTCGAGTGGAGAGATGATCCGCTGTGGGTATATTCTTTTCTTTGCACTGGCAGGCAAGTTTCGGGACCAGCCGACCGGTGGCAGGCCGATAAGCTGCCGGGCGCAATAAGATCCGCCCGCCCCCCCGTGTACCTTTGCCCGTCTGGCCAAGAGAGAGAGAGTGTGTGTGAGTGGTGAGTGGTGAGAGAAATGAATTCTAGCCACTCCTCCTAGTAGGAATCTAGGATGCGCTCAATACGAAACCCACCACTGGCCGCGGCTCCTTCAAATTCCCCCCGGTCACCACGTGATCCTCCAGCTGCTTGGTGCGTCATTGGCGAGAAACTCGAACCTCGCGATCGGACGGAATCTGACTTGAACTTGCTTTGCCTTCACTTTCAGTTACTCATCTCAAAACTTCCATCCCGCACTCACTGCTACCACTCTCCCTTTCCCCCTTCTTCTTCCTCTCCCCATTACTTGCTATGGTCGCATGCTAGTTCCTCCCATTCTTACCGCCAAATGACTGCATCGCAGTCAGGTCCCTTATCGCTCTCGTTATGTTCCGCCATTTTCAGATGCCCCCGCCCCCAAATGGGAATGCCTCCCAGTCCGATGCCGCTGGGAGACCCAAGGATCGGACTCGCCGGGCATGCGAGCGCTGTCGCCAGATGAAAATCAAGTGTGACGGGGCCACCACCTGCAATCACTGTCGCACTTCCTTTAATGGTGCGAGGCCCTTTCTGGTTACATCTGATGAGACCGCAGACGGCAGGCTGGGGCCAAGCTAACGGGTACAGAGTGTGTGTATCCGGAGCCACGTCGCAAACGCAAAGCTTCCCCACATTTCGATCGTCTGCAGGAGTTGGAGAAGAGGGTCAAGGCGATGGAGGAATCCTATCAAACCATTTCGGCCACCAAAGATTCGTCCCAGTCCCCCAACTCGGCGACGCAACATCCTCCCCCGTCCACCGCCGGCGCCAATGATGTCGGACCCGACCCGACAGATCCCCGGCCTCAGCTCCGGTCAAGCCAAGGAGAGGCCCGCTTTGGTTTCTCATCTGCCGACCGTGCTTTTATCGAGCGCCTCAAAGCAGAGCTGGGAGACTGGCCCGGCGCGGATTTCGACAGTCGGCTACGCATTCGAGAGAAACCGGGGGTGAAATTGTTCCAGTCAGCCACTCCGGCGCCGCGGGTCGTCTGCTTACCCCCCCGTGAGCGAGCGGAGCACTTAATCAACATCGCGCTGGACGCAAGCGTGCTCTATCATGTCGTGCACCGACCCACGTTTGACTCGGCGTTCGAACTACTCTACAGCCTGGATCGGAGCGACTATGGGGAAGGGGAAATGCGCCATATCCCGCTCGTTTACGCTCTCATGGCGTTGGGCTGTCTTTTTGAGAAGATCGGCGAGGGTCCATCGGAAAGCGGGGACGACATGACCGCAGAGAGGTATATTTCTTTCCCTTCTGCTGTATCGTTGAACCAGGTGCATGCTAACGCAAGCAGAACGAAATATTTTGCGACATGCCGTGATCTGGTGGATCTGCACGACTGCAATGACATCGTTACCTTACAAGCAATATTCTACATGAATCTATTTATCTTAAGTACGGAGAGGCTATCACCGTGCTATACATGCCTGTCGCACGCATTTTCTCTCGCCGTTCGCATGAACCTGCAGCTGCCGAATACTCGAGACAATCTGATTGCCGCGGAGATAAAACGACGGCTGTTCTGGTCTCTGCGACAATTACTGATGGTCGTAGCCTCGATGTGCGGCTATCCGCGGCCGATCAACAGCAATGAAGTCGACATCGAGCAGCCGCTAGATCTGGATGATAACGACCTCAAATCAACCAGGATATCACAGTCCCTACAAGACCCTGCGCTGATTAGGAGTATGTCGGGTTCGGTCGCGTTGTTGAAACTCCACAACATTCTGGATCGAATAGTTCGCGAGCTTTATCCGTCGGGAGGCGTCCGGCGGAAAACCAACAGCGGATCCATGAGCCACCTGGTGAGCAACGAAATTGTTACGCAGCTGGAAGAGGAGCTGCAGAAATGGTCCACATCGCTCCCGCTGGGGTATAAACGGGGAACGAGTCGATACGCACCCCACTTGGAGAAGTAAGGTCACCCAGCATGCTGACCAACCCGAGTTTCCACCCGGCTAACAAGTCACAGGGCGAAATACGAGCTATGGATGACTTATGCCCACGTCCAAATCCTTCTATATCGACCATTCCTGCACTATTTCGTCGACAGCACCGAGGGGAACGGTCATGCAGAACATGGATTCCACAAATACGCCTCAGCGTGTGTTGACGCCAGCCGCAATCTCATCCATTTGACGGAGGATATGCACCGGGATGGTCTCCTGTACGGAGCACACTGGAGGATTGCGTACATGGTCTGCACAGCAGGTCTATCGCTGATATACGTGGTCGTGGGCTCGAAGAACCCAGATACCGCGAGGAATCTCAAAATGGATTTGAACACAGCAAAGAGAATGCTGATGTGCCTCACCCCTTACAGCTCCCATTCCCGTCGCCTGCATGTGGCATTAACGGTACGGTTACAGATGATTTCCTGTTCAAGTTTCTCAGCTAACGTAAGCGAAATTAGGTCCTGACAGCTACGTTCACGAAATCTGATCACGGCTCGCAGTCTCAAAGTCCGAATGACACCGCAGAGGCAGCTCCAGATAAACCCCATGAGCCGTATACAGGGCCAACAACAAGACAGGCCTATGGTGCATCCCCTCAGGGAAATCAAAAATATAATGGTCTGGGAGCGGGTGAGGTGGTTGCTCCCAGTCCAGAGTTATTCACACGCGGCGTGGAGACGCATCCCTCCCAGCCTAATCGGGTCGAGGCATACGGCATGCTTCCTGCATCACAGCCGCCGTTATCTCATTTAGATTCCACCCCGGTGCCGTCAGGCTATGTGGTTCCCCCGCTCCAACCAGGTGCACCAGGCACGACCATGCCAACTCCGGCGCCCGAAAACACAACTCCCCAATCAGCTGAGCGAGTCATGGAGGCGCTGGCCGGGGCCGCTGCCACTTATGGACCGGAGCCAGGACTCGGAGATCAGACGTACTATTTAGAAGCGCGACCCTTTAATTTGCAGCGACCTACGGAAGGCGAGGATTACCTGTTCGGGAGAGAGTTTGGGGAGTTTGACGGGATGACGGGGGATTTACTCAGCTTCGACTATCTGTTTTAGACCGGCTTGTAGTGTGATTGTGTGGTATTGGGGATAGTGTCTAATGTGCGGGCACCATAAGATCCGACCGCTAATAACTGCGCTTGCTGCCGCGTGCGCGTGGCAACCGATTATGAACTCTCATATTATTATTTCTTTTTTTTCTTCTCTCTTAATGTTTGCTCATCTATCATTTTTTCCCTCTGGTCCACTCCACTCCGAGACTTGACCACCCAACATCCGAGTGGCTGCTGGGGTGAGATTTGTCCGATTCACGGGCGGCAGAGCGATGGGACGGTCGACGGTCTAACCCCAACATCGGGTTCCGCAGGCCGAGTGCCGGCCAGCCGACGCTGCAACGTCCAGACGTGCTGATCCCAACCACTGCACAAGGTCGGACCCAACGTGGCGGTCAATCGCGTGCCGGAAAGATATGCTTAGTGCATTTCACGACTCCTTTTTGGACGAGTCTGTCAGATTTTGAACACTGCGCGGCCCGAGCCTCCCTGAGGATGTATCGCGGCCTCCTTATATATCTCATATAATGGTGCCCAGGCGCATCAATCCTACGAACAAGCGCTAAGCACTAGTAACCAAACTATGCGATCGTTTGTTCAATTGTTAGTGCAAGATCAACCACTATAAACTTCGACTTTGGATTTCTGAGAATACAAAGAACCAATCACTAGCAAAGATCGATTCAGCGCCATGGCCGGCGGTAAGGTAGGCGTTAGATCCCGCTGTCATCAAGAATTATTGTCCACTAGCTAGCCGTTGACTAACGTCGATTTCCTAGCGACCCGACGTGCACCCTGTGATAGACTTGGAGAAGGATATGGTAGGATGGGACGGCGAGGATGACCCAACAAACCCGAGGTGAGAGATAACCGGTCACATCTGCCACCACGTAAGATCAAGCATCTGACACGAAATAGAAATTTTCCTGTGTCCCAGAAGTGGTTTCTGATGATACTGGTCAGTACCATCACATTCATCAGGTATGCTGAGAGTTCTTCAAGATAAACAATTAACTGGCTCTTACTCACGACCTCTACAGTCCATTCGCGTCCTCGGTCTTCTCTCCGGGTGTGGTATATGCGGAAGAGGAATTTGATGTCACGTCGACGATTTTGGGAACTCTCTCCGTCACAGGTTATCTCATCGGTTATGTGGTATGTGTGGTTTCCGCGTTGTGCAAGAATATGACTTGAGCTTACCGAACTTGCCATGTAGACTGGTCCTCTCTTTTTCTCTCCGCTGAGTGAGATGTACGGCCGACGGATCGTCCTCAGTGCGGCCAACACGTTCTTCGTCGCCTTCCAAATTGGCTGCGCGCTGGCCCCCAATATATCTGCGCTGATCGTCTTTCGTTTCCTGACGGGTGTTGGTGGATCGGCTTGTTTGACTACAGGCGGTGGTGTGGTAGCGGATTTGTTTGTGGCTGAACAGCGTGGAATCGCAATGGCAGTTTATACTACGGGTATCCTGATCGGACCCGTGCTAGGACCACTTCTTGGAGGTTTCATCGCTCAGCGAGCGGGTTGGCACTGGGTATGTCACTTCCACCTGTCTTTTCATCCACATGACTGATATTGATACCCCTGGTAGGTGTTCTGGGTGCTGGTCATCGCGGGCGGCACGCTCTCTGCGCTGGTCATGGTTTTCAACCGGGAGACCAACCACGTCGTAATCATCCGCCGCAAGACCGAGCGTCTTCGCAAAGAGCTCAATCGTCCCGAGCTCTACAGCTGTTATGAACCTGATGGAGCGGACGCCAAAGGTTCTTATACCGGTACCCTCGGCAAGCGGTTAATCATGCCCTTCTACCTCTTGGTCCGTTCGCCGATCGTATTTCCCGTTGCGACCTATCTGGCCACACTGTACGGATGCCTCTACTTGCTCTTCACCACCGTCACCGATGTCTTTAAGAAGTCCTACGGCTGGAGCACGGAAATCAGTGGCCTCGCGTATCTCGGTCTCGGTGTCGGCTTTATCAGTGGCCAGATCGTCTTCGCCTTGGTCAGTGATCGCTTGATCACCCGGTTGAAGTTGCGCAACAACAACGTCTTTGAGCCGGAAATGCGCCTGTCAATCACCATGATCTTTGCCTTCTTTATCCCCGTCTCATTCTTTTGGTACGGATGGTCTGCGCAGGAGAAAACCCACTGGATTGTGCCGATCATCGGCCTGGCGCCCTTTGCGTTCGGCATGGTGGGTATTTACAATACCCTGCAGACCTATGTGATTGACTGCTATCCTCGGTACGCTGCCTCCGGTACCGCCGCGATGGTGGTTACCCGGTCGCTGATGGGTGCTCTGCTGCCGCTGGCGGGACCGCGCATGTACTCGACTTTGGGCTACGGATGGGGTAATTCCTTGCTGGGATTCGTGACACTGGGCATGATCCCAGTGCCAATGCTCTTTTACAAGTATGGTGGCAGCGTCAGAAAGTCATCTCAATTGGAATTGTGATGGTTGTGCGGTTGTCACACAATTCATCAGAAAAGGATGGATAGACTGAGCGTGAGGCTGGAGGAAATGTGCATCAAAGGAATTGGATACTTTTTTTTTTTTTTGGGAGTTCTGTGTCTCTATATTGTTAGTCTATTTACTACCTGCATATAGACGAGCTTTCTGGGATTGTCATGTGGCGTTGTGGCGCTGGGAAGGTGCTGTGCCAGTATGAGGCTGGTCCAGGATTGCATACTGTGGATGGTTCAATCACCTTAATATATGATATTGATCATGGATTTCGAAATCATAGACATTCAAGCGATATGGGCTTGATCTCATAATCTCTCTAGCTGTCCCGTGCATTACTCGGACCTCGTAAATCAACGTACATAGCTCTGCGGTGCAAACTTATCGCACTTCCTTACAAACGGCCCGAAGATTGAACTAGCCACTGACACCTAGTTTAGTGTCGGGTGACGAGATGTGATGAGCTGGTGTAGCTGGGCGCTTATGATGCGTGATCGCCGATCCTGCCATCCATCAACCGCGGTCTGTGTGTTGCCTAGAATAGAACGTACCATCACGGATAGGCAGTGATGAGAAGCAGCACTTCTGACAGGCGTTTCGCGAGAATTGAACCTCACTTTGATTGGAAGCAGTGGAGTTGGGATTCCACTCTATGAGACTTCCATGGTGTGGTCCCGATTGCTTCAAGCGCTTAGATTCAGAGGCCCCAGCGCTTCCATACCTCATATTGACTGGTTCATGATATGAAGATGGTTGTTGTATCTCCCGTTCTGATGATTTGATTGGAGAGCCCTGTGGCTGCGTGAAACGTTTACTACTTCCCTTCAGCTATCCCAAGGGGCCAGGCCAACAGTGTCTCTTATCGATGGAGGTTCGTCGCTGTGCCGTTAAGGCTATAAAAGCTGAACCTCGCCCCAGTATAGCAGCACTCCCTTATCCATCAGAAAATTTCGTTCCAGTTTTCAATTCACTTTCTACCTATCCATTTCACACGTAACAACCTCGAAACGCTTAAGAGGAGTCCAACCAGAAACCATGGCAATCTATCTCTCTCAGCCCATTATCGATAAGGTGGTCCGCTTCGTTGAGGAGGACTCAAGATATGAGGACTCTGTGAAAGCCATGGCAGCCGGGATTTCACTTACTACTTCCCTATCGCCAATGGCTTTTTAGTTGTTGAGGCATATACCGATACACCCCCTGCTCGATAAGGGATTGGATCAGGCATGGGGTGCAATTGGGGTTTCCGATGGCGTCAGTTCTTGAAGATGCATTTAGGTATGGAGGGCTCCTGCTGTAGTACCTTTGCAGATTTTTGTTCTCTTCCGTATCGATAATGGAATCCATAGTCATAAGTGGTCTGGCCACATACATAACAGAACAGTGATCCCTCAGTATTCATCGTCCAAGCCATAGGCTAGCCCGGAAAAACAGCCATTGAAGCGTATCGTATAGTTTATCCCCTCTGGGGGTACCCGAGAGAGATCACGTCGGAAACGCAGCTCAGGCCGTAGATGCGCTGGTTTCAGAAGCCGTGACTGGAGCAATTTGGCAGTATCATCGAGCCGGACCTGGCAGCCTTGTCTTCGTATATGACGGCTGAACCTCTGAAGGCCGCCGAAGGTATGCCTGTTAAGCGACCCGTCACTACGGCAAGGGACACAGACATACGTATCACTATCGCTTCCATCGGGAAGCTCGACACAAGTACCGTGTTGCCAGGAGTAGCAGGCTGAGCACATAATGCCGCACTCCTCAAGCCCACTGCGTCTACCACAGCATGGAATGAGCAGTGGAAAGCTTCGCACAGTCATTCCAGGGAACTGGGGTATGCGGGCATAATAGCACTCTTCCGCTGTGAACGATGCTTGTGACAATGCTACTGCATCGCGGGGCTCCAACTTCTGCAGAACATGCTGAATTATTTCTGCAGGCATGGGGTACTTCCAGGTCTCCCGGTTGGTTGTCCAGTGCTTCCAGCAGTCCGATGTCAGAATTCGACCAAGGGCGCGAAAGCCAGGCGAACACTGCATAGCCGATGAGTTCGACAGCAGCACGATGCTTCTTGTGGAGGTTACAAAGCCGTTGGATAAGTCTGCGAAGGCGATGTGGTATGGTGACATCATGATCAAGCGGACACCACGACCCGAAACTGTCGGATGTCCAACGTACTGCTGAGCCTTCCATACAGCAGAGATGATCATGGCCTGGCTTCTCAAATCGTCATGCAGAACGACCAAAAATCCATGGAACCAATAGACGTTGTCTTTAGGGCAGTTCCAAGACGGCACAGAGTTGTAAGAAATTGGAAGTTCGACGTCGGCGTCATACGACAATTCAAAATCCCAGGCTGCGAGACGTAGAATCGCAATACAAAAGCGCTTAAACACCGGCGAACCATAATACCAGGTCATTGGGTCATCGATATAGTAGCGCCATGGGAAGAGGAAATCAATGAAGAGCCGGGCCTGAAGTTCGTTCAAGGGTGTCGGAAAGCCCAGCGTGAGACGCAATGGCTCCGCAGCAAGCTGCACAGATCCATCGTCGGTAGCGATCTCGGGAGTCCATGTTGGGAAATGCGATGGCAGCTGGCGCAGATCGGTCCTAGATAAGCTCGAGGCCTGACACGCTGAGAGCAAATCAAGGCAGACGGTTTTGGGAAGCAGACCCCCCTCGGCCTCATCCCAGAAGGTAATCGCCCATGTGCCGGCGTCCAGGTGGATGGTGTAGACCCAGTCGAGATTCGAATGTAGCGGAGCGGGGAATGGAACTTCCTCCCACGTATCCAGTACTCCCGGATGCTCGCATAGCTGCTTGATCTTCTTCAGCGTAACGGGGTGATCGGGCTCCGAGATACACCCTCGTGGGTGGCAGCAGCGATACCAACGACCTATAAGTTCAGGTGGAGATTAGCACCGGGATGACTTCTTCGCTCTCTTTGCTCCCCCCAAACATCATTGTCCAGGGCCTAAAAGAAGAAAAACAAAATCAAATAAAAAGGTCCCTGACCGTTAAAATGTAGATTCCAGAGACCTCGGCAACCCATGGTGTCAGAGGAAAGGAGGTTTGGTTGTAGACATGACGTAGGAAAGATTGGGGGAAGGATGTGTGCGCCAGGGCCAGATATGCTTGGGAAACGCGGACGCGAGCAATCTGGAGGCCGAGGGTTGTACCTGTTCACCGATCTGTTGAGGTGAACAGAGAAGCTATCGCGAGAGCTGAGGACAAGGGGACGTTGGAGGGTGAAAGCGCGGGGAAGGAAGAAGCATGAAGACGATCCGATAAGCAAAAGAAGGGGCCGAATTCACCAGGACGGTGACGCTGACGGTGAAGTCCTGACACCCAATGAACCTATGATTCTGCCCCAGCTCTGTGGAAGGCTCCCGATGTCGTTGTGGTTTACTGCCGGCAGAACTTGGAACGAACTATAGCCTGAGCTGATAGCATATGCACAACGACACGTACACAAACTCTACTGAGATGATAGTGCTTTTTCAAACTAGTTGTACTCCTCAAGCTTATGGTTTTCCTTTACACTTCCGGCAAGCTTTCCTCTCAAGAGACTACCCTCAGTCTTCATTTTCTCCCACTACCCCAGTCTTGTGAAACCAATGTGAAGATCTACATGAACTGGCGGTCAGCTATGAAACGTATCGACTCAGAATCACTTCCTCTTCAACAAACAATGCGGAGTAAGAAAATTGTTATTCCCTCTGACCGAACCACATTTACAAGTGAATAGACCTGCATGCATGTGGCCTCTGGACCATCTCGTGCCGTGGCCGCTCATATTGCTTCACAGTATGGGCTACAAAGTTCGTGGTTAGACCTGCAGGATAGTACCATTCAACCTCGACAGGTTGTTAACTGGCTAAAGAGCTGGCATTGTCGAAGAAATACCACTGGGCAGCGGCGGCGATCCGTTTCTTCTCTACTACATCCACCACCTTGATCCACTTGATTGTTGGCTGCTCGATGATGAGAGATGCGCGCTAGCCTTCAATACTTTTCTGCGGACTCTTTTTCCCAATCGCCATCCTCAATGGGGAAGAAGAGGCGGAAGATGCCCTGCGAGTGGTTTTCAAACGTCTCCCACTGAGCCGTGATGAGCTCAGGGAAGTCTTTCTTCTTTGGCACGTTCGAGTGAAAAATGTCATTGACGATATTATGAGCTCTGGAACTGGGATTAGCGAGCAAGAAATCAATAGGGTGTTGGCCATGGTGTTAACAATCAGGTCATTCCAGGATATGCGGGGTCTTCAGTTTCTAAAATTATGGACATTCCTCCAATCCAAGTATTCTTTTGCCTGAGGGCAATAGTTGAAAATCAGGTAATTCTTTGGTCTAGAATTGTACGTTGAGCGACACACAGCATGGTGAGAGGTTATCTTAGTACACACGATGCTTTGGCAATCAAGACTACAATGTACCCTTCGCATGTGGCGGTTTGGCCGGGCGCAGCAGGATCCTGGTGAGATTTTTGGATACACATAAAATCCGTTGGGGGATGCGTCAGAACGAATGCTGCAACATTTGTTTCAAGATTATGCTTCTTTCTAGATCGCATATAGTGAACCAAAAATAAGACACAGCTCCCATGGACTTAGACGCTCGCTTTCAAAAGCATGACAATGATACTTGCGGCAATTGCAGAGTGATATAACTCGTATTGTCTAATCGTAAAGCTCATAGTACTCATAACACAAGATAAGAAAAACAATCACCAAACACCAAGTATCCAAGTCATTCTGTACAGTCTGGGTCCTTTCTCCCCATCCTTCCTTTCCTGTAATTTCATTTACTCCCCTTCAGCTGCTCCAAATGTAGTCGCAGCCACTGCCATGGCCAGCTCGCCCGAGTGACTGATACTGACCTGAACCTTGGCCAGCTGCTTCTCCTCGGCCAGTTTCTTGACTTCACCATGCAACTGTGTCCTCGTTAGCTTATCATTACCACAGACTTAGGAACAAAGCAACTCACATGAACCGTTGGAATACCACCTTCACTGAGGATCTCAATCTCGTTCAGCGGAGCTCCTGCTCCCTTTGACGGCACTTGCAGACTCTTGAACACGGCCTCCTTGGCTGCCCACCGGCCTGCAAACGAGTGCGCTGGATCTGGCGCAGCCTGGCAATATTCCCTTTCGGCCTCAGTATAGTTTCGCTCTAGAAACACCTCGTTCTCGACATTGATGGCAGTCACCGACTCAATGTCCACACCCACAGAGGTTGTTCCGTCCGTCGACACAGCTCCCTCCACCCATTTCTGGCACGCATGAATCAACGGCTCACTGGTGGGAGTTGAGGGCGTCTCCACGGCCGTCAACACCCCGGAGCTGGTCTCAGATGCTGTGTCCTCCGAATCTGGGTGCAGGCATTTGGCATCGAAATAGTAACTGCCGTCGTCAACGGCAACCCGCGCAAACGGGTCCAAGAATACCCGCATCTCATCCTCGGCGGCCCAGGCGGATGACGTCTTAGCCTGGAACAGGGTGTTCGTGTTGAGCCCCTCGATGAAGGCGCGGTTGGCCATCTCACAGCGTCGAAGGGCCTTGATGCGATACGCCTCGTAGGGAGTCTGGTCCACCGCGGCAAATAGATAACGTGGGGATACACCCACAACCAGACCGCCCTTCTGGCCGAAACCGAATGAGGTGAGCATGAAGGCTCTCACTCCGCGGGTCTGGATGGACTCTGCGGGATACACAAGGTGGTCGAACTGCTGTAGAACCGAGTCCACGTTGTCCGCGTTACGATTACCTGGCACCACTCCCGTCTGCAAGATCTGCAGGCCTCCGTTGAGCATCCATGCCCCTGCAGCGCCCTTGGGGTGGCCTGTCAGATACTTCTGGCACACGACCATGACTGGGTTACCCTTGGTGCGACCAAGATGGCTCATCATCGTGTTGATCACCTCCGATTCATTCTTATCATTGGCCTTGGTCGAGGTACCGTGGAATGAGGCCACTGCGATATCATCGACGGTGAGACCCCATACAGCCAGTGCTGCCCGAATGGGTGAGATACCAGGCTCTTGCTGTCGTAGGTCCAGTCCGTAGAGATTCTGAGCCTGGCGGATCTGTGACGCTGCAGCCCTTTCGATCACCTGGGCCAGGTGTGGCGAGAGCGAACCATCCTGTCGGGCCTGCTGAAGTTGGCGAGCCGCCCCTTGCTGGATCTGTGTCCGCAGCTCTTCAAACTGCTTCTGGCGGAATGTAGCATCCAGAAGAGGGGACAGCGATGCCGTAGTGGCTTCACGGGCGGCTGTTAAAATCCCTTTGCCAGGGGCAGGCACGGAGCGACCGATCTTGTCGCCTGCCATCTGTGAGTACGCGACAATGCCGTAGATCGGCACTCCCATCTCGAGTGCCAGCTGCGCCGTCATGAGCACCTGCACACCGCATCCTGCTGACTCGACGAAGCCTGCACGAGAGCTGGCCGTCGGGCGGGAAATTTCCTTTGGAGTCCGACCACGCGCAAGCTCTTCCACTGTGTTGGCCGTGGCCTTCATATTGGCGAACTCGTACGACATCTCCTCCTGCAGGTCATCTGTGCCGCCTACCAGGGCCACCTTGACCTTGCCCGCCTGGATGCCCTCACAGGCCGTGTCCAAAGATTCAATGGCAGTGGCACATGTTCCTGACGGGGACTTGATGGGACCGGCCGCACCCATGAGCAACATGTTCGCCCAGGCATCCATGGCATTGGGGAATGACTCCTGCAAGATATCATTCTGCACATCGCGGTCGAGATACCGATCACGGTACACTCCACGCATGGCGATCAGCCCACCTGCGCCCGTGCCAATGCAGTTGGCCAGCTCCGAGACATGTATGTGTCGGTACAGCTCGTAGGGGTCCTGGATGCCCGCACTCAACATGGCCTGGCACACACAGCACAAAACATACAGCGTGATCGGATCCACTTGCGACACAATATCCGCTGGGATACCGTACGCCTTTGGATCCCATCCCGTCGGCAGCTGGCCGGACACCAGTCGGTCGAATGGCTGCGCCTTGGGCACCAAGAACCGCGCCCCAGGCTTGAACTGCACATTGTACTCCTCCCCGTCTTCTCCAGCCGGTGAGATAGACACCTTGTCGCCGTGCTTCGTCTTGAATGCGGTCGCAACGGCACGTGTCGCCTGGAAGACAGGCAAGTCCTCCTGCACTACCACCTCTTGCAGGAACTCCTTCTTGGCTGGGTCGTAGCCATCGTAGAGCTCGGGCTCGATGAAGCGCAGACCCGCGTGTTCATGGATATACTCGCCATACTTCTCCGCAAAGTCGGCTTCGTGCACAGGCTGGTTGGATTTGGCATCGACCCAACCGACGTAGGGAGAACCCTGCTGGTCGCCCTCGAAGTGCTTGACCAGACCCATGATCCAGGCCATCTCGACGTACCCTTCCGGGCTGAGATCGCCGGTCCGCTCCATATCCCAGCGGGTGCGGGCACTACCCCAGGGTCCTAGCTCAGAGTAGCCCACGACGACAATGGTCTTATTCAGGTCGATCATTTCGCGTCCGGGCAGCTGAATACCTGCTGTCATCGCCTGGTAGTCCGGTAGATCTGGATGGCCGACCGTCAGATTGGCACGCGGCTTGCGTGTAGTGGGAGCAGTGGTTGGCTGTTTCGGCTCCTCTGGGCCCTTCAACAACCGCTCGTGCAGCTCGTCCTCAGCAGCGATGGCCTTGCGTGCGCGAGCCTGGTGCTGCACCTGTTTACGGGCGGCAGTCGACAACCCCTTCAGGTCAGCCAGCTGCTCCATCTTGCCACCGAGGTCCGCGTACACGGGCGCGTCCTCGCAGGCCTCCGCAATGGCGGGGGTCATGAGCGCCATGATATTCAGTGCCATCTCAGCCGACGAGAAGGTGATCACGTCTTCAGCCTCGATGGCCTCTGCGACGATGTTATTGGCGCTCATCAGCCCTGTGCCGCGGGTCCAGCCGATAACAGCGCCGCACACGGTGAGATAGTCACCCCAGCTCTCGGACTTGAAGCGATTGAAGAGCGTTTCCAGGCCAATCTTCGACTCGGAGTAGAGCCCGTCCCCGCCGAAGGTACCGTGGTTGGGTGAGAGTGGCAGAATGACCTGCGTCGGGTTGGCCCCGTATCCACGGGCCTCCTTCTGTTGCTTGATGCAGCCTAGTAGACGCAGCAGGTTAACCAGCATGGCGCGGTGGGCCACCTCCGACAGACCATCGAGTCCGTCAATCTGTCGGCCATTTTCGGAGATGGCGGCGAAGGGAATCACGCAGTCAATGTCACCGGCAGTACCCAGAATGTCGTTGTATAAGTGAGAAATAAGGGCCTGGCAGTCCTGGCGACTGGCCTGGTTGAACGGGAAGACCGTCAAGGACGAACCCCGACCGCAAAAGTCGCGGTAAAGACTGCGGTAGAAGTCCATGTTGGAGCGACTCGTGGTGACGATGACATTGGCACCGGCTGTTAGCAGGCCGCGTGTAATCTCAGCACCGATGGACTGGGGTCCTGCGCCAGTGATGAGCACCGTCTTGCCGGCGAAGCTGATGCCGGTAGAAGTGGCGGCCTGGACGGCATCGAGGTAGTTGGACGTGAGGGCATCGTGGTATTTCCAGCCACTGCCGATGGGACGACAAAGGCGCACGAAAGGTAGACTGTCAGTACTGGGGGCATCGAAGCGGCTTCCGCGCTTGAGCAGCTCGACGTATTTATCTGGGCGCCCACCAATGGTGCGTGGGATCTCTTCGTATTCGATAACTCCCTTGGGGCTGACGGTGGTGCGAGGTCCTAGAGGTGGCAGCCGGTGGATAAAGACGGAGTCTCCCTGGAGTGCGTCACGATAGCCCTGGAACAGCTGCTCCAGGGGCTGGATCTGCAGCTGCTTGTCGCCGTGGCGTAGTGGATGGGCAATGTGATACTTGACTAGGTCGAAGGCGCTGGGATTCGAGCGGTTCAGCACCTGCCAGATCTTCTCCTCGTTCGAAGCGCTACCAGGTCCCAACAGTAGCGAGGCGATATCCACGCGAGCCCAGTTCCACCAGGCGTCATAGCTGCGACCGCGTTGGGCGTTGAAGATGGGTGAGATGCGAGTCAAGAAGCCATCGCCAAACTCCGCCTGCCACGCTTCCAACTTTTGGTCGGCTTCTTGCCACAGCTCCTCGCTGTGCGCTAGCTTCTGGACCAGCTCATCGCCATCGCTATCCAGCATCTTCCCGAGTGCCAAATGGAGTTGCTTGAAAGCGTCGTTCTATTCCGTGCGCAGCCGTTCCAGCTCCTTGGAGTCTATCATGGCACCACCAGCGGCAGCACCTCCGCCAGCAGATGCTGCAGCTGGGCTAATAGTAATGCCACAATGACGTCCGTACCGGGCCACGACACTGTCAACGAATTCTTTGGCTGCTTGGGGGCTCTCCAGCCGGGCAGAGGGGTCGAGGCTGACGGAATAGCAGAGCACAGCTGTCTGGCGCTGTGATCCTAGCCCCCAGTGTGTCTCAAGGTGACTGCGGATACTGTTCTGGTTCCATCCAGCTGGGAATCTGGCCGAGATTAAGCGGGCGATGAGTGCAGACATGACTTTGCCAGGACGGCCGGTGAAGCTACCGTCGAGGGCTGCCCCAACAGCTTCGAGGGGAAGATCTTCGCAGCCGTCAGGTGTACCACCAAATTCGGCCACAAGGTCGCCAATGAGTTCGTTCTGTAGCGTAGATTTACCTGGACAGCGTTAGACTGGGAATTGTTGTGAGGGTTCATGTCAGACAGTCTTACCTCCAGACAGGTCCCGAATGCATTTCTGTAGGGGCACCTGGTCAAATGGCTGCTTCAGCTTCTGGGCAGTCAGGGCCAGCACAATATCCAGTGCAGATACTGGCACATCATCAACTGCGACTGCCGCTGCGACTGGAGCAGCAGCTACAGGAGCGACGGGGGCAGCAGCGGCCACGGAAACCGGTGCTGGGGCAGCAGGGGCAGGTTGAGCCTCTGTGGTGGCTACTGGTTGTGACTCCTCATATTCATAGCATATCTGGGCGTAATCATCACTATGGGAGAGGAACTGTCGGCGAATCAGACGCAGCTGGTCCTGCAGCTGGTGATTGCGGGCAACCGTCTTCTTGCCCATGGTGGATAACACCTTGGCTGGGCCAACCTCCACGTATCGCTCCACGGCCTCATCCCGTGTGAAGAACTGTTTCTGTGTATCAATCCTGATAAAGTCAGTGGCGAACTTGCAACTCAGGGATAGGAATGACACTCACCATTGAACCGGAAAGGCAAATTGGTAGCTAGTCAGGTTACGTTAGCTGACAACGCTTTGGAATACAGCCTGGTGAGACACTTACGCCAGAAGCTCAATGAGCAGTGTTCGTGCCAGAGCACGTCGCTCATGCTCCGACTCTGGGAGTGATTGAATCGGCTCTCCCATCTTGTATTGTGTAATGTGTGGTGATCAGAAAACGACGATGGACATCGCGAAGGGGGATATGAGGGTTGTGGTACGAAAATGCTGCTCATATAGATGTCTCTCTATTCCACGCGGACAGCATTAATCCGATCTGATTATCTTTGGCCACTCGCCGAGCAGTGTCGCCTTTGCAGGTGTCCGAGGGACCCCGGGGGTTTCGGCGCATCAGCATGGAAGAAGGAGGGTTGGCCCGGCGGCCGATGCCCGACGGCAGGATTCGAGGGATTTACAGCCCCCAATTGCACCAGGAGACATTTTCTGCGGTTGAAGATGCGTCAGACAGTTCTCTGTAGGATATGTCTACTATGTAGCTTATATACGAGGTAATTCCATCAAGCTGGCACAGTCATCTTAATTTACGACCTTCAATCCCCTATTCCCACATCAAAGTAATATAACCATCACTATGCCCGACATCGCATCCAACGGTGCCCGCAACGGCGCCTCCCAGAATGCAGAGACCAAGCCAGAACCCCCCGTTCTCCATGTGGTAGACAGCCGCACGGGGAAGTACTTCCCCATCCCTATCGTGCGCAACGCCATCAACGCAAGCGAATTCAAGAAACTCAAGTCCCCCGAGGATCCCGCACATCCTGAAGATCAGAACGAGCAGGGCATCCGGGTGTTTGACCCCGGATACTCCAACACGGCTGTTAGTGAGAGCCAGGTTACCTACATGTGCGTTTTCTCTGCTGCATAGGATTGATTATGGCGAAGAGTAACTGATAACGGGGCGCAGCGATGGCCTGAAGGGAACCATCCAGTACCGTGGTTACAACATCGAGGATATTGTGGGCAAGAAGAAGTTTATCGACACGGCACACCTGCTCATTTGGGGAGAATGGCCGACGCCGGAACAGGCCAAGTCTCTGCAGGAGAAGCTCTCCAGCGTACCTGTCCTGGATGAATCCGTCTTCAAAGTCATTCAGGCATTCCCGTAAGCTTCACCCTAGTTTTAGCCTCTAATCCTCTCCCCCCTCAGTCTAACGGCTCCAGTCCCAACTCGTCCATCATCGGCATGATGATCGCCGCTCTGTCAGCTGTCCAGAGTACCCAGATGGATCGCATCCCCGCCCATGCGGCCAAGAACCTCTACTTGGGCAATCCCAAGGCCGTCGATGATGAGATCGTCCGTCTGATGGGCTCGCTGTCCATGATCACCGCTGCTGTCTACTGCCACCATACCGGACGGGAATTTACCCCGCCACGTCCGGAACTCTCCTACATCGAGAACTTCCTGTTGATGATGGGCCACGTCGAGTCTAGCACAGGACTGCCCAACCCCCAGTACGTCGACCGCATTGAGCGTCTCTGGGTCCTCATTGCCGATCACGAGATGACCTGCTCGACTGCTGCGTTCTTGCAGACAGCCTCCTCCCTGCCGGATGTATTTTCCTGTATGATCTCCGCACTGTCGGCGCTCTATGGTCCGCTGCATGGTGGGGCCATTGAGGTAGCTTACAAAAATTTCGAGGAGATTGGCTCGGTTGAGAACGTCGCGGCCAAGATAGAACGTGTCAAGGCCGGTAAGGAGCGTCTGTACGGCTACGGTCACCGCATCTACCGCGTCACAGACCCGCGCTTCATCTTCATCCGCCAGATCTTAGACGAGTTGAAGGAAGAGATCGCCCGGAACCCGCTGCTGAAGGTGGCGTTTGAGGTGGACCGCGTCGCCTCGGAGGATGAATACTTTGTCACCCGGAAGCTACGGCCCAACGCCGATCTCTTTGCGGCGCTTGTGTATAGTGCCATGTAGGCAGCTTCCGTGAAGTAGTGGTTTCAGACATCAGACCCGCTAACGCATTGCAAATAGGGGCTTCCCGACTGAGTTTATTCTACCGTTGTCGCTGTTGTCCCGCACGCAGGGATTCATGGCCCACTGGAAAGAAGCCATGTGTAAGTGACCCATTTTGCCACTGGGTGTCCCACTCTGAGACTAACGATGTGACAGCGAGCACGGCACGTATCTGGCGGCCCGGCCAGATCTACACCGGACACTTGAACCGCGAGATGGCGTAGGTCTAGGCAGTTTCGCTCTCATCGGTGAGACAATCTTAGCGTAGACCGGTCAATAGCATCAGTAAAGCTAGGACTAAAACGCATGCAAGCCGACAGACCACCTGGGCCAGGCGTCGGAATGTTTCCGGCATTCGTCTGATGAAGATATGATATGACTGAGACATGCATTTCCTCGATATCACATGGAATGTGGATAGGATGGCGTCTATGAGATAAGGTCTGCAGATAGCAAATAGAATGGCCCAATGGCTAGATTGTGAAAGTCTTAAACTTTCCCACTAAACTCAGCGTAGTGAAGGCGACTCTGGCATAAAGTACGAGGTAAATTATGTATTTGCGTGATTCGAAAATCAAGCCTGGTGATATCTTCACGGCAGATGGTTCGCTAACTCCAGAACAATGGATCCATGCCGATGATGAATGTCAGCCTCAAGCGCGACAACCTATGTGCCAGTCCAATGCTGTTGCCTTGTTCTCGGGCAGGTAGGACCGGGGGTATTGATAGCGGCATCCTCCGTGACAGGTGGCATCCCTGCCCTATAGAATCATGGCAGTATGCATGGACTGAAGTATTCTATCGGAGAAATTCGTAATCATCCGGTTAGGTCCAGCTAGAAGTACCGCCTCGTATTCTCCTGCATGCATCTTATCACACTATCCACATCTGGAATTGAAGCTCCGAGACTGGACATCACTCCCTCATCCGGCTGAAGGGCGCCCTAGTCTCACTCTCAAGCAACCGTTTTTGATGCATGGCATGTCACCGGCTGACTCTATTGGGGAACTCCTCGCTGCCTATAGCGGTTCCAGCCGAGATCTTCAAGATTTGACTTTGGTCTGTTGCTTGGCCGTTCTTCACAGCTAGACGGCTTTTGCGGATCGACGCGGGAGTGGTAGTCGCGCGTCAAAGTTACTTAGACGCCCCTGTTTCACCTGAGACGATGTTTGACAGGCCACGATGCATGATCGACAGTGTCTTAAGTGACTACCTTATCTAACTTTCTTTGCAGTCAACGGAGACATCGGTGATCGGCATCGGGCGTGCTGGTCGGTGGGTCGCTGGCGCTTTGGCGACTTCTCTGGCCATCTCATGTCTGTCAGGTATCGCTGCTCCTAGGTGATTGATAATGCAGCAAGGTTGCAGAGCTCCTTCCGCTGATACCGAACAGATAGAGAGTCACACTTAATTCCGAGGACCGCAATCTCCATATCCGATATGGTGTTAGGGGCGCAGCTGCAAGTGAGCCATCGGGGCCGCTTTTCTGCTAGCGAGCGGGAGGAGAGGCGATGCGGTTATTCAGCAGACGACACTAGTGAGTTAGTGGCTCTTAGTTAGACCAGCCTAGTGTGTCGCTTCTGCTGAAGATTGCAGAACTCACCCTATAGGAAGGGAAGGAATGAGGAGATGGCACTGGCAGGATTGCCAGGCCCACCACCCACGCTGCCGGTCCCTCAATCACCCACCAGTGCTTAGCACGACACCACCAGCCTGAAGGGGGAAAGAGGGCTGGACTGGTGTCAAGCAGACTAACGTGCTATCGATAGATTATGCAGGATGGTGATATTAGATTACTGAAGGGCTTCCTTCCTCTTCCTGCTAGCTAGAAGCGAGTGACAAATTCAGCGTAATCTCCAACGTGGGAATGGATTGGCGCCTGGTTGGATTAGGATACGAGGTCACTAAGCCCCCCGGACGCCCTAACCAGAACTTCGGCTTCACGACGGTCCTTCCTTTCCCCAGCGGTCCGAACTAGACCCACCTGGTAATGGCTTGTTGTCGATCCCTCCAGAGCTAGTGCAGATTGCAAGAATCACCTTCAGCAATTTGGTCTACGCCTGAGGGAGGGGACAAGGAGAAGATGGGAGGATTCCCTTGGCGAGCATGCAGTCAGCGTGAGCTGATCCCATTCACATGTTTTCTCCGAATTTCGCACCCGGGATAGCAAATAACCGATCTTGATATCTGACTAAACCTGTATATAAGCAGGGTGAATAACTAACTAGGCCTTCTGGGTACCACTCTGAATAAGCGGATATCAGCAATCGAGTAAGCCGTTGCCGCTGTGTGGACCAACGATGCTTTAGCAACAGGGGTTGAATTGTAATCTGAAACCTCGTACTCCCTACCTGCCACATGCAAAAAGTTAGTCGTAGTATCCCCCATTTTGTCAGCTTGGGAGCCTGACATAGGATAAGCTCCGGGCCAGAGGGTACCACAACGGGAAAGGTTGGCGGGGGAGAGGATGAGACGATCCTGCAAGAGACACAATGGTCGTTGGTCCTAGCTGAGAATTGACTGGTTCTGACTGGCCAGGTCGCATGGTCAGGGGCGATGTTCCATTTGATGTGGATTCGCTGCATCGGCAAGCGTTCATTTTGGGACGCGTCCGTCACTGGTGACTGGAGCCTCTCACAGAAGAACGTCAGCAACAGTTCCCGGAGCCGCTCCATCAGATAATGAGGGTCTGCTGGGTCTAGCCACTGCCAATCGATCGATCTACCTCGTGGCGCCACGCCTGCTAAAGGCGGCAGATCGTCGACCACAGGTCCAGACGTCTTTTGGAGACTGGATCGTTGGGTGATGCTGTCGCTGGGACATTTTGCTCCGATATCTCCAACGATCGCATCCTGAGCCGGAAGCACCTCCAATTTTGCCTGACACGGTGACACCGGAATCTTCATCTTAACCATCTCACAGCAGCCGGTGTCCTAGTTGGCCCCCAAAGCGACCCTCTCTGGGGTCGGAAAATGGAACCTGCACAGAGGGTGAGGGGTGACAGGGGCGAATAATGGAATTGACGAACGATTGCAAGCAATTGAGCAAACCAACATCCGGCTGAGTAAGATAGAGATTCTAGGTAGCTAACGTAGTAACACGACACGTAACTCTTCCAGAGCTTGAGGGATGTAGCAGGTTGCAGCATCCTGGCTACATTCCTGCGCGAAGGTCAGCCACCCCTGTCGATGAAGATGCGAACGCGCATGTCTCGGGTGGAAATACCACGCTGAGGACTTGCCCATTATGGGTTAATTCCGACATCCGAATCATAATATTAACTTAACAGGCTTCACGGCTCGTTTGGCTTTCCTGCTCTGGTGTTGCCACTCGGGAGGATGCAGCCTGGGAGAATTCAGCATCCGGACCAGTGCGGGTAAGCGCCATGTCTATCACGGAGCGATGGATGCGCCACGCGGAAAAAGACAGGTTGAAAACACACGGACGCACCTTCCTGCCAGTGGGTCGAGGCTATAGCACCTTGAGATTATGAAAGACCATTCCTCCCCCGCCGGGTCCTCCTCAGCAGATATTGCTATCGACCGTGCCAAGCGCAGGATCCTAAAGACAGGATTATCCCCTCAAGCACGCTGAGCCATCAGAGGCTAACAGTCGTCCCGCTGAGGTCAGCGCTAGGAATCCTCCGCCCACCAGGATCGCCTTCTCCCAGACGCCATCCAAGAGAATGAGGAAGCTTGATGAGCCTGGTGTGACGCTGGAGGAGGTGGGAGTGGCCCTCTCCCGATAACGGCCCGCGGGTCCAAGTGGTCATGGCGTGCTGCCCAGAGATACCTTCGGTCTTGGTATATCAGCCGGTGCATGGCCTGTTCAGCGGGCCCCAAGTGTCAGGTACACGTTAGCCAAGCTCACCTCGTATTCCCTGAATCAGTGCGTCGTAAATCATCGATCCTTTTGCCTGAGCTTTGCCAACCCAGTAGCTGGCAACCTGTGCGAGCATCATGGCTACTCCCCGCGCATCAAGCGTATCCGTCCAGAAGAATCGACCCCGGCAGACTGGGTCGCTGAGCCCAGCGTGTGATGAGTGTCGAATCCGCAAAGTGCGCTGCAATAAAGAGTATCCCAAGTGCTCAAGCTGTCGAGCGTCCAATCTGCCCTGTGAATTCTCCAACAAGGGCAAGCGCATCAACCATACCAAGAAATTGTAAGTGGCCCCTCTCGTTCCCCCTCGCGGTCCGTGCCGCCTGGGTGGGATGTGATCGCGGGTTCCCTGTCTAACAAGCTTTTCCTATAGAGTGAATGATGTGGAGCTCCTGGGCAGTCGTCTGGGCAAGATTGAAGAGGCTCTCTTTCGCTGTTTGTCCGTGGTTGAAGCTGCCAACACCCCGCGATACGGCAGTCCATCTCAACCCGCTTCTCGACCAGATTCAGAGGGTAATCAAGACCGAGAAGAGTCTCGCCGCGGCTCGGTCGACTCTGAGGATAGCTGGTCGGATGGCTCGTCCGATCCGCTCGCTCACGGTGAACGAGATCCGCAAGCAGATCCAATGCACTACAGCAGTCCGGTAGCATCGCTCTACTTTGAGGCACGAGCTGCAAGCATCCAGTTGATGTCGTCAATATCATCAACGGAGAACGGTTCCAGCCCAGCGAGTCCGCGTGGGCGCGAGGGTCTGTCCCCGTCGACGCCTCTGGGAGGGTATCTGTCGGACGCCAGCGAGCTCTTCCAGCAGCTGGCCACGGGTCCTCCGCCCGTCTCTGAGCCCAAGTACGATGATCTCCCACCAGCATTGCCCCCGCGAACCTTGCTAGAAGGCTTCGTGGAAGCGTACTTCACCGACCTAAACCCTTTCCTCCCTCTCTATGATCGACAGAGCGTGCTTGATGCCATTGAGCAGCAGTATGGGCCGCGAAGCGATGGCCCCGACCTGGCCTGGATATGTTCGTTTAATAGCATCCTACTGCACACCCTCGAGGCCAAGTCGAGTGCCGCACGGCCAGGAGGACACACGGGAGATAGTACCCTGGAGCGAGGGTTGGTGGTCCATCTTCTGCTCAATGCGCGCCGCTGTTACAATAACTTTGAGCGCCTCCTGCAACCACGTCTCGCCAATGTCCAGAGCTTGTTCAGTATGGTATGCTCCGATCTCCCATCCGCTCAACTTAGACCTCATTCTCACATATGCAGGCACTGGTAGCACTCCGATACTTCAGCTTCACAATGTTTGAGACGGTATTTGCGCAGGCTTGCCAGTTGGCCCGCACCATCGGGCTGCACCAGACTGCCGCCGGAGCTCCCCAGGAAGCAGAGCGGCGCCACCTCTTCTGGTGCCTGTTCATCATCGACGTTAGTGTTCCCTTCCACCAGTATACAAAGTCTTTGACTGACTGAACATAAAGAAACATGCGGCCTTGGCGGTTGGCAAGCCGTGTCTGCTCCCTTCTTATGCCTGTGCTATCCCAATTCCCAGCTCCAAGTGCGGGTCACTCATCGAGGACCAGTTCACGGCACGTATAATGCTGGCCACCATCCTCGAGGAGATGTATCGTCGCCTACATTCAGCCCGCAGCACGCGGCGTGGCCGCGAGCAAATTTCCCGCCGTGCTAGCCAGCTTGCCCGCCGCTTGGAGGACTGGGCGGTACAGCACGAACATGCCCTGCATCCGACGGGCACGCCAGAGGCGTCCCAGGTGCTGGCAGCCGCGGAACTGCAGTATGCGCTGTATATCAGCCGAGTTCTCGTGCAACGGCGCATTAATGGGCCGGAAAGCCGGTCCCTTCGATACAGTCATGCTCGCACAGGCCTGCAGTTGCTCCAGAAGCTGTGCAATGGTGACCACCTGGGAGGACGTCGCGTTGGCTATGCCATGTTCGCCAGGTAGGTCGGCTTCTCGGCAGACTGTCCGCCACACATACTAACTCTTTGCCAGTGTCACCCTCAACTACTCCCTCATCCCCTTCCTGGAAGTGTACATGCAGGTGCTGCAGGATCACCCCCGGGCGGATGCGTCGGATGTGGCGCTGCTGACATCCTTTGCGGCGCGCGCGGACATTCTGGCCGCACAGACAACCGCGACGTCGTATACGGCCCGAGTGCGCGAGGTCAGTGCTCTCTGCTGTCAAGTCGTCACTCGGCTCCACCAGCCCCTCGAAGCAGCCGAGTCCCAGGTGGATCAGCCGGCAATGCCGGACCCTTTCTGGGATCTGAGTGCCATGACAGCCGATGCCGGGTGGGACACGACACCGGCAACGCCCCAATTTCCTAGTAATCTGTCAGTCCAGCCGGATCCCTCTTTCTTCCTGGATGCGGGAGGCTCCGTTGGACCGGGCTTCTCGCTGGGCGGTCCCATCTTCACGGATGGTGGGCCGGTCATGTTTGACAACCTACTGGACTCATTTGCTGGCCCGGACACTGCGTTGGGATTGATGCAGTGAATGATCTCGTTCTGTTTTGACGCTTACGATGTTACGCTGTTACTTGAATCTTTTTCTCGCATTGGATTTGATTACTGGGATTTCGCATTGCAAGGTTGGCTGGCACTGTTATTTTGTTTGATTGGATGATTGTATTGTGATAGATAGATCGATAGATAGATCGCTTAGACATAAACATAAACCACATATTCATCAGAAGTCTCCAATATAGAATAATCTCCCTCCATTCCTCGGTTACAAACTGAACAGGTTCACAAAATGGCATGCTGGTAGCGACATAAACTCCTCCGATGCCACCGTCTTCAGGATCTGCTGGACTCTATCTGTCGACAATCGAAGACCCAGATTCCGCTCTGCTTTTGCGTAAACTTCCTGCGGCGTCTCCGGGCGTCGGACATGTCCCAGTGGATATTCTACCAACACTTCAGGCAGCGTCGTGCCGTCCGTCAGGGTGACAGTGAGCGAATTCGCCACACTGCGCACCGCCATATCATGATAATCGGCTGTGTATTTGGGGTCCTCTGCCATGGTGATCTTCTGGCGCAGGGCATCGACGCGCGGGTCCGTCGCCCAGGGGCTGTCGTCCTGGTAGTCGGCCGTCTCGACCTGCGCTCCCTTCAGCAGCACTACAGCGACCATGTACCGCAGACAGTGGTCACGATCTGCGGCGTTATGCAAAGTTGCTCCGCCCTTGTTGATGATCGTCATACCAGCAGCCTGGGTCTTGGCGTGGATTGACTGGATATCCTTGGCTGGGTCAAGTCCACGCGCCCGCAGGGTATTGGCGATCTCCAGCGCGGCTTCCACTGCCGTCATTCCATGGCCCTCGGCCGTGTTCACCTTAAACAGCACGGTTTCAATGACCCAGGTGCCAAATGGCTGGGGGAGATCGAATTCCTGGCCCTTGAACAGTACATCGTAGAAACCCCAGCGAGGCGTGGTCAGCACCGTGTTGGCACCTGGTTGTCCGGCCTTGGCTAGTAGTGCGAGATGCACAGCCCGCATGCAAGCATCACCAGCTGCCCATCCCTTGCGCGGACCGGTGTTGGGTGCCTGGCGGTACACGCGCAGTGGGTGACCGTCCATCCAGGCGTGGGATACGGCACTAAGGGCTTGCTCGCGAGGAAGATCTAGCAGCCAGGCCGACACGGCGGTCGCGCCAATCTTGACCAGGATGGTGTGGTCCAACCCGACTTTGTTGAAGGCATTCTTGATCTGGAAGCAGCCCTGAATCTCATACGCCTTGATCAGGGCCTCCAGAACCTGCTGCATTGTCACGATGCTGTCGGGGTCGCCCTCTGCCAGGGCTACACGGCTCCGGACATCTGCGACGGCCAGGATGGCACCAAGGTTATCTAAAATAATATTGTTAGTGTATGTGACTTGACAGTCGCTAAAGTGGTCTGTAGCTCACCCGAGGGATGCCCCCATTCTGCACCGGGAAAGGCATCATTGTGGTCGAGGTAGCGGATCATGGCCCCCAGATCAAAGGCTCCCTTGAGGATATCCAGCTGGTAGGCTGTTCCCGGTAACCGGAACAAACCCGAGGTGGCTGGGGCGATGGGGAACGCCGGTCCAACGAGCTGTGCGCATTGGGGACTGGTATGGATACTCTCGAGGGCAGCTCCAAGAGCATCCATCAAGGCGACCTTGGCCCGCGCCCAGGCATTATCGGTGGCGATCTGGTAGTCGTAGACATAGTCGACGATGGCCTGGATCACAGCATCGTAGGGCTTGCGCGAGTTGTCGTCGGCGGCAGGAATGACAGTCATGCTGGACGGGGCAATGATTGGAGGATAAGAGAACGCACTAGATCTTCTCTCTCCTCTTCCTTTCAATGAGGAATCATTTGTTGCCTTTCAAGTACTTTATGAAATGTTGCATTCAGGGCAGTGGCGGGCCGGATCTTGCATCCTGGCGTGGTTCGGGTTTCGGCCGCCGGATGAGACTCTGCAGCAACACCGAATCAATTGCTGAGAGATGCTTTGGCTGCCGAACAGCTTTCAATCGGCAGGATTTGGTCTGTCTGACTCAGCTATCGAAGCAATGTGAGACAACGAAGTGAGTCTTATAATCGACCTCAAAAGCTATCTATCTCTGGTCTCTTCTTCTTGCCCAGGTCGTTGTTATCCCGACCAAATGTCGCCCTAGTCACCCACCATGACTGCGACAACCGAGCTTCATCCCAACTCTTCACCCTCGCCTGCTGGGGATGGGCCATCCGTGGCTTTTACCCTCGAGCATGGCGAGGCCACTGCCGCGCTGTCTGTGAGTAGTGCTGTGGCCACAACACTGCAGCCCTACCGCGCCAGCTGGCTGGCCGACGACACCATCTCTCCCCTCAGTCTAACGCTGTCCTTCCTCGGCCATTTGACCCGCCAAAAAGCCCCTTTATCAGCAGTCCAGACTGCTGTGAGGGCCTTTGAAACTCAGTATCTCGCAGGCATTGACATCCACACGGCTGTCACTATCCTGCCAGACGCCCTTGGTGCCAAAAAGACTGCCCTGCGAGATTACTATGCCGCCGCAGCCTATACCGGTCAGCCCTTATCCAACTCACCCAGTGCCTTGTTCAAATCCGCCCAGACAGGCACCTCACGCATCACAACAATCTTTGGCGGCCAAGGAACGGCCAATCCATCGTGTGTGCGCGAGTTACGGTCTCTCTATACCACCTACCGCCCCATACTCACTCAGCTCATGCAAGAATGTGGCCCTGTCCTGTCCTCTCTGTCCCAGCGCCCGGACACACAGTCCTACTTTCGCGGTCGTCCTATCGACTTGAATTCCTGGCTGGCCGGCGCAACAACCCTCAATGAGGACTTTGTCAGCGCCGCGCCTGTCAGCCTGCCCATTCTAGGACTTTTCGACCTGGCCCACTACTGCATCATCTCCAGTGTTTTGGGTCAGACCCCCGGGCAAGTGGCTACTTCGATGCATGCCATCTCTGGCCATTCTCAGGGCATTGTTGTTGCCGCTGCCGTGGCTCGTGCCGACTCGTGGACATCGTTCTACGACAACGCCCGGCTGGCTGTGGAGCTGCTGTTCTGGATTGGCTTTGAAAGTCACCAAGATGCGCCTCAGTTGTTCATCGCGCCCGAGCTTATTGAGCAAACCAAGGAACAAGGGCATGGAGTTCCTTCGCCAATGCTCTCCGTTCGAGGACTTGAGCGGCCAGCACTGGAAAAGCTTCTCGCCCAGTGTAATCAGGTCCTCCCTGAGTCGCGCCAGCTGCATATCGCCCTCATTAATGCCCGCACAAACCACATCGTCGCAGGTCCTGCAGCGTCACTGTGCGGTCTCAGTCATGTTCTCGCCGAGCTGCAAGCCGCTGGGGAGAAGGATCAGACTCGCATCCCCTTCAGCCAACGCAAGCCCGCCGTCACGCACTCCTTCCTCCCCATCAGCACTCCTTTCCATACCCCCTACCTGCAGGCAGCGTCCCAGCGCATTAAGGAGCGGCTAGCCGATCGCGCGTTTTCCGCAGACCAGCTACAAGTTCCTGTTTTGCACACCGCAACGGGTGAAGATCTACGAGTCAACCCTCAGTCTAATGTCATTGAAGCCCTCGTGGATGCCATCACCACTGAGCCCGTTGACTTCCCCCGTCTGTTGGCTGACGCAACCACCACCCACTTTCTCGTTCTCGGGGCTGGTCGTCTCAGCGAATTAGTCAAGCAAATTAGACAAGGGTATGGCCAGCAGATCATCGCCGCCAGCGAGCTCAAGCCTTCCAGTGCCGACATCGGTAGCCAGGCCGACCTCTTTACACCAACCCTCCGCCCGGCTCCTTCATCCTGGGCGGACGCCTATCAACCTCGCCTGGTGCAAACAGCCAACGGCCGGTTGATCCTCGATACGAAATTCAGTCGCCTGCTGCAGGTACCCCCGATCATCACCGCGGGTATGACGCCCACTACCGTGCCCTGGGACTTCGTGGCAGCTGTCATCAACGCTGGTTACTTTATCGAGCTGGCCGGCGGAGGCTACCACACCGAAGACGAGATGCGGGTCGCCATCGAGAAGATCGCTGCCGCCATTCCTCCTGGCCGCGGCATTACCTGCAATCTCATCTACGTCAATCCCAAGGCGATCGCTTGGCAGACACGGCTGATCCGCAAGCTCATCCGCCAAGGAGTACCCATTGATGGGCTTACTATCGGTGCCGGTGTGCCGTCGCTCGAGGTTGCTCGCGAGTACATCGACGACCTTGGCATCAAGCACATCTCCTTCAAGCCTGGATCGGTCGATGCCATCAACGCTGTGCTGCAAATCGCTGATGACCGACCCGACTTCCCCATCGGGCTCCAGTGGACCGGTGGCCGGGGAGGCGGCCATCACTCGTATGAGGACTTCCACGCGCCCATCCTGGCCACCTACGCGGAAATTCGCAAGCGTGACAACATCTGCCTCGTTGCCGGCAGTGGATTTGGTGCTGGAGATGATACCTACCCTTACCTGACCGGCCAGTGGTCAGTTGCTCGGGGCTACCCCGCCATGCCGTTTGACGGTATTTTGTTGGGCAGCCGCATGATGCTCTGTCGCGAAGCCCACACCAGTCCAGCAGTAAAGCAGCTGCTTGCCACCACACCTGGTGTTCCTGATGGCGAATGGGAGAAGAGCTACAAAGGCAGCGCGGGTGGCATCATTACAGTTCGGTCGGAAATGGGCCAGCCTATCCACAAGGTGGCCACGCGAGGAGTCCGGCTGTGGGCCGACTTTGACCAGACGCTGTTCCGCCACCCTCGTCCGAAGATGGTGGAGGAGCTGGCCAAGCGCAAGACTGAAATCATTGCCCGGCTGAACAAGGATTATGCCAAACCCTGGTTTGGTCAGGATGCCCGTGGACAGCCGATTGACCTGGCAGACATGACTTATGCCGGAGTGCTGGCCCGCATGGTTGAGCTGATGTATGTGGCCCATCAGCAGCGCTGGATCCATCCGTCATACCAGCGCCTGGTGTCAGATGTGGCCGTACGCACCCTCGAACGTGTCGCTCC